CGTACATAGCTACACATCCATGGGCACGGCCAGCTGATGGAGGGGGGGGGGGGGCATAGGGAACATATCCGACCGCTAGGCCCTGAGTGACCTACGGGCCTTCGGCACAGACTATCAATGACTCGATGGGAGGGCCCAAAGGGCTGACCGGGGAACATCCATGGGGCGAAGGTCTGACCCTGGGAGGTTTTGTTTGACTTTTTATTGACAAGTTGTGTTTAACTTTTTGTTTGTCAAGCGTAAACCCATGATTTGTTGTCCCCAAAACCCGCACATGAAATTGACGCCACTGATTCACCCATCCCGCGGACCCTTTTATGCTGAGCGACATTTCGTCAGCCCAACCAGTCGGCTCACCAACATTTCGGTAGGCTTCATATTCATTCCGGTAGATATGAAAACGCCAGTAATGGATTAAATTCGCCGCAGTTACCGAGTGGGAGCAGTTTTCGCGCTGGGCTGCTAGCCTTGGGAAATACCAAACATAAACCTCATGCGTAGCTACGGGTGCACGACGGGGCGGCAGCGAAGACCCTGTAATAGCAGCGCAACAACGCGGAGGCAACGTAGTTTTTAGAGTTCTTGAAGTCAGCTCATAGATCAGAAGGCAACGATGCTGAGCGAGATGAGCGAATTGTACATAATCAAATATGAAGTACTTTCAAATGTGCTACTCTGTTCACATTAGCACCCCTGGATCCCATCAAACTAAGTGCTTGGAATTTGACCTCAAAGGCGCTCTTGCGTATCACGGCCAATAATGGTGAGAAACAGTGGAGAGAGTAAAGACATAAAAAAATAAACGTGGTGGCTCCTTAATGACTTATCAAAAACAAACCTGCACAGACTATGTGGATGTAGTTTTGCAAAATAAGTTGATAAAGATAAGTTGAACAGTAAGAAATAACCCCAATTACCACCAAATTTACTTGACCATACCCTGTAGAGACATGAAACCTAAACGGGCGTGTTCCTTTTGTGCAGGTCTGAATATAAGGGTGTATAGCTTTACGTGCGTTTAGCATATACTGATGATGCATGGCTCCGTTGAAGAGAGCGTTCCAAATTGGCATGGGATTTCAAACTGAAATAGCCATCTTGAAGGTTATTCGGTGCAGTTCACAGCCATGTCCTTCTTAAGATCTAAGCCCCTCTGGTTTCTGAGCTGCACGTCCACGGAGATGTGCGGACACTTCGGGGAACTATTTCAAGGGCACCCAGGCATCCGTCACGCCATACTGACGTCATTGAATTCTGTCATTTCACAAGTCATGCGGCGAACAAGGCTGCAAAACATGTATTGTTGAGTCGTTCATATCTGACGTTCGTGAGCGCGATTTCCAGATATAGCGGCCGTTAATGGGCTACAAATCCCCATGTTGTTCAGGGTACGATGACTATCAAACTATGACATACGGAGGAGCATATTTACGAAAGAAATTGTGCCGTCGGGCGCAGTATTTTTCACTTAAAAGCACACCAGCGGTTATAAGTAAGCTCCATTAATCATATCTGATGCTTTCTTCAACATCTTCAAATATGGAGCATTCCTTTTACAGAAGTAGGAGTAAGTTCCCCGCGCGTATGCGGCATGGCCGGTGACGCAGGTGCCATGCGCGTTAACGGTTCGTTTAAGAAGAGACGGATTTTCAGCTTGACCAAGTTCGTTAGCGTTGGCTTGTAAGCGGCCGCTAATCCGCTTAGGTTAACAACTCGACTTAGGGGCAGCCAGAATGCGGGTTCGTGATGCTGCGATAGCAGACGCGAGCGTTCCTCAGTGGTAGTCTGTTCGTCGGAGTGCGGTTTTGTGGGACCGGCCTCTGGCCGCTTAATGTTAACTCCGCGTGGCCAGCGCTCCAACTCGGTGGTCATCTCGGGGGTACCGGGCGGCGACATGATCGCCCGTTCGGCAACACCGCCGTTTGTTGTGCGCGGGACCGTACGTCGTGCTCGTAATGAACGGGCCGCTTGGCCGCTCAGTATTCTCAGTGCTACACCCACCCAGGCCGTCACTGTGCAGCCGCGCTGAGAGAAGTGCGACGCTGAAGTATCATCCCAAACGCTGAATTAGGTCGCAGAAAATATGGTGTCGATGCCAGCTGTCGCATGACATGGCAGGCGGCATACCAGGCGTTTCCTAAGGGGGCTACAGTCCGGCGTAGTTGTAAGCCATTCTATAAGGCATAAAAATGAATTGGAACCTTAAGGCCGGAGGCCACTGAATTCTGCATGCTTGTCATTTGTTATGCATCTATGGCTAAATAAGGGACCAAACGGACATTTACTTTTCTGGAACGTTTCACATAACACAGCGTAACCACAGGAGATTGGTTTCGTCCGACGCAATCAATACGTAACCAGTTAGAGGGTGTTGAAAGTGACAAAAAATGCGCAACGTAATTTAAGACAGTCCTATGTGTAGTTCTACAGATAAAGTACAACATTAGGGTCAATAATAATCACGGCTTTTAAAAACGAAAATCGAGATTCCATGCAACAGTCAGTTCATAACGATTTAAGGATGACCTTTTTGGTGTCTGATGCCGATTGATATTTCTCACCCGCCCGAACATTTTGGAATATGTTATTTTTCATTCATATGAACATGTCACACATGCACACAGTGGTGCTAAGTTAGACTGGCAACAGTGAACCTTTACAGGTACGACTGGTGAGTCGGTGCGACTCCCAACGGTGGGTCACTGATGGTGTGCTGTTTTGCCAGTACATGGTGTTTTTATGCATGTGCACTAGAAAAATCGACGGTGGCGTACCTACAGAAGGTCGATAGGTGTACACCATACATAACGACTGACTTTAAATGTTTTTTTTGGGCGTCTTCGTTGGCTTGACTTGACCACTAGCACAATAAACAAAACATTCAGGGTTTCGTTGGCATGTCCAGAGCAGCATTATTCTCAGCCCCATATCAGTCGACTGGTACAGGCACGAAAGATGAATTCCCTGGATCCGCAGTTACGGGCGAGCTATACGTCTATACGTTTGAACTCGTGACACCGTCCATTTACACCGTACGTTTGATCCCATGGCCCGTCTATTTCGACACGCACAAGGCGATGCTATCGTATATCGCGTCTCCTATTTTGAACGGGTTTTCGCTGTTTCAGACCAGTACATGACTTCTATTGTCATCCAGTCAGTTGGACACGTGTTCCCTTGCATGGTGCGTCATCATGTGCGCCCATAACAATCGGGCTGCACGTTGAAGCGTAGCTCACGTCTGCATGCACGAATAGCCAAGAAAACCGCCGGTCTTCTCGCGAAAGTTTTTTCAAGTTTCTCCAGTGCTAAGGTCTACAAGCAGCCCAGCAGTCTTTTTGTGTACATACAGAGAAAAACTAACGCTGTGAGGGTGCCGACGTATTCGTTAAGCGCGTGCCATGGGGGAGCAAACTGCATTTACCATGGGAGCGTTGCGTGTTGTTGCTGATGACTGTCCCCACGCTTCTCCGACCGGCGCGGCACACTTACCCAGAACCCAGACAGTACGCCCGGGAGGTCGCACACCATGTAAAAATGAACGGCGGCTTTTCTCGCAAGAGAAAATCGATGGAAACGATAGATTTGCTTCTTAATTCTGGATGTAACGCCTCATCTAACTTTGCGATGAAAAATTAATCAGAAAGTGTCGAAGGAACCGTTTACATTGCAAAGTAATCTCCGGAGCTCGACGAAGTACGCACGTTCGTGCCGAGATTTACCCATTGAATCAAACTGTTGCACGATCTACTAAAGAGGCCACGGATTTCTCATTGGAACCTTCACCGTGCCGAAGAAGTCATGCGCCTCAAAATACCTCAAATAATGGGAGACCATCTTTCCGCCTATTACAATCAATGCTGTAGAATTTCGGGATAAACGTTACGAGATAAAACAGTTGCAGCCCGCCTTATGGCTGTACCCAATTTGCGCCGTTCGCTTCCGCCAAATGCGAAGTTCTCGGGCTGTTCGGCTAGATGAAGTGTTTACAGTATACCGGCGCCCGGCGCGGCGCCGTCGTTTCGATGTTATCGGTGCACCCGTGCCGCATGTGATCCATGCCTCCATCGACGGTGACCTGCTGTTGGGAAGGTGGTAACAAGCATGTGTGCTTCTCCCGCAGGGGCATAACCGCAGTCTGGCGAGTAAACATCGACCCATTTCATTGCTCTCAATCATGCTGAATTTTTGGACATGTCCTTTGTAGCGGATATCCAGCTGAGCGAATACCTTGCCGACCACCACCTGTCCAGTGGCAATGGCCGACAGCAGCGTAAGGTCACGTCCATTCTGCCGATGGCGCTGTGTTTGACGTCACCGCGCGGGTCGCTGCCAAAACCGACAGCGGCATGCTCGTGTCGAAACGGACCATAGATTTAATTGAGGCCTTTGACAGCGCTGAACACGGCTTCCTCCTGCGGAAACTGGTGTGGCACTGCATCACACTTTCGATAGCTACCCACAAGGCCGTGGACAGATGATTCGAAATCATCCGGGGTCCATTCGCTGCATTTTGGTGCATTTCAAGGATCGATAATCGGATTTGTTCCCTTAAGCATGTCCAAAGCTGTGGGGACATCTCATCTGTCTTCGGCTGCTTTTTCATGAAAATCTGCAGATTCAAATCTGCAGCCTCTGCGATCTCACTTAATCCATCGCGCTTCATCGTGATGTAGAGCAAGAACCCAAAAGTGAAGAATTTACTCTGACAAATATGTACTCAATATGCTACTTTTTGTTTTTGTGAGATTTACAACACCTTGCCACAAGTATTTTTAAAAGGACGGATCCTGTCACAAGTATTTTTGACTCACTCCCACTGACTTTTTCCACTGTGCTATAGCTTTTCCTCCATCTTTACCCTTGTTTCTTGCTTTGCAGTCGGAAGCCCAGCCGCTGAATTGGTCATGGACGCGTATAACAAAATATGTGCAAGCTCTCCTTTACGAACGTCGAAGGGAAAAGGCGTTGGACATTGTTTAATACAGTGTATCTGACAACTTTTATTTTGGACAACTAATTATACACATATCACAGACATTCTTTCAACCTGGAACACACTACATTTAGGCGAAACTGATATGCGGGGAGTGAGATCATGCCTATTGTAGCGCTCCCTGTATCTTTGCATGCATATAAGCGCAATCACGCCTCAGTAATCGGCGACAGAAACCTCCAAGCATGTGGAATTAACCTCGTATACGTTCGTAGCTTAAACCGTGAAATGGAACAATAGTATAGCTTCACAACTTTGTCAACTTGTTTTTAAACAATCCACAAAGGGTTAGCATACACGGCTTATCGTGGGTTATGCACGCGCTTCGCTATCTAACATCGCAGCTTCATAGAACATTTAACACTATACAGCAGCTGTCATGCGCACTCTGTAGATGGTCCCACCGTTTTGGAAGCTATCGGATGCGCTGCAGCGCATACGATACAGCCGTGCCTGGCCATTGATGTGCCCGATTTTGCGGAAGACCTTCCAAAAATATCGTTCACAGGGCTCTTGGAGAAGCCACGGACTGAGAAAAAGTTTTTAAAAAAGCGTTTTAACGATCTTTGCACATAAACTTTATTTCGACCTATCCTCTGCGTGATTCACTTCGATCCCATTTCAGTAACGAATTTGAGATCGGTGCCAGCGAGCTCTCTGTCAATCCAGGCGTCCATTTCGGCCGATATCTCCTTGCTGAAGTGGTTTTTCCAATCCCCCGTCTCACCCTTGCGCATGAACTCCGTCTTCTGCGAGGCCGCATTCTCTGCCGCTAGCTGTTCTGCTGTCAGAGGGGAGTAGGCGTAAGTCATGTTCTTGTTGACCCATGGGTTTTTCTTCATGCTGCTGAAGTGAAGGTGCGACTCAAGTCCGTCAAGCTGCTCTTCCGTCAGCGATTTCCCTAGGAAATCTGCCACTTTACTGATGGAGCCCCGCAGGTCACGCTTCATATCCTCAAAAAAGAGGAACAGCATGTTCGGCTTGTGTCGTAGATTCCACGCCTCTAGTACGTGTGGAAAGAAAGGCAACAAACTAACTTCCCCAGCGATGAACAGCCGAGCGAAGTTGTCCATGGTCATGTCAGGATCTCTCTCCTTGAACATCTTCAGGTGACTGAAGTACGAGACGCACACATCCTTCGGATTCCTCGCCACGTAGATCACCTGGAAGAAAACCAATATTTATAAGGCGTCACATGCGAAATATGACATGGGTTATCTTGCTCTAATGCCAGCGATTGAGCGTTCTGGCTATTTCCTCAAGATATCTAGCTGTAATAAATGCAAATCTGCTTTCCGGTGCCGCCTGACTGCACATCTCCGATGGTCACAGCCGTATAGCGTGCGGCGAACAGGCGATTTCTGGTACATGTGACCCCAGGGACAGCCCATGTAGCGAATAAGCAGGCCACGGCCACTGTGGCCCAGACTGCACAGCTCCGAGACCAAGGCCTGGCCGACTGCGTCAGCCGACTCTCCGTTCATGCATTATGCAGAACGGCCACTGTCGCCGAGCGGCGGCCTGAGAAGCAGCCACGTTCAGCAAAGCTTAAGCCTTGCGCTCGGGGTGCAGGCGGAGGCTGGGTAAGTGCCCAGTCGCATTCTGGCGGGTGATTGCTACTTGACAACATCTATCTACCCATTAATATCATCGTTCACGTCATATCTGGGCAGCTGGTGTTAAAACGCAATCTAATAGCGAGGCGACTTCCTAAAATTCATTGGGAAATGTCTGTAAACCAAGGCGAAATAGAATGTTGATTGCCCTTCGCACTATATGGTACAGCCTGACAAGTATCATTCACATGGGTGCAGTTTTACGGTACCTTAGCCGTGTCCAAGAGCGTGGGTGGGCACAGGTGCAGCGGCAGGTGTGTCTTGACGAACCAGGGCTTGGGTCTTTCCTGAATCGGACTGAACATTAGCCGCTTGCTGACTGGATTGTCTCCGTTTCTGATCTCCTCGCGCACGTGTGTCGCCATGAGCGCGGGTATCTCCAGGAAGTGGTACCGGTCCGGACACAGTAGGCACTTGGCGCTCTCGTAGTCGCAGTCGTTCTTGATCAGCCACACCATCTCCTGTGTCCAGGTGGTGCCTGAGGGAGACAGTTCAGCCTTAAACGGAATGTTCATTTGTATGGGGTTTTGAACTGAAAGAGCCATCTTTGGGAGCTTTTGGTGCTGTTCACAATCCTGCATTTCTTAACACCTAAGCCCCTCTAGTTTCTTAGCTATACGCCCGCGAAAATGGGACAGTATATCGGGGAAAGCATTTCAAAGTCACCTTGGCATCCTTGACGTCATAAAAACGTCAATCAAACTCTGCCATTTCATAAGCCGTGCGGCGATCAAGGCCAAGAAAAAATGATTGTCGAGGCGTTTATATCTGGTGTTCGTGAACGTGATTTACAGATGTAACGGCTGTCAATTGGTTCTAAATCGATGTTGTGGAAGATGCGATGAAGTAATCAAACCATAATGCATGGAGAAGCACATTTTCTGAACAGACAACTGTATTGTCTTGAGCAGGTTTTTCCGCTTATAAGGTATACCAATAGTTATAAGTGAGATTGTTTCGTCATCTTATGCTCCATTGCTCCAATACCTTCAAATGTGAAATATTCCCTGTAATGACCGTTAAAATGAAATGTAATATGTCTTGTAGCTGACATAAAACTGCACACCGCTGGTTTAATATAGCTGTGTAGCGATGTGCACTGCCACCACATTCTGATAGTCCTCTCATGTTTTATCCCCTTTCGAAAGAGAATGCAACGCACGGTGTCGCACCCATGTTAGCTCTAGCAACTGCATTAGTCATATTACCGCTAAGGGACCATGGCGCAACCGTGATTCGAACCTAAGCCCCACGTGTACATGCAAACCACTCAGCGATTATGTCCCCTTCATTTCTTTTCATCAAGCCGGCGCCGGTAATGATACAAATATTAGGTTCTGTTCCTTGGGTACGCCAAGTACAGGGGCTAAGGGGGTGGGGGTCTGTGCGACCCGGCCCCCTCTTTAAGCTCAGATTTTTCGTTTCTCACCATGGATGGTTCCCGACAGAAAATAAATAATAAGCGTGTTGCGTGCTAACCGAGTTCTGGGTTCCTCCCTCCAGAAAATCCTGCGTGTTACTTTGGCTAGGTATTGCTATGATGGACACAGTATTTACATTTTGTACTATAATACTGCCTCCTAAGAGCTTTACTAAAATCATGTGCTGGATATGCCTCGCCGACACAAGGGAAGTCATGATTCGGGCTACATTTCGTGCGGCCCACTAGCGCTTTCGCCTGCACTTGAGTTGGATCTGGTAGCATGCAGGTTTTGAACATAGCAATGATGTTGGCACCCTCTATTAGCTCGCATTGTAGCACCACATATTTTCCTGGTTTTGCTGACTTGAAGCCATTATCTCAAAGCCTCCTGTTGACGGACGCAGAATACAGCTTAGAGCACATGGCTGCACATGAATGGCAACACATAACACCTCCACGTGCATCACTCGTTTCGCTCCACGTTACTGTGGAGTTGTGTTGCACATTGTTCATTTAGTTCGCTTCAATATGTGATGTTCGTAGGTCGCAACATGGATCAGTAACACGGCGCCATACTGAGCCGTGGACAGGTCACAGCTGTGGCGCCTGTGCCGGGGGTCTCGAAATCAGTTTCAAACAGCACAATTTTGCTTAATGACCCTTCATTGCGCCAGTAAGTTAAGCCGGGGGGCGCCGGCGTCGGTGTATTAATTCGTGTATGTAGTATACTTTGCATGATTCAATATCTGGCTATTTCTGTTTCAGGTTCCGCCTACAATTGTACGTCGTAACCTGTTGCCGGGCAAAAGATGAACAACAAATGCGGCAAACCTTTTTCAGATACAAGACAAGGTCTCAGAACAGCTCAGAACTTCACCAACTTTTCAAACACGGCGCTCAGAAACCCTGTCATGTCTGGCATTGGGCGCAGTCCGTGACGGGAGCGGTGGCAGCTGGCCGGGGGAGAGAAGGGGGAGGGGAGGGGCGGGCGTGCGTCGATCACGGCCGTCCCATGACCGCCCTGTTGCCGTCCTCACCGGCCGAGATTGGGGCCGGCGCCGATGGTAGGCGTCTGCGGGCATCGATCGGCGCGTCCCGCAGCCGCACAGGCCTCTCCCAAACACGTGCATCGGACTGTGGCCGGTCTCGCGGCGCGGCGGGATCAATACCCGGAACCGGCCCCGGACGGCTTCCGCTGCGAGCCCCGGGAGCAACTTCTGTATTACGGAACGGCCTGTTGAGACTTGGACGCGCGCCCAGCGCCGCTCGTGCTCCGGGGCAATGAGTACGAGCACGGCTCGTGTACGAGTAGTTAGGCTTCAGGCTTCAGAGTAGGGAGCGTGCGCTCACTTCCAGTGATGCTCAATCCCAGCTCCGACGCAGGCACATCCACACCCTGACATTTTTCGGCCTGGCTGTAAAACCACTGGCGCCCTGCCTCATGCGATTTTTGGTATCGTACGCTAATGCAATTTCTAATACAAATTGTCGTTTCTGGACTTAGGCTGCATTAGGTTAATGACCTGGAAAGCTTTTAGCGGGGACGGGTGGGATTAAAGCGTGGTTTATGGTTACATTTGCTACTAACAATCCGCTCTGGCTTGGCTATTTCTTGCTCTTGCTGAGTCTTGCCATCAAACGTTTTGATTCCTGACGTTTAAGTTATAAATGCAGATCACCATGGACCAAGGACCTACATCTAATCACCATATGATGAAATGTGTGTAAGGCTCATTCATAACTATACTTGGTTTTTTTAATTCCCTGCTTGAAATTTGTTTTATTTGTCATTTCCTATTCACAGTGTATTTCTCAAGTTAGGTTGTCGTCCAGATACCACCTTGGTTTTTCCAATCCTGATTTGTTTACCCCAGTCTCAGATAAGTGGGTATATCCATGATTTTGACTCTGAAAATCGTTGCCTAGCGACAGAGTGACGCAAGGTCCGTCGTCGTCGACGCTTAATCACATCACTTGATGAGTGCAGACTTCAGATTTATCTGACATGAAGAGCTTGTAGTTGCCTATGAAGACGACGCACAGTACAGACGAAATAAAATGCCTTCTGTCTTATCAAAATAATGTATTTGTGCAGTACGTGTGAGTTTCAGCAACCTCCGTGAATTCCAGAGCTCCAGCAAGTGACCGATTTGTCCCCGTCAGCTAAAATTGCGCCAACACAATTGTCTTTCGTCTCGGCTGGATGAACCAGTGGAATGACTTTTACGGCATCCGCACGACGGACCGGTTAAGCTTACACGTAGACACTGAGCAAGGCCGCAAACCAAACCTGTTTCTTAACACCAGCACTGGGCTCTAATGCCACTTCACTTGCAGGTTACCCACCAACTACCACTATTTCTTAATACGTGTTTCTTGCCCGCGAACCTGGAGCAAGAAATCCAACTACTAAAGACACTGCCGTCAACGCGGCAACCACGTGGTCGAACCCTCTCAGTACAGCGAGAGGGCCGCAGTGCACCTAGGAGTGCGGCCGACTCACCGCACTTGGGCAGGGTGACGATCCACACGTCGTCCGGGCCGACCGGCGTGTTGTAGTACTGTTCCAGAAACGGCCTGGCGTCCGCCGGCACGATGAAGCCGGTGGGGCCGAACGGCACCAGGCCCACCTGCTGGTACACGGGAAAGGCGGCTGCCATTCGCCTCTGAAACTCCGCAGACACCGGCTGGGCCTCGTACGGGAGCGTTGCGGCTGCCATGCTGCCGACGGCCGGTTTCCCGCCGCGTGACGGACGGTAACGACGCCACTGAGCGACGGTCGTTGGGAGGCCGCGGAGACCTCCCCGACGGCCGCCCCTCCCCCGGACGTCGCGCCGGCGCGCCACGGGCGACGACCCTCGCGCTTGGTAGCTGGGGAGGCGTCGGGACGAGGCATCACGGCGTCTCTTGAGTGTGTGTAGAGGCCACGATGGAGGGATGGTAGGGCCTCATAACAGACGTTACCGGATGGAATCCCTCGAGGCAGCCATGCCAGACGCCTCGACGGGTACGTAACGGCCACATAACGACCGACGTGTGATGGGAATCCCGCAACAGGTGTTCTTTTTAACTGGAAGGTCAGGACAAACGCAGCCCCTGATGAACTATATACTCGTTAAAGCTATTTGCCCGTCTCCGGTTCCCTGGGGCAGACATGCTATATTTTTCAAAGATTATTTTGCTTGCTCGCATTTTGGGTGCTTCCTATTCATTTATAGATTGATTGGTCACATTTCATTGGGTCTATCCTATTTGATGGCTTCGCTGTCGGTTTTCCCCAGACCAGGCGCGCAGCCAGAGCCATGGCAATGCAGGGGCACAGGGTTAGCAAAGCGCCCCTGAAAGCAAAAAGACCCCTTCCACTAAAAAATTGTCAAACATAGCCCATTAGTTAATAAAGCATGTTTTTCCCCTGACTTTTTCATTTTTACCTTCTTTCACTGGAATAGAAGTCAGAAGGTAGCGCGAGATCAATGCTGCCTGAATCGCAGTCAATCAACTGGAGAAATCAGGCGTTAAACGACTGCATGAAAGACGTTGCCGGCGCTCTTCATTTCATTGTGGTCCAGTGAACTCTTTCTAAACCGATAGACTCAGAACCTTTTGTCAGAATCATTATCTGAGCTGTACAGATATAGTAAGGACCCGGGAATGTAGACTGAAATGGGTCAAAAGTTGCATTAAGGTTGCTAAACCATATTTGTCTGGAACTGTTCAGCACTGAGTCAAAACCGATCAGTGATACAAATAAGATAACGTAGTTTTGAGGATGAGCGCTCGCAAATCTTAGCAAAAAACCCCGATGTCAGGCGTTGCAATCTCCATTGGCCGCGTAAGGTCGACCGCGTGACTAACACTAAACCATGACCGATGGTGGGCGAAAATGATGACGCATTTGAAAGAAGTAACTGCGAACGCGTTAGGACATGAAACCGTATAAGGTAGCTGCGCATATATTGCACCTGTACGATTTTTAGATTGATGAATTGAACGAACTGGCCGTTATAGCACTGCGAGGTGGTGCTGGAATCTGGTGGTAGGACTGGGGGAGTAAATGTAGAATCTCTATTTTTGTGTTGCTGTGGCTGTTTGTAGGTCCAGACGGCAGCCTCAAAGTTTCAGAGATATGGTGCCAGTCTCATTTGTGAACGGAACGATTAAATTCTTTAAGAGATTAAAGGGAAGCATTATTTCACGACGGTCGCTCGCGCGCGCACAGCACCCGATGTCTGGTGTTACTTGCGGTGGTCAACGCCGTCCCGTCTTTCCCGGTTTTACGGACACTGCAGCCCAGGCCACCGCCATCCTTACTTTCGAGACTGCGGGTGCCCAGGGTTAAAACTTTTTATTAGTTTTTTCACTAGTCGATTCTGCAAAAGAAGGAACGTTCTCAGGCAAACATGGAATGCCTTATCCGTCTTTGAACTCATTTCGGCCCACTCTATTCAACACTTAATAGTCCCCTTAGTTCCGGGCAAGGCGCCCCTTGAGTAGAACACTAGGGGCACATTATTGTTCCCGGTAATTTCATTCACATTTCACATTATTGTTCCCGTCTAAAGGGCCATTTCGCCTCACCGCGGGGTGTCTTCTGGCTGCCATTTTGTCGACACTGAGCGGAATCTCTTGGCCGACCTGGAGGCCCTTAGATGGATACATCACATCACATTAGTTCATTCCCTGACGCGAGAGACCTTCTGATCCGTGCAGTTGACCTCGCACAGACGCAGGAACTCTCATTGACGTTACAACATCCCTGATCGCCGCGGGTGGTCCAATAATCGGCACGCAGGCTCCAGTTCGGCTGAACGGTCCCGTGCTGCTGGAATTGGGTTGGAGGCCCCCGCCATTTGGTTTTGGGGCCCTGACTGGCACAGGATGCTTCCATTATCTTAACGTGAACAATCATCATCAGCTCTCATGTTTCCTTCCATTGTCAGAGTGCTCGACCAACGCAGGAGGCCCTCCGTCACTCGTGGTCCCGTCCCCGTCCCTGTTGAGCAAATATTCCCATGACCGATTTGAAGCTCCGTGTTGACGCTGAATGCCCTGTTAGTCACTACGGGCCCCTGAACAATAAAGGAGCCCCGCACTGTTGCAGGCCCCGACCGACGTAAATCCCGGGCCCGGTCGCGCCCCTGCTTGGGAAATGGACCGCCGGAGCTGAGACCAACACGCAGCCGACTGTTCGGTGTTGGTGATCTCTGGCCGAAACAGAGGAATGTTTCGCCCCAGGAGTCACCAATCGGTGCGTCGGGGCTCTCCAACTCACCTGTGAGGTCACGGCCCTAAGGGCGCGGGGCCTTAATGTGGCCCACAGCCCAGCCCCTTGGGCCGTTCAGTCTTCCAATGGCGCCCTTGATCTTTAGGTTCAAGAGCCTCTTCGGCCCCTTTTCAGGCCCCCACAAACAGCGCTCATGTCTTGTTTGTATGACCCCGCTCCCGACTGTTGGCTCGGACCTCTTGTCGCCATACGACCCCTGTTTGGCACTGTGACCCCTCACAGACACAGGAGCCCCCCATTGTGTCAGGGACCATGAACATTACAAATCGCGGGCCCGGTCTCGTTCCTGCTTGGGAAATGTATCTCAAGGTCTCAGACGGACATGGTGCCGACTGTTTAGCTACGTAATGTTTGGCTACACTGTTTGTCGAGGCCATACATAATAGGGATGGGAAACCCCAGTGAGATGGCCCTAATAAAAATCCTCTGACTGACATTTCAGGTCTCGGCGCTACAGATAGGGGCGGGGGCGGGCCAGAGTCCAATCGGGCCTTAATCTTTGGCCCCGAGGGGCCCTCCGGCCCCTCGTCGGACCTCCTCAAACAAAGCCCGTCACCGATTAGTCACCAGTAGCCGAGGTGTAATCCCGTGTTGTGCACTCTAGTCTCCTGGCCGACGCAAAAGGTCCCAAGTACTGTTTAGGGGACCCAGACCTATGCAAATCGTGACCCCGGTCTTGCCCCTGCTTGGAAAATGGGCGCCCCAGAGTTGAGACTGGCAGGGAGTCAGCTGGCCAGTGTGTGTGGTCTCTGTCCGACTCAGACACCCGCATTGTTTCAGGGGTCCTCAAATGGTGCAAAAGGACCTCTGACTGATATTTCAGGTCATGACCCTACGGGCCGCGGTTCTTTATGTGGCCAGTCATTTGAGCGGTTATGCCCTCCCACCGGGCCTTTGATAGTCGGTTCCATTGGGTCGCCCAGGGCCTTCTTCGAGCCTCATCGAACACTGCCCTTGGCCGGTTCGAGGCCCCTTGCGAGCACAGGACCCTCTGTTAGGTGCTGTGACCCCCTGAGAGATATAGGGGCTCCGACCATTGCCAATCACTGGCCCCGACTTTGAAGCTGATTGGGAAGTGAGCCCTCAGGCCCACATCGATACGGAGCGTACTGTGCGGTACTAGTGGTGTGTGACCGACAAACTGGCCCATATCGACTCAATGGCCCCTGACCAACGCGCAGAGCCTTCTGGCTGGCACTATAGTGCCCGGTCGTGCGGGCCAGGGCCCCTGAATATGACCTCCGGCCGGCCTTTTAGCCCCTTCAGACCCTCAAATTAGGCCCTTGATCGTAGGTCTCAGGGGCCTTTTCGAGCCCCTCGGAGCATAAGGGGAGGGGGATACGTGTCCCCTATGCCCCCTCTCCGCTGTGCCTGCGCCACCGGCCCAGACGTTTGTACTTCGTATGCTCCAATGCCAAGCGCCCCACCACAAACGCTGCCGGCCGCCCGCTTGGCTCAATGCCAGAACGGTTCAGCTGATTAGATGCGGCGGGCAACACATGCGCTAGACGGGCGTGCACAAAACTCGTTGCCTCTCTTTGAAGTCACAGTGGCATCGCTCTCAGCTTGAACGTCTAGCTGCAGCAACAGCCCAGCCCTGTGACAGGCGATGAGCAGGTTGCGACAATGTTCAGGTGCGCGGCGTGTGCAGGAGGTGGAGAGGAAACTGTGGGTGTGCACCAACGATCCTGGGTTTTCGCGCGCCGCTGCCACAAGGTCAGCGCGTCGCTCAGACCAACGGTACGCGTCAAGGGTCGTCTCAGTGGGTGCGCGTCGACCGAGCGCAGCGCGCGTGAGCGCGCCTTGAAGTCCGAACGTAAACTCGCGGCGCCTGCCATGACGACCCCCGTTCCGTTTCCGTACGAGGCGCAGCCGGTGTCTGCAGAGTTTCAGAAGCGAATGTCAGCCGCGTACCCCGTGTTCGACCCGGTGGGCCTGGCTCCGTTCGGCCCCACCGGCTATATCATGCCGGCGGACGCCAGACCGTTTCTGGAGCAGCACTACAACGCGCCGGTCGGCCCGGACGACGTGTGGATCGTCACCCTGCCCAAGTGCGGTGAGTTGGCTCCTGTTCGGTACTTGCTGCGCCCTGTAGATTGAGACGGATCGAAGGGATAGACACAGACGGGACTACGGGTCTGTTCCTGTTGCTCCTTTTACCTCCTCGAAGCTCATCCGAACGAATTTGATTGTTCCATGCCCCTCCATGCTCCTCAAAGCTCACCTCAGATTCCAACAGCTTCCCCAGGAATACAATTTTTCGGAGGGGTTTCACTGGTTGAGAGGTTCTTGAGGAGACTATGGTAAACATCGGTGGTGCCGGTCATTCATACGCTTTTTTGGCTCCATCTGCCGTCACACAACAGCAATAGGAGACGGTTGTATTTTGGTCCACATAAACTTTATTGTGATATATTTTGTACATATTTTAAGTGACGAGTATATATATATATATATATATATATATATATATATATATATATATATATATATATATATATATACATGGATGCATACAAATATGCATATAGCCATATATATATATATACATATTCATGTATACACTCGTATATATCATTGATCATTGTTATGATAATGTATTTAGCTGTGTTTATGTTTATTTGTTATCTGTGCAGTTGTGCTCATATTTTTCCAAAATTATGAACTTTTTTGAGCCCGACGATTAATGCTATTCACTGTCAATGCATCAAAACTGTTCGTTCAAGTTGCGCGCAGACAGCTGTTGCATCCCCTTAAAATCGCTTCCGTGGCAGCACGTTTTACTCTAACTCCGCTCTCCTAAAGAAGCGACGGGGACAAAGTCCATGTATTTTCCCACGATGGTTAGAATACTAATTGTACCATTTAGTCTTGATTTTGGTTCTTGTGCGATATTTGGAACCAGGACTGCACCTCAAGCGGACTTCAGCCCGTCTCCAAATTTGGAGCCCGATCCACCCTTGTCGTTACAGATGTGACCCCGTACACTCATGGATGTGTGAGGCTCGTAACGTATGGATGGGGCGGGGGAGAGACACGCACAGGCCGATGCAACCACGCAGGGTTGGCAACCTCGTGTGCTTGTTTCGGAGGCGTATTGAACCATCGAACAAGATAAGTGAAAGGGGTATGCAGCCTTTTTCGTACGTGTTGCTCATTGTCAAATCAGACGCTCCCAACTTGATCGGCAATACCAATTTTCTCGAAATCCATCCGACTACCTCAGAATTTTGATTTGACATAGGTGCTCTTGCGGGAGAAATCTCACTGGAATGCCTGCTCACGACTATGAAATGCCTTGTTTTTCCAACGTGTGCGTTCTGTTATGTTTGCAACACACTAGTTTGCCAAAATCTTTGCGTAATAAATGCTACACGAAGGCCTGAAACACTTTTCGGAGAGAAATGTGTGCAAACATGAAGCTTTCGCCGCGCGAAATCAAGGAAACGTTATAGATGGCTTTGGTTTATCCCCTAAGGCGTTTGGCAAAGTGGCTCTTCACGAATCGCACTTTGGCTTTGAGAACCGGAGCATCTCATGGTTTAAAGTCACGCACTGGCTCAAACTTTAACCAGTGCACTTCTCGGTAACTGTCTCTTGCCGTCCGCTGTGACAATCACAAACGCTCATTTATACTGACGTCACCCATACTAGTAGAGGTGCCGCTCATGAGGCCGCAGGCTGGAGGCAGGTTAAAATATCTCAAAAGTAATACCTGTAACCTGTCACAGCCGGCAACGGCAATCCGCAAATTCTGCTGCCGTCATGAACAAGGTCATTGGAGTTAAATGACGACGGTGGTTGTCATGCCGACGACGGTCGCAACAACTGCAGTTATCGCGGACTCGGATTACACTTTGAGGCTATCAAATCAGGAATTGTGTAGTGCTGCTACCGAGCGTTCACACTGTGACTTTGACTCACGTTACACTGTAGTTATATCGCCTGTTAACACCTGTTTACACCTGTAACACCTGCTACACTGTAGTTATATCATATTGTTATAGATACAGATCATAGACCCGGCGCCGCCACCGATCAAGTTAATGACAGGACATCGGATGACCTTAGATGGAGTACTTTACCCCCTAAATGTAAGTTATAGCGCATTTTGGCTGGTGCTAGATAGCCTCTGCGCCTGTGAAAAGCGACGTAGAGGTAAGAAAAGTATGATTTCATCTCGTTTGACCGGACCTGACGCGCCATCAACAAGAGCAAGTAAAGAGAAAAAGGGCATTGTAGTCATTTTATGTTACCTTAAGAGCATTTTTAAAAAATAGTTTCAGTGGTGTGAGCTCGTGTGACATCAGAGTACCCAATTCAGGTTTATGATTGCCAAGCGTCGAAGATTATGAACACGCCAGCAAACTCCGATGTCTTCTAATTCATCTATTGTGAAACTGACAGCGGATCGCGCCAACCCTACGTACCCTCCCGTACCCCCCCCCCCCCCCCCCCGACAAACACACACACACACAAACACATAGGCAAAAGTGGGGAAGCTACCGAAGCTGCTTAGAAAGGAAACGCGGCAAGTAAAGTCAACCGGAACCTCATATTACACTCATAATGAAATTCGCAAAATCCATACACGTGGCACTTTTGTTGCCTTTCAATTTCCTTTCTAAATGAGTCATTGACTAGGGAACGCCTTGCGGGGAACATCGGCCAAGGTTCCCTGTTTCGCAAGAACCCAAGGTTTCGCACCAGCTGGTGCTCTTTTTCGAGTTTTCTGCGTCGGATTTAAGTGTAGGATGCTTTGTCAAACTGGTGTCCTCAGACGGAGCCATAGACACCACTATCGCAAATAGCCTCGGACGGCTTGTGTTCTGTACTCCAACACGAAAAAGGCGACGTTATCAGTCCTTCAGTCGATTACTGACATCATGACGGGTTGGACAGTGTCGAGATCACTCAGTGCCTTGTGGACGGTACATTTGCCTGCACCAGCCAGCTGGTTTCACGCCTTTGCCCATTCCCGAAGCATATAGCTTCTGTCGCTTCCCCACTGGTTCAACAAAACAAAACAAAAACACAAACACAAACACAAACACAAACACAAACACAAACACAAACACAAACACAAACACAAACACAAACACACACACACACACACACACACACACACACACACACACACACACACACACACACACACACACACACACACACACACACACACACACACACACACACACACACACACACACACACACACACACACACAAGTAGGGAGCGGCACACTGTTTAAGCTTATGTGCAAAACAAGATCGCAAGCACGTATGAGCCTGCGATTCTGACAGCACAGATGTATGTCCTCTCTTCCGTCGAACATCGCTCGTCTCGGTCCGCTATGACACAGCGTCACTGATACCTAAGCCAGGTTTTGTTCCGTCTCGTGCAACTCTCACAGCTATGGAATTTTACGGTTCCCTGTGAGAAAAAGGAAAGCAATGTTATGTTCACTTTGCCTGCTGGCAGTGAAACAGGTTCGATCAAACATCTTGTGTGCAAACACCCTGCAAATTATCCGTCAGGACGCATAAAGCATTGCACTTCGTGTGGTTGAAAGCTGATAATGTTGCATTGCCCGCAAGGACATCGGCTTCGAAAGCGCGCCGGTCGGGCCGGTCATGTTCAATTTTCAAGCCTCCTCACGTTTCAGCTTATATCAAGTCAACGTCATGCCCTAGGCTCAAATCGGTTGGTATAACTATCTGTTCTTTATGCTATATGTAAATGAAATACGCATCTTAAAAAGTCAGTGAGGGGCAGGCTATTTAGTTCTGTGGTGTGCTGCTACTTTAACGATGAACAGGCCATTTTGTTATCAAGTTTATTCTTCCTCGGACCAAATACACGGGTTATCTATTGTAAACCGCAGGAAATGACAGGCTTAGAATTTGTATTCCCAGAGCGAGCTGGCCCTGCTCGTGCACCGCCCCGGCACACCCTTCAGTGACCCATTGCTTCACCACACGTTTGTTTTCGTCGGGCGACCTTGCAGGGTACTCTGCGCCGTGATTTCGCGCTCTTCGAACGGGCGCCGGACGGTTCTGGTAATGATCTCGCCGGGTCGCGGTACAGGCCATGGTCTCGTGTTCGGGGAGCTCTAGTCGGCTGGGTCGAGATCGAGGTGTCCCGGCTGAGGCCTGAGGTCGAGCCGGCTGGGGCTCGAGCTGTCCGTGCCAGCTCCATCTTAGTCCCGCTGGGACCGATAACATCACGCGGCGATGAGTACATCCCACAGGCGGAGCTTGGCCATACGTTTGGTAACTGTCAGCGGGATTGGAGCATCCACGCCTCATCGGCGGGGCCAGAACGCTGCGAATCCTCAGAAATGATGGTGGTGCAGCTGCATCCGCAATCAGCCGCATGTACCCGTCTGCGCTTGGCCAACAACCTAAAGCAGTAATCTGAGGCATTACCTGGTCCTGAAGCATCACCTGGTCCCCGGGCATCACGTGGTCCTGAAGCATCACCTGGCCCTGAAACATCACTTGGTCCCCGGGCATCACCTAGTCCATCACCGGCCATCTCAGCTGACACGCACACATTCCGAGTGAATCGCACGGGTCTCGACTGCAAAAAAAAACTGCATCGTTGTGACTCAGCTGTGGGTTCATGTGTCATTAAATTTAATTAAAAATGCAGCCGTGTCGCGCAGCTGTTCGCTGATGTATATTGTTTTATTCAGAAAAAATAATTTCCCAAAGATGCGTTGGCTCTACCCGGGCGAACGGAAGCTTCTTTCAAGCAGATTCAGGCCGACAGAAAAACGACACGAAACATGATTGACAAAAATATAAAGACACCGCACGAAAAACGATTGGTTTCAAAGACTCATCAATTCAATTTCGGTAGAACCGGTGATGCATTTACTGCATAGTGCCATGGACCCAAAATTATCCGTGTTCATCTCAGGCTATCTCTGATCCAATGACCTCAGACATCTGATATATTTTTGAGGTTTCTCATGTTTTTGTGACGTGGGAGTACGCGTCATCCAATCAGGCTCTGTATTGTTCGCGGAGCTTCATAATCGCTGATTTATTACGTCCAGACGTCACGAATAACTTTGGTTGAAAACTTGCTGGAAACTTCACTCAACTCCAGACGGTGGCCTGATCGGAACTGGTATTTGTGACTGACTTGGACTGGTAAGCAATCACACCATTCGATGAATGATGCAAAAGGAGCTCAAACATACGGAGGAAACCACAATTCACGGCATTCACAGCTAACCTCAACGTGCGAAGACGCCATAGATGGATGACCACCACCAAACAGTTTCCTTCATCGGAAGTTGTTGCAGCCATAACCTCGATAACACTGTCGCTCGATATTGGTACGGCAAGCCTTGTGAAGATACCAGGAGCAATATTTTGCTCATTGGTGGCGTACTGGTCCCGTGATGCTGTCCGATGACTGTCAGTCCTCGACAAGCCGCCGCCGCACGGGCTCTGCGTTGGCTAAACGCGGGAAGCTCGCAATGGGTCGGCACCGTGACACGGGTATGTTGTCGATGAGCGAAATATCGCGGGCTGCTGTGCGGGCAGCCACAGTCCAAAAACGTCGCGGGCGTCCGGTGTTGGCGCATATCACGGCAGCGGCAAGCACACAACGCCGAGATGGTCGAGTGGCATGATATCGTGCACGTGATGGGCTTACAATGGGTGGCTTGAGGTGACGGCGGTGAAGGGCACACAGCTCTCGCTGGCCCACCGTATGGTCGCTTTTTGAAAATAGATAAGGCAGTAATATTAACTTACTTCTTCGTAAAAAATCAGGAAAGTGGAAATATAGTCAGGCTGATATTTCGGCAACATGCCCTTATCGAAACGTTAGCAGAACATTTTGCTAATGTTTCGATAAAGACAAGTTGCCGAAATATCGAACTAACTATATCTCCATGCTCCCGGTTTCTTCCAGGAGTAAGGCTAATACTACTGTCTTATCTATGTGAATAATGTTCCTCGCTATTACGTTGAACAACTGACGTAGCTTTTTGAGAATGTTGCCTCAGGGTTTCTCACAAAAAAGTGTAATAATGCTAATGATGAGTTTGCTTGTTGAGAGCACTTTACCGCACTTTACTTTCAGATGTACTCGTCAAACGACGCTAACAAGTTAGCACAAAGGACTGTAAAAGTACTTATTACTATACTATACTATACTATACTATACTACTATACTATACTATACTAAAAGTACTTATTACTATACTATGCTATATGGTTTTTACTATATGAGCAGTCGATATTTAGGTGAACTTGTTAAACAACGTTAACAAGCTAATATTGAGGCACATATGGATGTTTACTGATACCAGCGTACTCATACTCGTTAACTCGCACCTCCTGGCATAACGATGGTCGGCTATTTTCGAGTAACCTGTCATAATGCATTGAAACCGAGCGCTGACTCGGCCTTGAAGGCCTTTCTTGCTCATATCAAGCAACTTTACGAACACAAACTGCAGAAACACTGCCGCGCATCTTGCAATAAACCACGGTCTATGTCCGCCCCACACAGGCACCACCTGGACGCAGGAGATGGTGTGGCTCATCAAGAACGACTGCGACTACGAGAGCGCCAAGTGCCTGCTGTCTCCGGACCGGTACCACTTCCTGGAGATCTGCGCCATAACGGCTACACAGTGCCGCGAGGAGATCCGGCAGGGACAAAACCCGGTCAGCAAGCGACTCATGTTCACTCCGCTCCAGGAGAGACCCGAGCCCCGGTTCGTCAAGACACACCTGCCGCTGCACCTGTGCCCACCCACGCTCTTGGACACGGCCAAGGTGGGTGCTTACGTTAGAGTCAATGAAAATCTGGGTTGCTGTCCTAGAGTTGAACGACAAAGTCTACAAATGCTGGGAAACTAGCTTCATAACTTCCACGTTTGTGTTATCTGCCCCTAAAAGTGCCGTAAGCATACAAATAACTGTTAGGGATTTGCATTTGATTTCATTAAGACACCCTGCAATACGCAGCATATCTGAATCAGCGGAAAGCTTAAGCTTCTTACTGCCACAATTCTGGGTATCTCATTTTTCCGTTATCCAAAACCAGAAGCTCAGTAACATGATATATATATTAAGCACATTTGTCGATATATAAAACTGATATACTCGAAAAACTTGCATATGTCGTCCAAAAAATAACGGTGCAATGGCGCAGCTGTGGTGATCAGCATGAGAACCTGGCGTAGACGGTACTTTGGGAAGCATACATTCGAAGTCATATTAGGTTGTACTGGTGTCCGGACAAAAATTCGACTGGAAAGATTTTCGTGGAAAATGGTTCAACGAAAATAGATGAACGCCAAACGTTACCAGGGATATAGAAGTCGAAACGGAAAATGTCAAAGGAAAACAAAAACAAAAAGGGATAGAAATGAACGGGATTAGATTTAATAAGGAACAGTGAAAGAACAACTGCAAGCCACAGTTATAAAAGTCGGCGGGGGTGAAATCCAAATCGGATAAAAATTGAAAGGGATAAAAGTCGACAAAGATAAGAGATTGGAAAAACTTCACAAGTGAGAACCAAAACACCAGTTGGAGCAATGAACCAGAGCCTGGTGTTTGCAAAAAGTGTGAGCCAGGGAGCCAGAAAACCAGGGTCTCGTGTTTCTGTTAAGTGAAGCCAGGAGCTAGGCTCTGGTTGGTTACCAGGATCCCATATTCTTGCTTGCGAAAAAACCATTGAGCACCAGGAGCCTGGCTGTGGTACTTGCAAAAGCATCGATAGGATCCAGGAGTCCATGTTTGGGATTTACATGAATAACCAGCCGGGACCAAGAATCCAAGGTCTCGTTTTTGGAGACGCAAGTGAGAACCAGGAATGAACGATCGGAATCAGGTATCTATCTGCCCAGCACCAGAACTAACGAAGAAACGGAATCATCGAGGGACGACTATTAAGAGAATTTACATGGGTATAGATAGAGACAATGAGGGTATCCATAGCAACTCAACCACCTGGTAGCCTTAGGGCCCGTTGCGTGTGCTTTGGTCATGAAGGCTCGAAGGCTGACTTTCTGCTAGACGCGTTTGCCAGGTGAGCGCAGGCTGGCCCAAATTAGAGGATCCAGAAATGCAAGATAGTGAAACCTATTGAATCCACGGCCACATCCGACTGCAGTTAGCAACATCCCTTGCCAGGTGTCAATTCACTGAGGCTCTCCTATTAAATCCTCTCGACTATTTCCTCGGTTACTTTTATTCCAGTGGAGTTTATCGATGTCGAATTGTTGTCCGTCAGATTGTTTCCAATCTTACCTTATCCATGTCAACTTCTTTCCTTTTTCCAAGTCGAGTTTTACCCCGTCAATCTTTTGTGCTTTTATGTGTTTTTGCAATGTCTGTCGAATTTTATGACTTCCCACACTTTTCCGATGTGTTTATTCCAGTCGAACTTGATCCATGTCCATTGAATTTGATCCCCTTTAACTTGTTGTCCTGCTTCTTCTTTCCGACTAAACTTCCATTCCGGCCGAATTTTCCGCTCCCTATCCATTCTGATTTTTTTTTGAATTTTTTCATGGAGCTTTTTTCATCTGACTTTTTGTCCGGAAACCAGGTGTGTTAGCTGTGCAGTACTCCGTGTTGGCTTTCATCATGGACGTCCGGTTTTGAGTACAATCATGTGCAAATGTGCATCCCCCCGATGCGCTTTCCGCGAACTTCATGTGGGAATGCTCGCTTCATGCAGTTTTTTTAGATGCATATCTTCTCGTGGAAGCGTATGACAAACCAAACCGCGGCTTCTTGATCAATCTTTAAATTGATCGGGAAATCTTTAAAAAGATAACCTGTTTCGTACTAACTCCTGAATGCATTGCTGTCCACAGGTTATTTACGTGGCCAGAAACCCGAAGGACATGTGTGTGTCATATTTCAACCATCTGAAGGTGTTCGAAGAAAGAGACCCGAACATGTCCATAGACGAATTCGCCAATCTATTCATCGCTGGTGAGGTCAGCCAGCTGCCTTTCTTTCCGCACGTGCTGGAGGCATGGAACCAGCGGCATAACCCGAACATGTTGTTCCTCTTCTTTGAGGACTTGAAGCGTGATTTACGTGGTTGCATCAAGAAAGTGGCAGATTTCTTGGGAAAATCACTGACGGGAGAGCAGCTTGATGGGCTAGAGTCGCACCTGATCTTCAGCAGCATGAAGAAAAATCCGTGGGTCAACAAGAGCGTGATCCTCGCTTACTCCCCACTAACCGCTGAGCAGTTAGCTGCCAAAGAAGCGTCCTCACAAAAGACAGAGTTTATGCGCAAGGGCGAGACAGGGGACTGGAAAAAACACTTCAGCAAGGAGACTTCGGCCAAAATGGACGCGTGGATTGACAGAGAGCTTGCCGGCACCGAGATCAAGTTTGTTACGGGCTGAAAGCCGTTGTTGTGCCGTGTGGTGGACTTGGTGAGATGTTTTAGCTTTGCGGAGATGCGCCGATCACTTGCACGCTGAAATCCAGGTGTATCTCTTGAGAGTCCGGCCGGGTGCACATATTATTGGTCCTTATCGCTTGTGATCAGTGGTTACCATTGGGTATATACAACTGCTGGGTATGGGACAAAATCATTAGTTACCAGTTGGACATGAGCATGGAAAATGCAGTAATACGTTGTTTTTACTTTGCTTATGCTGGTCCGTTAACTTTTTAGCCAGATTTCAGCTGTGGATTCCTCGTGCGTGTTGGATCCTCGCTGAGGACAGGCACGTTTTGTACACGGTCGACGTCTGCTGCATCTGCTAGAGTTGGGCATTGATAATTTCCATGGCTGATGACCGTGATTGTGCAAAGCAAGATGTGTTTTGATTGACTCCCGAATTTTGTAGAGATGTGTGGATTCCTGTCTGTGGATACACATGTAAGCGCAGTGTCCGTCTATATACCTTGATGAAGACACAGTGACTGCCAATGTAGCGTTTGCGCGCGACTTTCAGCAGGCAAACACGCCGAGTTGTCTGAGTTTACGAACTGTATTTTGACATCGGCTACATGATTTCGACGGCAGTGTTCAATGCACGTCGTTACTCACAATAAATGGTTACGTTGATTAATGATTACTGGAATGTGCGAAGATAATGTTAAAGGTTAGGAACGGCACGCTATGGAAAGCACAGCAGTATGCAGATGACGAGGCGTACTCATTTCCACAAGGCCATCATGACGCGTATATTGAAACACTGGTTAGTTAAGCATGACCCCCTGAAAATACCACACAGGCGTGGCGCAAACAGCCTAAAACTGCCGCCTGTCACATTACGGGCGGATTGCGGACTACGCGCAGGCTTGAAGCCCCCAGCAGTTTCAATCGGTAAAGTACATTTGTAAAGTCACCACTGGCTCTCAAACTGGGAAATGGCCGAGTTCAACCAAGTTCGAAAAAAAATACCATCGAGCGAGCTTCTCGCCGGATTTAAGCCTTTTTCTCTTATCGAAGTTATGGAGTTTGGAGCACAAGTTGCGCTGGAGTGTGGGCGGGAGACTGGACTGAATGGCGGTTCGTGAAATAATGTTTGCGAAAGTCTCAAAATGAATCCATTCAAGGCTGTTCAACAAAGCTGCTTCCAAAGCTGATGAAAGATCAAACCGGAGGGTATCATATTTAGATGTGCAATTTTGAGCCTGTTCTCTGCACAGATAAAAGTTACGGAAACACGAAAAATGTGGATTCTTCCTTTACTTTTCCATTTCCACCTCCAGATTCCAACGCTACTTCGCGTTACTGTAAATGCTAGTCCGTTCTTCACATGACGTCACATGACTTCTATCCCTATATCAACAACGTCACATGACTTCTATCCCTGATCTGTTCTGTCTGAATACTGAATATTACTGGGCAAACAAGAGTTGGCCATATAACCACAAATTTGTTGCCATTTTTTCTTGGGGAGGGGTCTTTCACCATCAGCGGGGCCCTTTGTCAGCCATTCCTCCATCCTTCCCCACATCCTATCCTCATGCGTTGCCAACGCTCTGGCTGCGCCCCTGCACTGTACGTAAATCAGAGCATTTGTCTGAGATGAAACGCCATATTGCCAACTGCCCGACAACTTCGAGAAGAGAGCGGCCCCAATCTGGGTAAGGATCCATTTGTTGGTGTTTTTCGGGCTAGTTTGAGTCATTTTTCGCTATTCGGTCCCTCCTCCCAGCACATCTTGAAAAACTACGCCCTTGTTCTTGGTCATTTCTATGTTTGAGAGCCGACGATGATTTTACGGATCTATTAGACCGATCGCATTTGCTGGTGATTTTCTACCAACACGTGGTCCATAATTTACCCGTAATGTGGCAGACAGTTGTTTTAAATTGTTTGCTCCACTCCCGTGGTGTATTTTCATGCGGTCATGCGGAACTAAACCAATGTTTCAAAATGCGCAGCCGTGACGATTGTGGGTACGGGGTTCACCTAAGTCGCTAAACTACGGCAGTGCACAGCCGGGCTGCGTAGCATAGTTCGTCACGCTTGTGTGGAAAATGTAGGGACATGCCTACTTCAGCCGCTGGCATGGCAGATCATGAAATTTTCCGTTCTCGGGTAAGCAACATCATATAATTAAGTAAGCCAAAGCATGCCCATTAAAGACACATTCATATCTTCAGCAACAGATGTTTCTGCAGGCTTATAGGTTTGCGTGCGTGAAGCCTACAGCTATCAGCTGAACGCGGGATCCTATACTCCGCGAGCGCAACAGAAGGGGACGGGGGGGGGGGGAATCCTGAACTTTCTGAGGATTTTTATGCGATTAGTGTGGCGCTGCATGGCAAGAAAGGCATTACACAATTTATGTCCCCAAGCGCTTAGTTCGCGGCGGAACCACCGATGTACTCTGCATGGTAGAGCATCGTCGATGTACGGACATGTATGCATGCCCCTGGACAAAGTTTTGCATCGATGAAGGGCCTAAACCCTCATCATGTCTGTTTCGGCTCCCTCAACGTGTGATCAAGATCACGAAACGTTCACCAAAGTCGCTGAAATCAGCAAAAGCCTCCACCTTTTGGGGGGAGATTTGGTCTCCGGACCCGCAACCGTCGTTGTGAAGCTCCAGCTATTTCTATGCCATAATGCTGCGGTCACGGCCAAGACGGCTGTGCTCACCCGCGCCTCTTGTTATACCTATGCTGCAATAGTCATCCAGTCACAAGACATAACTACCCAAGCATAAGCACACTAATCACTGCCGGGTAGTGTTATCGCGCATTTTTCTTGCAGTGCGGATTTGGGCCGATAAAAACGTCATACGCGCCTAAAAGGATCATTCTTTGCATCCTTGGCACAATCCAGTCACCGCACAATGCAGCCATTCTCTTCTCCGGACTTGACACGACCATCAATCGCTCAGGTTTTGACTCGATGGTTACGCGGCTCAGCGTTTCTGGACCATATCATCCGCAGAAGTATCGCTGTGTGAATTATTACAGTCCTATCACATTTTGTGAAATGTATCCTTTCTCGATAAGTTGAGATAGCACGTACCTGCCTAACAAAAATATTCACCAAGTCGTCCGAAAATAACGCATTCTCTCTAAAAATGTCATTACAGCTCCAAAGTTTGTACTGCGCAGTGACCGGCAACCCTCTCCCACGTCATCAGCAGATGACGTCACAATCCAGGCCAACCCCCGGCGTCGTCATCTGAGCTGAGCTCTGAATCGAAGCGACCACTGCCGCTGCGCCCCACTGTGGACGCGTCGTCGCTGAACCCAACTGGGGGCAGGCCGACGTACTTGGCCGCACTATCCTTGTGACTGTTGTTCTTCAGCTCAGCCAGCTCGTGCACCCCGTGCACGTCTCGTATGGCCACGTAGGGGTTGGGCTCGGCCAGTTGAGGCTGAGGACTGCTGTAGTACTTAGACGACTTGATGCGAACCTGGCGGCGCCGGGACAAGCAGAAGTACATGCCGGCCGCCGCCAGGATCGCTCCGGTCACGAAGCAGCCGATACACGCGGCGATCATGTGGCCGCCGCTGACCTGGAAGGCTGGCGCCGGCTGCGAGAGTTCTGCAGCAGGCGTACCAAACGACTATTAAGGGAGGGTCGGTCAAATCTGGTCACAAATGCCCAAGTTCGATCTTTATTGACCTTGAATGATCTGTCCCTTCAAAAACCATCAGAACAACGTGTGCTCTTCAGAGTGATGCAAATAATAATGGTCTAATCACCAAAGCATGCATTTTCCGCGATAAATAAACGTCATTTGTCCTTTTTGGAATTAAATATAGCCGCTATCACCTCTGTGAAAATAGATTTTGATGATCATAAATCACGAGCGTATCATAGATCATAAAGCACTGAGGTAAAAACTTCAAAGTTGACATGTGTAAGAATTATGCGAACTCCCACCCTAAATGCAAGCGATATGCTCTAAATCGTTCAAAAGATATTGAGAAAGCGCTTTAGGGGCTTTTGATGCGCCCCTTTTGGGGCGAGGCGAACTAATGCTCGTTTTAAACGCGAGGCTGCATGGGCTGCACGGTACTGCATGCAAAAACGCCACGCAATGCAAAATCAAAAGCTAATGCAAAACGGCATTAGCTTAACGCGTGCTAGTTCGCTGCACTTAGGAAGCGCATTCATGTGCGTCTGCCGACTCAGGCAAGGGGCGTAATGGCGGAATGATCATTGCGCGGTCATAACGAGAGTCTTAAGCTTCTGCTTGGGGGGCCCAGGCTCGAACCCCAGCCGCGTCATGGCCACTGGGCGCTAATCTCGCCACTGCGTTGGCTGTTGCTCCATGAAAGGGTTCGCGACGACGCGCGTTGCGTTCCCCGTTTCATCTAAACAGACTCACGGCGGCTCGTCTGGACGCAGAGCCGGTCCTGTCGACGGGCGCCGAAGCATACCCCGGACTCGGACTCAGCCCGGCAGCGGCGCTCCCGATGCTGCTCCCCGTTCGTGTCGCACGGGCTCCAGGCCGACCTGTGGGCAACGTCCGGTGAGCATGAGACCGGCACGCGGAAACGGACGCTGGGACGCATCCTGATGAAGCACCACCTGTTCAAGACGCATGGCACGCACGCACGCTGTTAGTTATCGAGATATTGAGTTTCAAGGGTGCGTCATCTGCATTGGTTGTACGCACACACATACACACACATACACACACACACACACACACACACACACACACACACACACACACACACACACACACACACACACACACACACACACACACACACACACACACACACACACACACACACACACACACCTGCGTACACTACCAAAGCTGCGCAGCGCTGTTAACCTGTGACGCATCCACGCAGACGTTCATCCCACTCAGGCGCAGACCAGTGCACGCCTCCAAGGGTCTGACTGCAGCACTGAAAACCGACCGCGTACTACGGGGGCTATGCAACGAGTGAGGTCTCCATGCAGCAACTGATGAGATCGCTCCCACTTTGTGGGTGCCGACCTCCAGCTCCCGTACAGGCTACCACAGGCCACCATGCCACGCCTGCTGGACTTGGCCCCAGTGCACAGTCGGTACACGGCAGCTGCGTTCTCATATCCAGCGCGCCATGAGCGAATCTGCGCCACTGACCGGCGGCGAGGTACTCACCACTGGCGCCATCCTTTGAGTGCGCCAATGACCGGCGGCGAGGTACTCACCACCGGTGCCATCCCTCGAGTGTGCGACTGACCGGCGGTGAGGTACTCACCGCTGGTGCCAACCTTCCAGTACGCCACTGACCGGCGGCGAGGTACTCACCACCGGTGCCATCCCTCGAGTGCGTCACTGACCGGCGGCGAGGTACTCACCACCGGCGCCATCCCTCGAGTGCGTCACTGACCGGCGGCGAGGTACTCACCACCGGCGCCATCCCTCGAGTGCTTCACTGACCGGCGGCGAGGTACTCACCACTGGTGCCATCCCTCGAGTGCGTCACTGACCGGCGGTGAGGTTCTCACCGCTGGTCCATCCTTCCAGTACGCCACGGACCGGCAGGAGACTGGTACTCACCACCGGCGCCATCCTTCGAGTGCGCACTGACCGGCGGCGAGGTACTCACCACCGGCGCCATCTTCGAGTGCGCATGACCGCGGAGCGAGGTACTCACCACTGGCCCATCTTCGAGTGCGCCACTGACCGGAGGCGGGCATCTCACTGGGCCATCCTCGAGTGCGCCACTTGACGGCCGGCGCAGGTGGTCTCACCACGGCGCCATGCTTCGACTGCGCCAATGGACCGGAGGCGGGCTCACCAGGTCATCTTTAGGCCCCTGACCGCGGCGAGGCACTCACCATGGTGCATCTTCGAGCGGCGGCTGGTCTCGGCGCTCAGCGGGTGGCGGCCCACACGCGGCGGTCTCGGCGTCCGGCGCCTCCGCCCAGCGGCACCGGCGCGAGCGCGAGCGCTGGCCCTTCCCGCAGGAGACGGAGCAGGCTGACCAGTCGGACCAGCAGGACCACTCGCCTGTCCAGCCGGACCAGCGCATCAGCACGCATTATTGACTCTGAGACGAATCACGCCATTGGGTCTTTGGTCCAGTTACGTCTTCCATAAAATTGCGAAGCCTTTGTACACCACGTCACTGGGGCTTTAATCCAGCTACGTCTTTCGTAAAACTTCAAAGCCTTTGTTTACCACGGCGTGGCTGAGTGAATTTTCAAAGGTGGATGTGGTCTGTTGATCGGATTGCTTTTCACGAGCCTGCGCAGCGAAGAATACATCACGTGTACCGTGATAGGAAGCCTGGCGTTTTCTGCGCGTTTGGAAATCTGAAGTATGGGGTTCGATTCCCTGCGGTGCCCGCCCTTCCTGCCAGAATGAGAGGAAGGTGACGCACCCATGAAGGCATCGAGTCCCTACACCACCCAGAGTACTCGAGAAATGGTGTCAGGGCTGGGTTGTTCGAGGCACGGCATGTGGCATTCATGGTTGTTTGATTATTCAGAGCCAAATTTTGATTGCCATGAGGTACAATGTCGTGCTTTGCATTAATGCTGACAACATTTATAGCAGCGCACCAAGAAACTACAGTCACATTATATCCAAACTCGTTATGCATCGGGGAAATGTCTACGGCCTTGGGCCTTCCTCATGTCTGAGCATGATCATACTTGAAAAAGGCCTAAGGCCAAGAGCTTGTAAAATCATTGAGCGCATTTTGATACAGTGAGGCCGTGGTTTCTATTGCCTTGCTGCACGTTTTCGATGAGTCTCAGATCAGCGCTCCGCCGCATAGTTGGGACTACATTTAGGTGTGGTGTTTTTATTTAGGTGTTGTAGGTGTTATATACATATGTTATATGTGTTATTTAGGTGTTAGGTGTTATATACAGTGTGTACATTAAGTGTGATACAAGTGTGCTGCTGGTAGCGAATCCCTGAGCAATAAGGTGAGTTGGGGCATTAAGCTGTTCACATGAGCTATGCTGACAACATTATGGAAGCTACAAAACCCTGTTTTCAGAGGCTACCATAATGCTGCCATAATTTACATAGCAGCCATAATTAACACAACTTGCCATAACAGACCGCAATTTGTAACACAGCGAATACTCAAAGAACAAAACTAGTTGTGCATATATCAACTGGGCGTTTAGGTCGGGAGTAGCTGTACCGAGCATTTATCTCCATTTAACTCATCAAGGAATGGTCTTTGTGTTCTGATCGCTGGAGGTGATGCGTGGCGAACATGAAAACGTTTTAAAGGCGTGCATAGGTATGAACAAGTGCGGTGTCAGGTGACGTGGATGGGGGAGGGGATTTCGTTGCCAAATCTTACAGCCATTCTGGTGGGTGTCTGTGCTACAATGATATATGCATCACTTCAAAATATTTTGCATATTCCTAGCAAACAAAATGCATGTGCAGCCCGGTAACTTAAAAACGTTAAAAAAACATCCCGTGTCCTCCGTTAACATATTTGGGTACGCCAGCATGCATCTCCCGACAGGACACCTCAAGCAATCGTCAAACCAAAAGATATGGCTTTATTAGTTATGCCTTTTGAGCGTACCTGAGTTGACCATTGACGTTTTTCCCACACGTTCAGATTTGAGTCTAGTTTAGCCTGCTAGTTTAGCCACCCCAACAAGCAATAATGCTGATCCCTAAAATTGGGGCAAAACAGTCATACTATCAGTTCACGCCAGCCATGCGGGTGACAGCCAGGCCGGGGCAGTGGCCGCCGACGGTGGACGGGAACGGGGCTCAGATAAGGAACATGTAAAGAAAACGTTTATTCTGTGACTTCGTTTTTAACAGTGAAAGCTCTATGTTTATGGTTTTTGTAACGTTGTTTTGTTAGTTAATATTTGAAGCTTCCGGAGTTGTTTCCGCCTAAAATGCTCCGATAATTTTACCTGTTTGAGAAGCAGCCGGTGTGACTTAGGCGCATGAAAATCGTGGCGCACGGCGGGAAATCGATTCGCATTCAAAATCCTGAGCAGCCTGTGTCCAGGTCGTGTTTTGGCATCTACCCTGTGTGGGAAATGCCTCCCAATGGCCCAAAATGTCTACCCGCTCGTAAAATTTTGCCTCCGCAGGGAGAACAATGTTGAAATGGACAAATAATCTCAGAAAAGCTGGATAGTTTTAGTTGCCAAATGGCGTAGGTGAGTCGAATACGCAAGATTCTGCACCATCTGTGGATGTAATCTAGAATCGCAATCATGACATTTAATTATTTCCCAAATGTCTAATATTAATTACGAGCGGACAGTGCCTCCAACTCTACCCCTCCCCTCCCCCGGTCATCGGGCCTGCTTCCCGGTGAATATCCTGAAGCATACTCTGAGCCTGTTATACAAGCCTGCTGTAAGGGTGGTAAGCAAGGATGCTGTTTGCTTTTCAGTTGGGGGAGGGGTTTCCTATTTAAGTGGACGAAGTCCGAGGAAGAACCCGCTTATGGCGGATTTTGGGGTAGGTTGCGTCATTTTCCATTGCTCACCTTTACTGAACTCACTTTGGGAACATAAGCGCCTGATGGCAGGAATGGCTAGTTGGAAGTTAGAGCAGCACGGATACATTTTGCTTCCCATCAGGCACTTACGGACCGTGTGCAATCATAGCGAAGTGCCTCTGGTGACCAGGGTCGCGCGCACTGACCTGCACATGAATGAGTGTTACACATCTGCTCCACTCGGCTGGGCCCCAGGCAGACGCTGCGGTTCCCGCTGCACATCCTGGACCTGGACTGCATGCCCCCTCCGCAGGTCAGGCTGCAGTTGGACCAGGCGCTCCACTCCTGCCAGCCCGCAGACTCGGAGTCGCCTGAAGCCAGACATATCGTTCACCCACTGCCTTGATGATGATGGTGATGACGATTTAGGCAGTGATACAGCGCCATTACGCGCGGTTTATGATGAACGCGCCGATGTAATGGGGTGCAGTTACGACGCTAACGAGTGTGGTCGCGATGAATTCTACAGTCGATTTCGGCAACTCGTGCAACGCGATTTATCTGCACAGCAGCTTCTGCATACAGGATCTTATGAAGCTCACCGCATCCTCCATCACCGTCATTAGGCGATCGTCGCCATACCCTGCACCAATCTCGACCGCGCGCGCCGCGTGCCGGTGCCCACCTAGCGAGCAGAAGCCGTCCGCCGAGCAGAAGCGCTCGTCCATCTTGGCGTCACCTATCCGGATGAGCCCCGGGTCCGGCACGGGCGCGCGGCAGGCGAAGCGGAACCGCTGCTGGCGGCCGCCGTCGCTGCCATTGGTTGCTAGCCACGGCGTCCAGTCGGTGAGGCGGCGCAGGGTCGGGCACGGCTCGGTGCCGCACTCGGCGTACTCCAGGTCGCAGCCGAAGCACGGCCGGCCGCCGTTCGCCGGGCGAGGGCTGTCGCAGACGCGCCGCCGCCGCCGGAAGCCGCCGCCGCAGCGCGCTGAGCAGCGTCCCCAGGAGCCCCAGCCGCCCCAGCCGCCGTCCAGCGGCAAGTTGGTCTTGGACGGGCAGGGCGGGTTCGAGTGGCAGAAGATGTCCTGACTCTCCTCGCCGACGCAGGGCCGGCCGCCGTGCACCGGCGCTGGGTTGGTGCAGGAGCGGCGTCGCGACTTGCTGGCACGGCCACACGGATGCGAGCAGGCCGACCAGGCCGACCAGCCGGTCCAGCCGCCGTGGCGCGTGCAGTTAGCGACCTGGGCGGCGAGGCCGGTGCAGGGCGCGCCGCCATTCGCCGGTGCCGGGCTGGAGCAGGAACGCCGGCGGCAGCGGCACAGCTCGCCGCCGTCGGCCACCGCCTCTCTGCACTCCTGCCAGTCTGTCCAGCCGCTCCAGCCGCCGTCCACGGGCCGGCTGGGGTCCGGACACTGGGTCACCAGCTGGCGCCAGGAGGGGTCATCTGGGTCGCGGACGGGCGGTGGGCTGCAGATGCCGCGCACTGCGTCCCAGCCGCAGTACGGGTCCATGGCGCCCAGGCAGCTGGCTTCGCTCTGGTACCGCTCGCAGCGCTGCACCGGCACACGCACCAGCTCCGAGTCCGTGCCCAGGTACAGAGAGCCCTGCAGGGTGATAGCCGCGGTCAGTACGTACACCCATACTGGATCCGAGTCCGTCGTCAGCTACAGGAGGTACTCCGAGAGGTAATGACGATGGTCAGCAGCTACACCCACACCGGACCGGAGTCCGTGCCCAGATACAATTATCCTTGCCCAGATACCAAGCCTCGCGCAATGACGGCAATGCCTGTGCGCATGTGCTTCCACACCAGCCCGCGTCCACGTTCGGGTACCGGGAGCGCTGCACGGTGCGACAGGGACTGATAGATGTACATCCACACCTACTCTAAGGCTGTGCCCGCTACCAAGACTCCCACATGTACTCACTGGTGCCTTTAGGGGATGGGTACAAAGAGGTCCATGCATGCAACCCCCCCCCCCCCCTTTAGGGTGTGCGCAGGCACCTTGGAGCCTGGCAGTATAAAATGGGAATAAAATACGTCGGTCTCTGCGTGACTTGTGCAGCTCCCAGCTAGTCAGCATAACCTCAGATGCAGCATTCTTTGCGCATGGCTCCAATTATGGATAATACCGTGGTCATCAGAGGTAAAAAATGATCGCGAATTTCAAGACATGAATAAAAACAATAACAACTCACAGTTTCTTTAAGCAGCTTCATGGTCAATATTCTTGTGGAATTCTCGAACGGCTGCAGAACTTCGACGATGCAGGTCTTGCGGGTTCGTGGAATGACGCTCAGTTTCCTCACGTACCCCTCCGTGTCGGCCGTGAAGATCACATGCACGGACACGTGGTGCTTGGTAGTGACGACGTCCGTCACCACGGCCACAAGTCTGTGCACGGCATGACAACACATTGGTGAAGGACTCACCGGTGACTTCTCAACAAAGCTTTCAGAAGCACGCATTGGTAACTCATGTATAACTAGTGATCCTTGCCTTTGACCGCAGCATGACATTCATAGTGATAGCCATAACATCTTAAACACACTATGCCTTTGACTCACTGTGCTACTGCTCATCGCTACCTTCTCTCGTTTTCTTAATGACCACTCTGTTTCTCTCGTGGGCACGCGTCGGACGTTAGCTTTCCTCCCCCCAGCCCAGTCATTCACCTGGCGCCGTGGGCTAGGTGCAGCGGGTCGCGCGTGACGGGCTGCACGGCGCCGTCCATCAGGGTGTACTGCGGCAGGTCGGCTAGCCGGCGGCCCTCCGGCGCCGCGGCGCCGCACTGGAAGTGGCGCAGGTCGAGCGGCTGGCGCGGCCAGGCGCCGCCCGGCTCGCGCTGCCGCCGGAACGGGCCGTCGAACGCGTCACCGATCGCCGACAGGTTGAAGGCGCACACGGCCGAGCCGATCAGGCTGTTCCTGCGGCGGCGGCGGCGGCGTTTGGTCAGGCCGAGCACGACGCGAAATCGGCACTCAGTTCTGAGCGGGTCTGGGTCATGGCATCTTGACACCAAGCTCACCTGCTCACTGTGGGAATGTTGTCCCCGTGCGTCCCGTGCCAGATGGGGGTGAGCTTTTACCTGTTTTTGCAATTGTGTCAAGTGGGGTGAAATGGCAGGCGTAGACAAAGGGCTGCATCTTTAATATGGCTGCTGGTGACGATATAGCGAGACATTAAACAACGCAATGATGATGGTCATTATGGTTTTTCGGTCGTGTCCGCTACCAAAGCCATTTAACGCCCAACGTTAACAATGTTTTGAATCACGAGGCGTTTAGTGTGACCAATGGTGTCAAGCGCTCAAGCGGGTCAGCTCGCCCGGTTAGCCGCAAACGAGATTCCTCCCGCCCCGGCCACCGACTTTCTCCATCATCCCATCACGTGTGTCACGTCCACGCAGGGGGAACCCAGCATTCAACAGCCGCCAATCGCAATCATCAGTCGTCGCTGACGCGTCAGCAGTCGCTCTCCGCACGTGCTCGGCGCGGCCGCTGCGGCGCCACACTCACTCCGGGGTGGTGAAGGTGGCGTAGAGCACCTCCTCGCGGTCCAGGTAGTGCATGCTCTGCACCTGGTCCAGGTAGAACGGGTACTCGCCGGACACGGAGCAGTTAAGTCGCGCCTTCAGGAACGTTGTCCAGGTGCCCCGCCGGCTACCGCGGTCGTTCTTGCACACCCGTCCGATGCGAGAGTAGACACGCTGGAAGTGATGCGACGCGGTATGTGATTGGAGGCGACGAGCTGCAACATGGCTATACACAGGGCTGATGTGGACTCGCCTCATGTTAGGGTCTAGGCGGATCACGAACAGGCCTCATTCCGATCGCGAGGCACATGCACGAAGGAAACCGCCTGTGCGTTCAGGCAGACTTTATACCTACATTTTAAGTGTTATATCTATTCAAAGGTTAAACGTTGCTAAGGCCATCGGAAAACCGCCAGGAGGACTGGCGTTCCATACGATCTAGATGGGATCGTGATCAACGCCCAGCTCCAAGCGAGCCCGGCCAGCCAGATCCGTACTTTTCCGCAGCTGGGCAGGTCGACAGCGTCCTCCCTGAAGACAAAGTAGACGAAGTCGCCGCTCTCGAACGAGCCGACGAACTGCGGCGAGCTCAGCAGCGTGGTGTCGTACTTGCCGGTGCGCAGGCTGGACCCGCTGTCGCCGCCCTGCCGGTAGATGGCCGGGTCGAGGCCCGAGAAGTCTGCCGGCGTGGCGGCCACCACCTGGCCCTCTGCCGTCACCAGTGACGTCACGTTCATGTGCGGCGAGTACGGGCACACGGCCACACCCGACCAGTTGGAGAAGACGGTGTGCAGAGAGTCGATGTTCCTCCAGGAGCACTGCGGGTGGAAGGCGCCGGTGCCGCAGGCCAGCAGGCGCTCGCCATGGCGGTGCAGCACGCGGATGAAGTTGTGGCAGTCGGCGGCCGGCTGCCCCTTAATCTTGCACATGTTGGCCTCGTGCTCGGAGACGGACCAGTGCACGGACTCAAGCTCCTGCAGACCCTTCGCGCTGAGACGAAACAGCCGATTCCTGGAAACGGTGACAGCGTGTTTGACGAGAGACGACGGCAGGGCCGACGAAGCGGCGTGTTAGAAAGAGCTCTTCAGCTCTTCGCTGCAAGCTAGCAAGCCTGCATCAGCCCACGGTGGGCGTCGTGTGCTCTGTTCGGCGTGGCAGACGGACAGATCCGGAGTGAGAGCACCCTGCCCAGCTGCGAAATATATCGGTCTTAATAAGCCGTTATGTTATGCCAAGGTCGAAGCTGCCATCTGATCTTGTGGCGTGCATCTGAAAACCCCGAAAGGAATTTCTGCAAATCAGTGCCTGCCTGATGTCTTCAGTACATTTTAATTTCATTTTAGGAGCATTTTAAAAACCAGTCAGCAACTTAAAACTGTGAATGAGGAAAACTGTTTTAAGGATTTCATTGCAGCTGTCAGGGGGCGGATCTGTAATTATTGCCAGCATGGTTCAGTAGGACCGTAATAACAGCGGATCTCATTCAAACGATAAGCTCATCGCTCCAATAACACAGGAACAAACCTCGCTCCAACGATCATCTGGTACTTCTGGATGTCGAAGAGGATTTCCGAAAATCGTGTGACGCCGGCAGGGGCAAATTTGTCTGCTCCGCGCGAAAGTTCTGGAAGTGGAAGCCGTCGTTAGTAAGTCCAGTCTCCGTAAACTTTTGTTGACAGCCAGAGCACGGAGGACTGCGGGTTCATATTTTCAAACGACTCGCTATTTTTCGCCCTGGATATGCCAACTAAACTGATACCGACCAGCCTTCAGCACACGCAAACAATGGCAAGTTGTTTGTTGTACAAAAGTGGGCAGTAATGGGGTAGATGCTTTAAAGCGTTAGATGAAAGATATCTGGTTGGAGAAAGTAATGGAAGTATTTGAAGAAGGTAGCCTTGACTCTTGCCTGCCTTCCTCACGGGCAATGACCATATGGAAGAAAAAAAATTTACTGATAAATGCGTATGAGTCAAATTAATTCTGCGGAAGTTGCACACGTACATGTACAGCGCGCACATCACCTATAGTGTTAATTTCACAATTGAAAAAAAAGAGAAGAAAGAGGAGAGGCAGACAAGCAATTGACGGGAGCCAACAGCGACAATATTGCAAGAATATGGACGGTGGTCAGAAAATAAACAAAGGTGCGCGGCCCTACCGTAGGGAGACGGCGAGTTATGCCGTTCGCCTTTCAGTTGCCGTATAAGCCGCGATGACGTTGTCTTAAGTTCACCGCAGAGAGACAAAGCTCTTACATCAGCCCAAACATCGCCATAGCGTGCTGGAGTGACGCCTCGCAAAGTCAGGCATGCACGTGATATGACCGCATCGTTGCCGCGCCGTCGGAGCGAAAGGACACCAGCCCAGGCGCCCCGAGTTTTAACCGGCCCTGATGCGCCACCAGCCGCGGCATACGCCGTCAACGCCGGCCCGCGGTGAGCCGGTTCTTCAGGCAAGGACAGGGGCGTACACAGGATCTCGCGATAGGGGGATGGGGCGCTAACTGTCACCGACAACCGAGTCTATCGCGCAATTTCTTGCGCATCGTAAGCCAACAATGCATGTTTTCTGTCCTTTTAATTTCATATTTTTACATACAATGTTTAGCAGCAAACATTTAGTCGCATATCAATGCATGCCATAAATTTGATAAGGGGAACGTGCCCCCAGGGTAACTTTGTGCATGCGCCCCTGGGCAGGGAAGCCGCTCCGCTGGGTTTCAGATCCGGTATGACTGCATATTCCGCACACTTAAAGGTTATTCTTCCACTTTAGCTTAGGCGCTTTTGCACCGTTCTGGACAAGTGAGAATGTTGACCCGTTTTTACCACAACCCTGCAATAATACGCTAGCTAGTCCACCGAGGTGACCAGCACTAAGACCCGACTACTTCATCACGGAATATATATATATATATATATATATATATATATATATATATATATATATATAATATGATCTGTGTCGCAGTTCCAGTGCATTTAGCGGTTTCCCGGTAATTTTTGCGCCATGGTGCAGGTTTGTTATCGACGATGGCGAGACCAAAGCACTCTCAGAGGGATACAAAGCTCCATCCATCACCGTCGGAACGCGGGAGAATCTATAACGCCCTGACAAAAGTTAGGAACGTCACATAAATTGTATTTAGGCTCCGAAGAGAGGGAACAAAAGAGAGCTGTCATCCCTGAAAATTCCTGCGCAGCGGTCCCGTGCGGTAAGACAGGATGAACGCCGTGTGTTCAAGATCTGACTTTCCAGCGCCCCCGCTCACCTGCGTGCGACACGAAGCGGTAGTCTGTGGCGCCGCTATCGGAGGTGACACAGACCGCCATCCAGAGAAGCGGGAGCCATGCGGCCCCACGTGCGGCTCCCATCATGCGGCGCTGGGCGGGTGCTCTCACTGTTGGCGGAACGCCACTACCCCGCGGTTGGACTGCGCTTCATGCCTGCCTGCGGTCATAGGAGCGCCGCAGTTAAAACTTCACCCTCAGATGACGTCATCCTCGAAAGGGAATGTTCTGATTTGCTGTTCACGGTTGCACGCCATTGTAAACATCACGATGGTTAGTGTGGCTATTCTACAGTTCATTAATGTGACCGGTGTGAACTATTGCAACATCGCAGGTCATGCCGTAACCAAAAAAGGCAAAGAATGGAGCCCCGCCTGTTCTTTCAGCAATGCATGGTCGTTTCGTAGCTTTTAATGCAATCTGAATGGGTTTAAGCGGACATAAATGGAAGGGAGGTAGCTCCAAGGCACGCCTGTTATCTGATGTACCTGCATATTTGGCATCGCCCTCGGAAAGGAATTTGATCCACAAAACAATGCCTAACGAGGTATGTGCCACCCAGTGTGTCACTGTAGTTAACAACAACCGTTCATGGTAACAGCTGCACCATGACCGCTTCAAGCCAACTCCAGGTTCGACGGGGGTTGGGTCGGCCGGGCGCACATGCCCGTAATCATAGCTCATCACCCTCCTACGCCAAACCACGAGAAGGCGTCTTCGCTCGCCTGCACGGACTGGGCCGCTTCCACGCTGTATCGCCCACCGGCTGGGGTACGCCTGCAGACGTGCACCCACAGCCCGTGCACGGCTACGCGCCGAGCCGATCGTGATCAAGCATCTCGGTCGGGACCATGCAGGTTTGAGCGTGTCAACCTTCGCGCTAAATTACCCCGGCCTTTGGACGCTGACGGTTGTTGGGATGTGTGATCAGAGGGCCCTGCGCTAAGCTTCTCACCGCTTGGTCTCGATGCCAGATGCACGGCAAATTTGCGGTTCGATTATCCATTGTAACATGTCACCGGGAGCATAGCTCTGCATCGGAGCAGGTGACTGCCGCGGACAACGCGCGTAGCTGAGGCACAACACGAGGCACGTGACTGTAAACGGGCCAGCCTGCAGGGTCTACACCGCACGGATGTAAGCGCCTTCGAGTGTAAGTGGACGTGGCAGCACTCATTTCCAGGAAAATCTGCCCGTGGGCAGCTGCACGGAATGCTGAAGGTGTGACGCTTGAAGTGAGTCCAACGTGACTGCGTTCGTCAGCGGAGACACGATGTAAGCGGCGGACAATGCTACACGGCCGGTCTTTTTCGCGACTCGCGGGATACCGACCGCAGATAGCATCTCCCACCGGACGGTCTGTAACGGCGCCGGCCGGAGGAGTTACACTCACATACGCGATGCATGAACCCCATTCTCTGGCGCCCCTTGTCTGGATGTTTCCGGTGCATCCTTTCAGGGGCGTCAAGACTCACTGGGAAGAAAAGCGCAGCTTTCGCAACGTGGAATGCTGTAGCTGGGAATGTTGAGCAACAAATAGTGAGAACTGGAGTTCTTACTGACGTTGCTGATTGTTATTTGTTCTACACCAATTGTACCGAAATCGCGAAAGGTTTACATGACACACCCGGACCCAGGCGCAGACACGTGTCTGTGGCAGTGTCCGGCAACAGCCCAATGCGGTTCGTGGCATGGATTTCATCAGCACAGCGGCAAGTTACATGGAGCTTCCAAGGACACGGTTTTCACGTCGCTCATCAGCATATCTGTCCACATGCATATATAGGCAGAACATGGCGCGATCATCCGACTGATTGCCACCCGCCATCGCTGTTCGTCGTCCGCATACATGACATAAGGCAGTCTAAGAACTCACGAATCCCAAGAACGACAAGCCATCCGATTGTGAATGTTTGATGGATAGTCACAGCCGGGTGATGCAAACTGACGGCGTATTTCTCGCTGATAACGTAGTGCGGGTTCTGGATAAGGTGCCGTGTGAGGGAGAGTTGCATTAAATACGTCGGAAGATTCACCTTCCATCTACGCGCGTGAGACAGCGAAGCATACGGCACTTACCAATATCTAATATCGCGGCGTGGCTTGAGCCACTCTTTGTTTGGTGGACGCGATTGGCGGGTCGGATTTTACATGAGGCTGCTCCGCCTGGCTTTGGCTCTGATCCCGGTGCTGTTCTCTTAAAATAACTTTAATTTGAAACTTGATGTCATAAGCACAACACAGATACACTGATTACTTGTCAACTAATACTGCATTTATTCCAATGGCTCAGGATCATATCTGCAATGCCAGGAAAGCGGCATCTGAATTTAACCGCCCCAGCACACCAACAGCTCGGACAGCGGAGCTGTTGAAGAAGTCAGGTTTGACGACTCGAATCGCCGCCGGATCGGTTTTTCTGGAGCACGTGGAGAGGCAGCGGACCGGACCGGACATTGTCATGGCCTGACGTGGCCGGCGTGGTGCGAAGGAGAGCTCACGTACGGCCATGCTGCCATGCTTTCTCGCCACATGCATAGTGGTCCAGGGCTTGGATTGGCTTGTTTGTTTCAAAGCTAATGCAGCGAAAAATGGCAAAAGCTACATCGGCGAATGATTGAACCCACCACCTCACAACTGTCTGCTGGTGAGTGCCTCTATCAGAAAGCGAAGGTGCGTTCAACTACGCATAGGAGAAGGAAAACAAACATCGGTACCAAAAGATAATGAAATAATCTCTGAGCCTTGTTTAAATATGTGTTTGGTCAAACTGACTCACCGATATCTTCCGCGTCAGCAGGTACACAGCCATCATGGTAGGGCAGCCTGCACCACTCTACCCGGTTCCACTACCCGCTGCCGCACCGGCAGCGCCGAGTTTGCTCAGTGACTCCGCTGCTAAAGATCGTGGCAGCGTGATTTTCAGTCTGTTTATGTAAAGCACACTCTCTCAATGGCCACCTGTCCGCTAACGTCGGACAACTGGCCGGCCTCCGATACCGGTCGGCGGGGGGAGGGGCCGCACGGGCGGTGGGTCCGCTAAAGGCGCGGCGCGAGACTGACGACATCTGTTGACGAGATTGTGCACTGCACCGCGGAGCTGGTTTGTCCGTGACTGCGCTCCACACCCGGTCTAAAGAAACACAATACATCACTGTTCTTTGCTCCGAGTTTAGACGAATAGGGGCAACCAAATGTTCCTGTGAACAAGAGAACACTGAAAGCTTTCCGGATCTTGGTATGGTATAATGGTCCACAACAGTAGATGAATAGGTCAAATACCCATTTATGCCTTCCAGCTGCTTCGTCCCATGTCGCAATCGTTGGCACCGCGACCTTCTCCGACATGACGTCGTCTCATAGCAGCATCCCATCACCGCAGCGGCCGGTCAGCACCTCTATCCAATGGAGGCTTTCGCAGGCAATCGAAGTCTCCATCCGCACCCAATTCACCCGCTACCCATAGGGCTGCGTCATACCCATCCGCCACCCATTGTTGATCAGTTTTGCGCATCTGCTACCCACCCGTTTACTTTTTTCAATACTTAAGTTCGAAATTATGAAAGAATTTCAGAAAACTATTTTGGGGGTTGATGATTGCAAAAATAGCCATACCCGTATCGTAACCGGTCAGTTTCTCACGATCTGAACCCAACCCAACGTGGGGACCCATGGGTTTACCCAGCTCGTAAAGTCCTCTACTGTCCAGTGTGTCCAGCGCGTATCTATGGGGTATCATGCTTCTCAGTTCTTGCGCAACGGCCTACTCACTCTTGCACGTCTTGACAAGCCTTGATTTTTGTCAGCCGGTCGCTGGCGAGCACAGCCTCGAGGCGCTAGGGGATGCGGTCCCGCTCCCGAGCCCCTGCAGCGTCCCTTACATCATATGTGTGGGGTGCTGCGGACCCGTCCCACATCCACACGTAGCGATACGTGTCCCCATCCCATCGCGACGATACCCCCCCCCCCCCCCAACACCATCCCATCGCGCCGATAACCGTGCAGGAAACGGTGCGATACGGGACGCCGAACAAGTAGTTATCGGGCTGCGTGACTGGATGATGAGATCATCCCATCGCCGCTCGGACTATCCGCAGTTACACGTGCAGTGAATGTGGTCCGCTCGTCGGAGGGTGAGTTGGGAAGTGGTGGTGTTATTGTTTACTAACATAATCAAAAACTGGCGTGGGGTGAGAGTTTTGAGACGTCGCCTAAACGCACGCTTCTTCGCTGATAGGATTAAATCGTCGGCTTCAAGTCAAGTTTTCGGAATTGCATTGTCTACGGCCTCTGACTGGTGTGCAGGGTGGTCCCTACTCTTCGCAGTGTCATGGTGCCACTACCGATATAATGATATATGTGCGTCATGCTCATCACGTGACTTCGTACTCATTACCGCACGTCTTACCAAGCCGAGTCTCAGTATAACCCTTTGTCCTACTCTTTTGGGTGGTTATTCATTGAAGTTAAGTTAAGACATCTGAGATAATTGAGTTGCATACAGGCGTACCTACCCTGTGAATTCGGTGTTTCTAGCTCTCTTGATTTTGAAATCTCAAGGGGTCAAATTGAGCCGCCACCCCAATGCGTCGCATTCTGCGCGGTCACCACGCTCGCGTTAATCCGGCCAAATTTGAAAATTGCATGGTGTTCCATGGATAATGATCTCCTTACTATTCAAAGCATTTCTCCAAGTCACAAAAAGGCTCCGTTATGTTGACTCCGTACGTAGGCTCCATTACAATTGTTAAAGTGGCCGCAAATTGACCTGCCCCGGGTTTTGAGGGGCTGCGTCCAAAATCCAGCAGGGAGGAAATAATTTCGCTGGCGAAATTTTCAGAGTAACACGGATTATGTCTATGCATACCGGACGGTGGCCTTGTCGTCAAAGCTGCCATAACCGAGCCTTTTTATGACTTTTGGAGAAATGCTTCGAATAGTAAGGAGATCATTATCTATAGAGCACCACGCAATTTTCAAATTTGGCCGGATTAACACCAGCCTGGTGACCGGCTGAATGCGACGCGTTGGGATGCGGGTTCAATTAGACATCTTGATATTTCAAAATTAAGAGAGCTAGAAACACAAAATTCACAGGGTAGGTATGCCCGTATGTAGCTCAATTATCTCGGCTTTTAGGCAAAACTCCAGATTGGTGCTGTAAGTGCCTTGGGCCCTTTTATACATATACCTTTGGTTTAGATGCCTGCTCCAAGCAAAAGGCCACTGGTGTCCATTTCAGATAATTGATCTTATTTGGCCTACAGAAGCCGCTCAAAGTCATTTGGGTCGTTGAGATCCTCTGACATTCACGAATCCAAAGTGAGATGTCTGTCTGTGTCCCTGTGATAAGAAGAGCGTCAAAGACAACCTCTCGAAGCAAGTCTTCCTGCAAAAGCAACAGTTTGGTTTCGATCTCAATCTGACTTTTAAACCTGACCCAGGGTTAGCAACATTAATTGTAACCCTAAAGTGAACTGCCTCATTGTCAGAGAAGCTATCTCATATGTACACGGCTTCGTCTAGCGCTCCGTTGTCACTCCAGATTCAACGATCCAACAGGAATTACCTTCATTGGCAGCCATGGACTGAGTTTAACATGTCGTTAGTCAGTGACCTTATGAGGTGTATTCTTTTCATACTAGAAGATCAGACATTGATCTCACAACAGAACTGTTCTCACGGCAGCATCTGGTTTTTGTTTGGGTTGCAAGGTAAAGATAACAATGGAACGAAGAAAACCGTATCGCTTGTTAACAAGTAGGTCACATCCTTTTTTTAGGGGGGGGTTACCAAAAGAGGGGCTCTTGTCAACCTTGCGCTCCCCTTAGCAAGGCTCTGGGTACGCCCCTGACTACGCACAGGAGCAGATCAAGTCGGCTACGTTGAATGACAATGAAATGCTCGTTGTGCCAATTCATACCTAAGGCAGGCAGCTTACCGGAGGCTTTTTCTAGGGTGTTGTGGTGTAAGGGAAGAAAACTCGGAAAAAGATACTGTTTCAGGTGTTCAACATGTTTTACACACCAGTTAGTAGCAACGCTGATCCAGCAATATGCAACAAAGCAGCCATACGATCAGCTCGCAATCAGTCATGCGGGAGGCAGCCGGGCTTGGGCAGTGGCCGCCGATGACAGACGGCAGCAGGGCTCAAATAAGGAACATATGACAGAAGGGCCTTTATTCTGTGACTTAGTTGTTGAAGGGGAATCTCTAATTTTATGGCTGTTGTCACAGTGTTTTTGGCAGTTTCAAGCTTCCGAATTTGCTTCCGCCTAAAATGTTGCGGCAAGCCTTGTCTCTTGAAAAGAAGCTAGCGAAGTGAAGGCGCGTGACAAATCTGTCGCGCTGTGAGCCATCGGCTCACATTCGAAAGTCTCGCCAGCCTTTGTCCAGGCTCATGGGTGTAGGAACAGGGGGCCAGGGGCCACGCCCCCCCCCCCCGCTTTTCAAGGTGGGGGGCCAGCAGTGTTGGCTTCCCCCCCACACACTTGTCTGATTAAGGCTGTGTTTGGCCGACTTTTACACTACATTAAACATAAATATCCATTTATCTAGTTCATCAGCCATCTTCTTCAAGATGCGTCATCTTTTTCGGTTGCTTATTGGCCACCACTTAGTGTTACAGCCACAGGGCCGACGCCGCGCGGCCTATGGAGACTGCAACGTCGGGTATCGAGGCTGTTGGTGCTATACCTTGCGGGCGCGCATGTTCAAACCATGCTACATAATTTTATCAGGAATCAATTCTGATTGAACCTTGAGCATTTTAAGACAAATATGGATTAGCCATGCTAATACAAGTTTGCGACCCAATTTCATGTACAATCTACGTTCAGGGAGCCCTCAAAATCTTTGAAGAACAAAAAAGACATGGGACCAGAGTCTATGTGACAATAATTTGACCACCTGCGGCGATCAGGGATTTTGTTGCGTCAGTGAATGTTTCTGTGCTGATCCAGGACTAACTGCGCGGGTCAGATGGCCTGCCGTGTCAGGGAGGAGAGCAATCTGATATGACATATCCTTTTATTGGCCTCCGGATCGACCAAGAGATCCTGCCCGTGTCGCCAAAATGACAGCCAGAAGGCACTTCGCGATGGGACAGAATGGCCCTTCAGCCCTCGACCTGAAACGTTAATGTGCTCCGGGTGTTTTACTCAAGGGGCCCTTGCCTGGAAGGAAATAGGGGTCTCAATATTGTTGAGTAGAGTGGTGGTCTCATTATTGTTGAGCATTGGGTTGAAATGAGTTTAAAATACGAACAATGGCATCCTATGTTTGCCTCGGAACGCATATTTTTTCAGAATTTCTTAGCGAAACAACTCACATCGACATGTTTTAACATGCACGCCAGCAGCCTCGAGAGCAGGGACAGCGATGGCGTGGGTTGCAGCTTCTGTAAAACGGAACGGCGCCGGCCACTGCAAGTATCACGAGACAGTGAGCGCCGTGGCAATCTGTCTTCTGGACAGATTGATAATTGCAGAAGCACGAAAAAGAGAGAATCTACATTTAATCTTCCAATTCCACCGCCAGATTCCAGTATCACTTGGTGGTGCTTTAACGGTCTACCCGTTCTTATCATTAGTCTAACAATCGCGCACGTGAAATACGCGCCCAGTCTATTTTCCAAATGTAAGGTTTGATGTCCTGAAGCGTTCAAAGGTACTTCTTTCAGAAGCGTCATCATTTTTGAACACCCGTTGGCCACGGCTTAATATTGGCTGTTGGGCCAACGCTGCGCGGCCTGGGGAGACTGCAACGCTGGCGTCGATATTTTTGTTGCTAAGATTTGCGAGTGCGCATGCTCAGTTATGTCACATAGCTTGTGGCTTTAATCGATTTAAGTGTCTCAAGGTAATTATTTCAGAGGCGTCATAATTTTCGCCCACCGATGGGCTACGACTAAAAGCTAGCCACTGAGCTAACGCTCCGCGGACTACGGAGACTGCAACGCCTGGTGTGGAGGTTTTTGTCGCAAGATTTGCGTGCGCGCATGTTAACACGCGCCCGGGTGGCCGGCTAGATACCCTTTGCTCGGGTGGGGGGTCAATTTACCCCCCCCCCCTCCCGCCCTCAGATCTCGGGAACTAAGAAGGCTAGAGACACCAAATTTGCAGGGTGTCTTGACCTGTACGTGTACTCACTTAGGTCAAAGTTTGAGTATCCTAGGTCATGACCTTCAGATCAAATAAGGTCAAACAGGATCAAATTCTAGATTGGTCTCCAAAGTGCCCCCAGAACCTGGAAAACTGCTCCTAAGCAAAATGTCAAAAGCCCATTTAAGGTCAGTAACGTTGTTTGACCCTTTGAATGTCATGGTGACCAAAATTATACAAGAGTGCTCTGAGTTTTGCATTTGAATAAGCGACAAAAATTACGCTAGACAGTATGTTCATAAAACAAAATGTCGACCCGGGTCATCTTAGGTCAGTGACCTTTTCTGACCGCTAAGAAGTCAATGGAAGATGTATAATGCGGTTCCTGCTGTCAATACATTCGAAATGAACACCACAAACTATCCCATGCAGCAAGCTATAGAGAAATAAATCATGTTGGTCGTTGCCTGGTCTGACCTTCATACCTGACCTTAGGTCAACGCAATTTGCTCATTCAATATTTGTAGTGCCTAAGGAAGCATGTCAGAGATGTACGGCTTCGTCAAACACTCCGTTATTGCATCAGATTGGACGATTCTCTAGAAATTGCCTTCGCTGAAACCATGGCCTGACTTTGACCTGCCATAGGTCAGCGACCTTGTAAGGTGCATCTGAATTTTTGAAAGTCAAACGATCCGCTATTGAACCTTCTACATCTATGCAAAATTTGGCGCGGCTACGCCACGCCGTTCGGAAACCATTCTGGAAAAACCTTCGGGGGGGGGGGGCAATTTGACCTCCCACCCGAGCGCGTGCAAGAAAACAACGTTGCATAAGTTGTATCACTGATTGATTCTGAATGGATGTTGAACATTTCCAGCCAAACATGGCTTGGTCATGTTAATACACATTGCTGACCACTCCATCTACAATCAAATTTTCATCTTCAAATTTCGATCAAGCATATTGATCTACAATCTGCCTTCGCGAAGCCCTTAATGTCTGTACAACCCAGATAAAATTTCTGACAAAGCTGAATTATATCGTTTTAAAAAGAGTTCATTAAACCATGGTAAATTAAAGGCACCGGTAACTTATTTCATGCGGTCGTTCAACGCCTGATTTTTGGCTCACTGACTTCAAAATGCAAACAGAATTGATCGCACGGTAGTTTTTATTTTCCGTTCTGCTTGCAAAGTAAAAATAGTGATAAAACGAAGAAGACTGTGTCCCCTGTCAAAAAGCAAGCTATATCCAGAAATGTTTTTGGGGAAGGGAAGGTCACCATAAGAGGGGGTTTTTTAGCTTCTTCCTTGGCAAGGCTCTGGCTACGCCACTACCTACACACAAAACTGAATCAATTCGTCGACGTTGAGTGGTGGACAAATGAATGTCCGTTGGGCCAATTTATGCCTAAGGCAGGCAGCTTCCCGGAGATTTTTCCGCGGTGGCGTGGTGTAAGGGAAGATAATTCGGAAAAAGGTGCTGTTGCAGGTGCCTTACATATGTTTTACAGACCAAAAAGTAGTAATGCTGATCCAGAAATATGCAACAAAGCAGCCATACGACCAATTGGCAGTCGGTCATGCGGGAGACAGCGGGCCCAAGGCAGTGGTTGCCGGCGGTGGACGGTAGCAAGGCCCAAGTAAGGAACATATGACAGAAGGGTCTTCATTCTGTGGCTTGGTTTTTGAAGGAGAATTTCCAGTTGCATGGCTTTTGTCGCACTGTTTTTGGCAGTTTCAAATTTCCAACTTTGCTGCCGTCTAAAATGCTGCGACATGTGTTACCTATTGAAAATCAGCTAGCGAAATGAAGGCGCATGGAAAATTTTGTCGCGCTGTGAGCTGTCGATCCGCATTCAAAATTCTCACCAACCTATGTCCAGGACGTATTTTGGAATTTACCCTGTGTAGGTAGATGCCTCCTCAATGATGCAAAAGGCATACCTGTGCGTAGAATTTCGCCCTCCCAGGAAAGACAATGTTGAAATGGACGAGCAATTCTGGGAAACTGGACAGCCTTACTTGCCCCGAATGACGTAGATGAGTCGAACAGGCAAGATTGTACACCGGTGAGGAACAACTTAAGACACATATCTACCAAAACAGCCATGACTGAATAAAGAGCGATAACAACCTCCATCTCTGGTGGAATTTCGCGTCTCCATGAAAGACAACATTGAAATGGGCGAATAAATCTTGCGAAGCTGGATAGCCTTATTTGCCAAATGACATAGATGAGTTGAATATGCAAGATTGCGCACCAGTGAGAAACAGCTCTAGGTACATCTCCAGCATAGCAACATGACATTTGAATAAAGAGCGACAACAATCTCCATCTTTACCCTCCCCCGGTCAGTGGGCTTGCTTTCCAGAAAAAACTTTCTGAGGTACGCTCTGAGCTTGCCCCCCCCCCCCCCACACACTATTTGGAACATTCCTAGGCCTGTGTATCAAATGCTGATGATCATGTGTTTCAGACCATTTCGACTGCAAATCTTCAATGAACAAGCTTCCGAGCATCTGACGTATGCTAAATTCTTCTTCACATTTTTTTGAATTGTCCAATTAGGGCTGATGCACTTGACACGCTTAAATTGTGGGGTGTGGTTTTTTATTGGTACAAATTTTCCACAAGCATTCCAGTGATTACTAGAAAATGTCTTGATGACGGATCATAGCAGTAAATTAAATTCGCAACTTGCTCATTCACCAACACAAAACAAACATGGCGCTGTCGACCTTGGGGGCGGTGGTGGCGTCGGGGTCGGGGTGCAGCGTGGGGAGAGAGCATTTGGGTTTACCTTACATTGTCGATTCGTAAATGCTTGCGATGAAGGTTAATGCGCACGTTAATTGCGTGAGACAATTCCTTGTTTACTAATTGCGTGGACTGTTGCATTGTACTCTAATGCGCCACTGCCCATTTAAACATCGACACTGAGCCACTCTGTTTGAAAGGGTGAGTACGGAGGTACCTACCCACCGTAAGTACATCTCGTACTATCCATGTGTAATTAGATGGAGCTAATGCCACATTGTTTGTTTACATGTGATGAAGTTCAGTTCGAGGCACTTGAACCAAGTTGGGGACAATTGGCATCACCTGGTTGAGGGAGCACTATTATTTTTTGCTTCTGACTTAAGGGATTTTAAAAATGCTGCACACAGGTCTGGTGATTCAAATGTTTTGGCACCATTCTTGACCCATGCATTTGTTTTAACTTGTAATATTCTAAGGCTTGCACTTAACCAGAGGGCCATCATATAATTCAATTATTTGCACACCCACAGTTGTTATACTGGTGCATGCCACCAAAAAGCAGACCACTGGTTGTACTTAACACTTCCACCATGCTGCCAGCAAATTATTTTGTTCTGCATGACTAAACCAAATTGAGCTTCACAGCCAAAAACCAGGAGTAAATTTCCAGCCATGCAATGCACTGTGCATGTGACATGTCATATTTTATAGATATGCCTTTTGATTGCTATGGAAAGTGCCAACCTAGCCATATTTTTTAAGTCAGATGTGAAAGGTTACACATGCCTATATATATCAAAATGTGCAATTGTCAATGTTTTTAATAGGACTTTATGAACACAAACACTTAACATGCATAGTTACATAAACTTTCGGCTACTGGCATTTGTTAAGTGATCAGGTCAGTAAGTGTGATTTGCTGTATGGTTTACTTGATAAATCTAACCATTTCTTGTTTGCAGAAGTCCAAAGCCAACTTGATTCATGCCATTTATCAGAAACATTTAGCAAGGTTAAACATAGTATCCTCCTCAGGGCAGGTTCATTTAGAAGAATGTCCACAGATTCTGTGCATTCTCAAAGATAGTTTGATGGTTTTATCACCTGATGGGATTGTACCAGTGTTAATAGATCATGAAGATACCGCAAGATGTTTGTTTGTTTTCTAAGAGCACTAGATGATTCATCAATAAATGTGTAGGTTTGTAGATTAAATCACTGATATGCCAGTCATGTTGTAAATGAAAGACATGTGATGTTTGGGTTGCATTATCAGGTTATTGTAATGTGTGACCATAATACAAAATTAGCAATGTTGTATCTCAATATTGCTGCTGACCCCTAGAGTTGATTGGTCTAGAGGAACTTAAGGAAGAGATGAAACAGAACATTGCACCAGGTCCAAGACTCCAAGAAGTATTCAAAATGGCACTCATGGTCTGTGGCAAAGCTGTAAGATGAGGCTGATGTCTGCATTACAAAAAGAGATGCTTGAAACATGATCAAAGCTGAGATTCTGTTATATTGGGCACTATGCAGACCATATTATGCACTATCTGTGATCCCTGGTGGTATCTAGTAATGGAGTCTTTGTGCTGCAAGGAAGTGATTTGACCCTTTTTGGCCCTTATTGCAGCAAGTCCCACTCACATGTTCAGGCTGCTCCACATGTGTAAGGGATGGTGTGACACTAGATAGCTTGATTCCTTTTCTATCCAAGGGTACATCACAGAACAGGAGATATAAGAATGGAAAGTTTCTTTGCTGCTTGCAGGAAATTGTGTCAGCTAATAGCATTTGTGCAGAGCAGATTTTGTCGTGCTGCACCATGCACAGTGGCACCATCAGGCTAGATTTCTCGGGCAGTGTTTCACAAACCCTCCTCTCGCCACATGGATTTAGACAATATAAGTGTGCACTCTACTACCTTTGGTCGTAAAGTTAGCAGTTGAACAACAGTTTTTCCTTCATTCTATAAAGTCTCACCAGACTAATGAAGCTTGTTGTTGATGCAGGTTCACACCTATATGCTTATGCCAGAGCTGTGAATGATATATTCAGATTTGTATTAAAGGCTTAATAAAAGGTCAGAAAAGCAATGTGTGCATTTTACAAAACCCTTTTTGTGTTATCATTGTGAGTCCACATGCAATGCTAGTCACACTTGAACTGTAAGATGAGCTGAATAGCATTGCCTGGCTGTGATGCATATAAAAGGTGATGTAAGTTTCAATGTGGGTTCTAAATTAGGCTCGCACAGTATTTAGCAACAAATGAGTTCGCAGTTAGGATGTTCAGGTGGGGCGGATCTTCAGCAAGGGTGCAATTTGCACCAAACATGACATTTCATATGCTAATAATGTAGGAACCATAGCATGTCCTTATTGCAAGGAATTTGCACTACATGGGTGGAAAACAAGCCCATATGACGGTGGCCAGGCACCGTGGCGATATTAGATCATTCCATTTTGACAGGGGAGAATGGACAGTTTTACTGGCAGCGGCGCTGGTCGGCGTGCGCAGCCAGTCAGCACTTTTCAGCGCAAACAGCGGTCTCCCGCTGGCGAGCGTCCTTTAGGATGCTCTCAGGTCTCGGCAACTAGAGCAGATCATTACCTGAGACCAGCTGCATGTTATAGGCGAGTATGCCGTGGACAGTTCCGAAACTGATCGCTATATGGTCAGGCCCCTAGATGCATCTGTAATCGGCCCGGAAGCGGCCGTTTATAACGGCCTTGTCTTTCCGACATTGTCCTCGAATGCTACATGGGACGGCCCAGTCTGACGGGCATGGTGCCTTGCAAAGCGATGTGGGCCTTGGGCCAGTTCATTTTGACTAGCATCAGTGGCGGACCCAAAAAGCAGGGGGTATACCTCTTTGGCCGAAAAGGCACCAAAATCTGGTGATGAGGGGGCACCAAAGTTCTCATTTCGGGTCCATGTAACCTATATTTTCAAGATGCAGGAAAGTGCCGGGCACTGTAAATGATTGAAAAGCTTCAAGTTCAATATGAAACGTGGGAAAATTGACCTCTAGAAATATCGTAAGTGGTCTGAATACGCCGACCATTCCTGTGGAAGGTATTTTACCGATAAAATTGAATCTGAAAATAAAGTGGCCGAAATCCGGAGACATCTTTGTGAGCGGGTGGGGAGAGGGGGGGGGGGGGAGGGGTACGATGAGGCGTGGTCTCTCCCTTGACGAAATCCTGGATCCGGTGCTAACCAGTATCCACCTAAGGCAGATCCTTTTTTACAACACTGCGGTCTCAGTCACCAAAACCGCTTATCATCGCAGACTTATTGATTTCTTCGACTATGATTGCCAAGCCTGGTAAGACCTGTGGCCAGCTAAGTTCAAGAACTTGAGCTAGGGAAACAGCGAATCATGCTACAGCAAATCCCGGCCTGCCAAGCTCACGAAGTGCGGAGCCTCCATCGCATTAAGCGGACTGAATATTGTGGATTTCGTAAGATGTCTGATCACGTTGGCTTATGTGTTAGATGAATCAAATGATGACCATCTACATAAGGTCAGGTATCCGTGATCACCTCGCCTGGCCAATGCAGCATATAGTGTCTGATTGATGTTTGATTACAACATTCTTTTGCAGCAACCATGATGATGAATCCAAACTTAGCTGTTCAGTCTCCTACCTCTACAGATGCATGTCTCAGTATTGTGCACAGCTTGATGTGTCACAGACAAGGTGGTGAATCAGAGGGATTTGCCAAAAGGGCTATTGAAAGTCTGGTGAAAAAACTGAAGGTTAGTCCCATGATGTGTGGCAGGTCATTAGCTTATTGTTGGTGTGTATTCCAAGTTGAAGCAATGCAACACACAGTGCACATGATATGCTCAGATACTGCTTGCTATATCACACCACCACCACAATACTGGGTGCAGTTGTGGTGTGATGGGCAGAAGTGAATGCATTTCAGTCAGTTATTGTATGTGGTTCTTTGCATGCCATCAGATGATTGTGCATTATGATTGCTACACATTTGTTATGCTAAATTACCCATTATCTACACGTATGTTCTATGACAGATCAGACTGATGTGATGTAGCAAGCTATCGTTTTTGCTTTTCTGTGATTTTAGAGTAACTTGCTACTGTATTCTCTGGACCATGTGCTTTGCATTCTTTGGCAATTAGTCTGTGCTCATTGCCACTCTGTGCATGTGTCACAGGAGAAGCGCGATGAGTTGGATTCGCTGATAACAGCTATAACAACAAATGGAGCCCACCCTAGCAAATGTGTCACCATACCGCGCACTTTGGACGGTCGACTCCAGGTATGATACTGCCTCATCTGTAGTATGTGTGTATATTGCAGGAGGTGGCGAAGCTGCCGACATTGTGGTGCCAGGCCAAGACTTGTCAGAATGACAATGTGTGACGATGTGTTTTTGTTAAGCTGTTACTTGCGCCTAGCCCGTGGGATTAAACCAAGTGGATCCCGAACAAATCAGCATGACACTGCCCTATGATAGTTGGATAGCCAGGAGTAAGCAACTGACGTCATCAAAAACGTGATGTAGGTCCATCGAACACCATAGCCCAAGTTCCGTTAGCGGTGCAAGAGGTAATCCCGCCAAATGATTCAGGTACAGTGTCTCGTCCGAACCGCCACCGCTCCTCGCGCGCTACGCGTTCGTACCGTGTCCAGAGGGCTGGTCGTTGTGACGCGGCTGTTGCTCGCCGGTCTCAGGTGGCGGGGCGCAAGGGTTTTCCGCACGTGGTCTTCGCCCGAATCTGGCGGTGGCCGGACCTGCACAAGAACGAGCTGAAGCACGCCAAGTTCTGCCAGTACGCGTTCGATCTCAAGGCCGACGCCGTCTGCGTCAATCCGTACCACTACGAGCGCGTGGTCTCACCGGGAATCGGTGAGTGGCGCGCTTACCTGACAGCACGACAGCTCACGCACAGTCCGTGTTGGCCACGAACTGGGATTAGGGGCTTCGTCAGAGCTCAGTTGCGATCTCAATGCCGGTGTTGCGCTAGCGATGTGTGATCGCCGTCGGCGACCGGGACCCACGTCGCGGCGTGACGGCCACGGCTGGTGGCGGCGCGCCCTGTTGCAGACCTGTCCGGCCTCACCATCCACCAAGGCAGCCCGACGGGCGTGAAGAGCGAGTACACGGTCGGCCTAGAGCACGGCGAGCCGAGCGCCATCGGCGACGCGCTGATGTCGCCGGCTGCCGCCGTCCAGCGTCATCCGCCGGCGCCGCCGCCGCCGCACCTCTCCATGCCGTTCACCATGCCGCCACAGGGTCAGTGGCCCGTCCGGCGCCGCTGCTGTATAGATGGACCGCTTCCCGCCCCGCGGCTGGTGTGCCTCACGTCCGCGGCGGCCTCCCGCGGCGCTGTGTGGTGTGTCCGCGCGCCGTGACCGGCGCGCCGCCGTCCGCGCGGGGCGCTCGGACGGCGGCGCGCCGGCCGCGGCACGCCGCCGCGAGCCCGCGGCCGCGGCGGCGGCCCTGTGCTGCCAGCGCTTGTGTTAACCGTCGGCTGCGTCTGTGCGCGCGCACGCGGCGGGCTTGGCTGACCGCGACCGGGCGGGCGCGGGCGCCGTGTTGCAGGGAGTGGTTCTCCGTCGCCGGGCGCCGCCTCGCCGCCGTCGTCGGTCACGCTCGACTCGCCCGGCGCCTCGCTCCCGGAGACGCTGACACGTAAGGCACGGCCGCCGGTCCTCGCTTCCGTGGCTTGCTAACTCGTTTGGGCTGGCTGCGTCGCCCGCTGGCCTGCCTGCCTGCCTGTCTGCTCTGCCTGCCTTGACCTACCTGCCTCTTGGCCTGCGAGCTTGCTTGCCTGCTTCACCTGTATATCTGCTTGCGTTGCCTATGGTCTGCCCGCGCCCGCTAGTTGCATGCGCCCGCGGCGTTTCTATCTACAGCGTGAGCGGAAGGACAAGTCGGGGACGGGGTTGGCGCTTGCGTCAACTGTACTCCTTTGAATAGTGGAGCGCGCTTCCGATGCCGCTCGCCGTCCTCAGACGGACCCCATCGCCGCCACCTGGGGCCTTGGCCATGACACGTGTACCGCACACCGACTGCACGCGCATGCGCCGTAGCATGCGCGGCTGTATGGCGCCGCGTGCGTGCCGGCCGAGGCGGTCGTAACAGTTTGCCTGCGGCGGCCGCGGCCCGCCGCGCCGCCCTGTAGTTGTGCACCGCCTGACTCTGGCTCTGGTTTCAGTGGTGTGATGTGGACTGGCGGAGGCGGACTGCGGCCGCCGGCGCCGGCGGCCGCGCGCGTGCTTAGTATGCGACAGGTTACACGTTCGTTCTTTTTCCGTTTCAGTTAGACCTTTCGGGAATGCGGGATCGTTTATAGGTTAGTTGACCGGCTTGGCGGAAGATTTTGCGTCGCTTAGTGACGGTGCGATTTTAGTCGTCTAGCCTAACATGTTTCAGTAGTCAAGTGTTTCGAATTACACCTCGCCATTTTGTCTTTTACCATCACCCCTTGTAACATGTGTATGTGGAGCGCTCGTTCCACGCATAAGACATCGGGGAGATTGTATTTTGCGTGTTATGGCTAACAACCACTTTGCTGTTTTGTTATAAGCTTTTTGCACTTTTGGTGTGGTGACACTGAGTTGAACGATGTGGCCTCTGCAGATGTGTGGTAAATTGGATGGTTTTGACGTGCACATGCAATGTTTTTACACATTGATAGTTCCACCTTATTCACTTCATCCTGTTGGAACCATAGTATTCAACCTGGCTGATATCCTAAAAGTCCCCGGATGTGTTTATGCGTGCCTGCGCTCTTGAGCGTCCGCACGCTTCTGTGCCCTGCTGGTCCCCACTGTATCTGTGCTCGGCGCTGCCGCCACCGCCAGCCGGCCGCCTGACGCGCCGCCCGCCGCCGCAGCGGGTCCGGCCGGCATGCCGTCGCTGTCGCCGCACATGCAGCCGAACGGCTACGGCCTGAGCGCGCCGCCGCCGCCGCCGCCGGCGCCGCCGGCTCGCTTCTCGGCGCCGCCCTGGTCGGTCGGCGCCGACCGCCACTCGGGCTCAACGCTCACCTACACCCAGAACATGGCGCCGGACAGACCGGCCGGATACTGTGAGTCCTAGCCCACGCCACCGCGTGCACTTCCGCATGGACGGCGGGAGTGTGCTTGTTCCCACATGTTTATTTGTTTGAGTGTGGGAAAACAAAAACACTCATGAGGTTTTATAGTTTTTGCTATTTACGGCATGTTTTAAGTCCATCGTTGTTGGTGAAAAAAGCGGGAAGGAAAATTTGGTGTTGATAATTATTTCATTAAGTTGGAAATTATTTTACGGAATGGCGGTGTTCAATACGAATGTAATTTACATGGTGTTGGCCGTGGCGACTTGGGACATAGCCTTCCGCATTTGGATCCCACAACGGGCTACCTAGGTCTATTCTAGAATAGCATCAATTGCCAAGTATTCCTATTGCCATTGTAAGAAATAGTCGGGCATTGCCCCGCTCTAGGATTACGTCATTCTTACATTACGCCCAGTGGCGGCGCGTGGAAGACTGCGTCGTATGCCCTTGAGATTTGAGATCATTGTAATACGTTGTAAGTTTTCCCTTTCACGCTGTCAGGAAATTTTACTGAACTGGCCTTCCGAGAAATAATTGTAGTTTTCTTCTCAATTATGCAAATGCCTTGGACTTTGTGGCAAAGTGCTGCCCAGAATCAGCGGCAATCTGATTTGGCCGGCTGAATGTAGCAATTTGTTTAGGTCCCCGCCACTTGGAGTCGTTTTGCTCATCAGGCTTCATTTGTATCAATAACTGTACCATCTCAGAACACCTGGGGCGACTATAAAGCTGTTATTATCGAAGTAGCAATCACTAAGTGCCTTCCCGGAATTAGAAACGAGTGTGTTTCGCAGCCATCGGCCAGTCGTAATCCCCGAATGTAATGAGCAGTCCATGCTCCCTATTTGTTTTTTTGTTCCGCACGTTTCATTATGCATTTATGCTGATGTAACGTGCGTGTGCATTTGGGTGGTATGGCGCGGTTTGGTCGGAAGGCATGTGGTCAGTTAAGTTTTGCCGGCTTAATTGGGTTGGCACAGTGTCACAGCTGATCGGCACAATGCATACAAGCTACGATTTTATGCGCCCTGAAAATCACCGGTGATGGCTATTGGGGCGATTTTTAGCGTGGACCCATCAATTCCGGCCATATGGAGTCGCAGGATGCAACCTCGGCTCTCAAATCCAGTGTTAGTGTCTGTGAGCTCGTGGCCCTGCGCCGAGCGCGTGCCCAGCTCCGCAGAGGGGCGGCGCGCTGACCCGTCTCTGTGGTGTAGTCGCGACGGGACTACCGACGCACGTGCAACACCAGGATACGCAGGTGCTGCTATCCAGCGTGCCGCCGCCCGAGTTCTGGTGCAGCATCACATACTTCGAGCTGGACACCCAGGTGGGTGGTCGGCGCGGCGGCCGTGTCACCGGCGTCCGCTCGCGCTCACGGCGCCGGCTGGCTGTGCTGTATTCTCGGAGAACGTCAGCAGGGAAACACCACGGCTGAGCTATGTGGGTTTTGGAGATGATACCACGTGCTAGTCCTGCGCACAGGCGTGTGGCAGAGACTGGTGCGGTGTTCTTTTTTTGCGGGGGGGGGGGGAGGGAGTGCACTGCATGCTAGATCCTCAGTATATCGAGTGGCAAGGCGGTCTCAAACTTCCCACAACTCGTGGCCCATAGTGCGCGTTGCGGTTTTGTCGCGGCTTCGTCCAGCCGCGGCCGGCCGCCCGGGATCAGCGCCGGCCCGTCCCGCCCACCCCCGCGGCCGGCCGCCCGAGAGCAGGGCCAGCCCGTCCCGCCCGCCCCGCGGCCGGCCGCCAGAGAGCAACGCCGACCCGTTCCGTCCCGTCCGCCCCCGGCCGGCCGGCCGTCCGGGACCAGCACCCACTCGGCCCGTCCGCCACCGCGGCCGGCCGCCTGAGAGCAGAGCCAGCCCGTCCCGCCCGCCCCGCGGGCGACCGCCTGGGACGAGCGCCAACCCGTTTCGCCCGCCCCGCGGCCGGCTGCCCGGGACCTGCGCCGACCCGTTTCGTCCGCCCCGCGGCTGGCTGCCCGGGACCTGCGCCGACCCGTCCCGTCCGCCCCCGCGGCCGGCCGCCGGGTGCACCGCTAAGTCACTCTGACGCAGCATTCTGCCCCCGCAGGTGGGCGAAGCGTTCAAGGTGCCGTCGAGCATGCCGTCGGTGACGGTGGACGGGTATGTGGACCCGTCCGGGGACAGCCGCTTCTGCCTGGGTGCCCTGAGCAACGTACACCGCACAGAGCAGAGCGACCGTGCCAGGTATGCCGTCACACGCACCGTGACGGCGGCGTGCTACTCATGTGGGTAGGCACTTGGATCGTGACGCATGCATGCGTTTCCGGGGTGCGACCTCGGAACGGTTGTCGGGCTGCGCTAAAAAGCGTTAAGTTGTGACAAATATGCCATACGGGGTCGGATCTGAAGCCGCGCATCTTCACCCCGCGTTCGTTATCGGAAGGGCGGGAGGGGAAGGGGAGGGGGATATGCGGCTCCTTACCTGGTCCACACCTGACTCGCTGGGGTGGGAGGGGAAATGGATGTGCGGCTCCTTACCTAGTCCACACCTGACGCGCTGGGGCGGGAGGGGAAGGGGAAGGGGATGTGCGGCTCCTTACCTAGTTCACACCTGACGCCCTGGGGCGGGAGGGGAAGGGGATGTGCGGCTCCTTACCTAGTCCACACCTGACGCGCTGGGGCGAGAATTTAAACACAGTTGATAGGTGAGTGGAAACGTGCTGAAACAAAGGACGCCTGTTTCCCTACTCCTCCCCGTGAGACCGCACGTTATATGTACAGTGTTAGGCAAATCATCCGCCGCTTGCCACCCACGTTTAGACGCCCGTCTGCGTGAAATGAACCGGCACGTGACCGTCGTCAACGCCACGGAAATATCTTCTACAAACCCAGCTTTACGCAAGTATTCATAGACCGGTTACATAGAAAGGCCTCGTAGATCGGAAGCCCAAAAAGCATGCTTAACAAGCAGGGCATCTAAAGGAAAAACCAACAGTCGCGGTATCATTACCATACAGCAGGGGCCTGTCAGAGGGGAGAAGATATGTGTACAATGCAACATCAGGATAGCCTTCAGAAGCCGCTGAACGGTCCGAAGAACGCTAATTAAAGTCAGACCACCGACACCTAAGGAACACACGAATAACCACATACGACATACCATGCAGCCGTGGCAGGTCAAGGGGGGACAAGTCACCCTCTGTCGGTCAGACTGGAAGAGCGCAGAAAGGCGGCCATCCGAGGTAAGGCTCTTGAAGTCCGGTATGACAGAGGATGTATGGTCCGACGGCCGTCACCGACCAGCGTGTGATGAGATAGCCAAGTCCCTTCCGGTAAGCGCAGTTGGTAGAGCACTGGACTGGTAAACCGAAGACCCCGGTTCGCATGTCAGCAATTCCAAGGAGATAATTCGGGTTGTTGCGCGCACATGGCTGAAAGCCAAACATCATCCAGTCCTTGTCAGGACTCAATAACACCTGACGACGGCCGAAGAGTGAAATGGCCGAAACGCTGTGTACATCCTAGTACACCAGCCGAGGTCGATAGTCCGAACCTTTTGTTCCATCCGTACTGCAAACCCTTCGGACGTCTTTCCTCGTTCCGTCGTCTTTCAGGGTCGGGAAAGTGGCGGCCGCACCGTGCTTCTCGTCCCGCGCTGCAGCGACTCCTTTCCCCACGGCCCGCCTGCCCGTTAGGATCACGGGTTCCCTGCCGCCGGCCCGTCGGTGCTGACCGTTCTCCCGGCCGTCCGCAGGCTCCACATCGGCAAGGGCGTGCAGCTGGACGTGCAGGGCGAGGGCGACGTGTGGCTGCGCTGCCTCAGCGATCACGCCGTGTTCGTGCAGAGCTACTACCTGGACCGAGAGGCGGGCCGCGCGCCCGGCGACGCCGTCCACAAGATCTACCCGGCCGCCTACATCAAGGTGTTCGACCTGCACCAGTGCCACCGACAGATGCAGCACCAGGTGAGCGCCGGGCGGTGGTAGTCCACGGTCGCCCGCTGACCCTCTGGACTACGCACGTGTTTAGGGGCGGGTTCGGGACCGAGTACGGCATTGTCGAGCGGCCCGAGTTGGGGCCGCTTTATATTACGGCGTAAACAATTGCGTAAATTCCGGGGGCTGTGTGCATAATTTGCGATTTTTTAGTTCAACTTGGCGACCGCACATAATAGCAAACGCAAAACGTCTGACTTTCGGAGAAACTCACGAATATTGAGATGAAACCCTTTGATGAAGATTATGAACTCTAGATCTTCTGAAGTCAGAACGTACAGGAATTGCTGCCTCGTCCGTGTCGGCCTGTTGGACATGCCCTGGGCGCCAGCCGCCTTACACGCGCGCCGCGCTGCCGCCAGGCGTCGCAGGCAACGGCGGCGGCGGCGGCGCAGGCGGCGGCCGTGGCCGGCCACATCCCGGGCGCGGCCAGCGTCGGCGGCATCGCGCCGGCCGTCACCATGTCGTCGGCGGCCGGCATCGGCGTCGACGACCTGCGCCGACTGTGCATCCTGCGGCTGAGCTTCGTTAAGGGCTGGGGGCCCGACTACCGCCGCCAGAGTATCAAGGAGACGCCTTGCTGGGTGGAGGTGAACCTGCACCGCGCGCTGCAGCTGCTCGACGGCGTGCTGCAGACGACGCGCGTCGGCGCTGGCAGCGCCACCTGAGCTGCCGCGGGCCGCGCCGGCCGCGGGAGAGGACTGTGCGGGTCCGGTGAAGCGGGTGACGAGAGAGAGAACGCTCAGTTTTATACGAGACGATGGTACCTGACGGAGAGCCGGTAGCCCGGACGGAGTAGCTTTGCTCGTAGGACGGGTGCGTTGCCCGGTGCGGAAGCGAGATTCGGTAGCGGTAGACGGACGGACCCGTGTTGGCGGATGGAACTGTTGTCTCCCGCGAGGTGCTTTGGCGTGCCATCGACTTCGGCGTCGGCCCAAGGCCGGTCGAACCCCACTCCGCGCCAGTTTGTTGTGTTCAAGAGTTCTCCGGTTCTCGCCGTTGGATGTTGCTGCGTGGCGCAGCTCCACCCCGCTTCCCGGCGCCGCGCGGCTGCGGTGGGCGGAGTCTAACTCCCGCCGCAACGGCAATCTCAGAGCAGTGTCGATGAAGCAGTGTCACCCGTGTCGGTGTTTTGCGGGGGCGCGCCGGCCGCTCGCTCCGCCCGTCCGCCGGCTGGCTGCCCGCGGCGGCGAGCGGGCGGTCGCGTCGCGCCGATCCTCTTCGACATGACCCCAGATCAAGGATGCTGCTCACCGGTGGTGAAGTGCGCGCATGTGGATGGGATGCAATCATCGGACGTTATTGTCATCTCAGTTATGTTGAAATCTGTGCCATTCGGGATCGCTGCATCGCCCGATCAACCACGCGGTTGATACGTTGTCGCTTTTTATTATCTTAATAAAATACGGAGCGAACTGCTTGTTGAACAAAGCGTACAGAGACCAAAACTGCCGTGTGTTGCGCCGCGCCTATGCCAAACGCCACGCGCGACACCATTCAGGCATGCAACCACGACGCGAGCGACCTTTGGCTGAGCGAAGTCATCTGCAGGCCTGAGACACACTGAAGCCGGCGGTCGGATGGCGCGCCGACCACGGCACATCTCCGACACCCGCCGCATGTTGAAGTCCCTCCGTCCAGGGCACGTTGTGCGGTTCCGACCGCGGTACACCTGACACCCGCCGCATGCCGGAGTCCTGTCAGGGGCACGCCGTGCAGCTCCGACCGCGGCACACCGACGCCCGCCGCATGCCGGAGTCCTTCCCTCCAGCGCACACTGCAGCTCCGAACGTCGGCGCTACCGGCGTCGTGCGCGCGCGGTCGCGCCGCCACATCGCCACAGGCCACAGCTGAGGGGAGCGGCGCTTCGGGCTCCGCCGGGCTGGGCCGCGCGCCACGCTCAGCCGGCCGCCTGCAGGGCCCAGTGGCCGCCGCAGAGGCAGGCGCGCGCCCAGCGCTGATCCCAGGCGCGCGTCACCGGCGTCGTCTTCACCTGCGACAGCTGTTGCTGCGACCGCGATGACGTCACCGCCAGACATCTGCTCGCACGCGCCGAGTGTCAGCGGCCGGCCGCGGCACACGAGCAGCGCCGGCAGCGCATCTCGCCGTACGACACATACCAGGTGGCATGCCTTAGTGACTTACGCCAGTCTGTTACACCATGAGTGATCACCAGGGGCAGGTTTCATAACGCGACACTACGAGTTTTGCCATTTTCAGATAGCACGATGTGAACGCACCAACTGGATGCTTAAGGCTACGACGCTCATGCCATTGGTGAACAAGTAATCAGTAGAACTAACTTGTGGTCCATACCACACAAATACCACAAAATTACATTAAAAAATATGCTTGGTAAATTGGCTATGGCATTCTTCGACAAACTACACCGCGCTTTACCAAGCAGATCTGCTGCGCGCCGTGAGCCACTCCGCAGCGGCTCGCCCGGAGCAGCCTCCGGCCGCTGACCGGGGGCCAGCCAGCGGCTCCAGTCACACTGACCTCGTGCACTGTTTGAGGTTGCTGGGCCGCGCGCCCAGTCGCATGTGCCGCAGCGAGTCCACCGTGTACAGGTCCTGGTGGCGGCGGTGCGTCACGTGCCCCTCGGCCGCGTCCGCGTCGTAGTACTCGTACTGGCGGACAGGGAGAGCGTCGCACGCGGTCGGTATTTCTCCACCGGGCCCAACATCCTTGGGAACCTGGCGGGTCTGCTGGCGACTAGCGCGAGGGACAGCGGCGGAGGCCCAGTTGGCGAACCTGGCGGGTCTGCTGGCGACTAGCGCGAGGGACAGCGGCGGAGGCCCAGTTGGCGAACCTGGCGGGTCTGCTGGCGACTAGCGCGAGGGACAGCGGCGGAGGCCCAGTTGGTCGATGTTCCACACGAGGTCAGGATCATGGCAGGAGGACAGCACGCGCATGAGCAGAAAACCCGAGGGCGATAAGAGAAATGGTCAGCTGAGACCAGCTTGCACCACCCATTGGTTGCAATGAACGGCACCTGGCGGAGTTTGGTACTCACGTGTCGAGGTGAGGTGTTGGGGGCCGTGCAGGTCACCAGGACGCCGCGAGGTGGCAGGTCGAGCGTCAGGTGTTCGGCGAGGCCCGGTGACGGAAGCAGCGAGCACTCATCTGAAGCAAGAACCGAGCGGTGCCAAACACACACGAGATGCATGACCTTGCTCAGCGTGCCTGGGACCTTTATGTCCAGGTGTGCGGGTTATTCTGTCACCCTCAAGAATGCTTTTACGGAATTCTAGCATGCTGAGCATGAATTTAGCATGTATCACGCACAAATCAAATTTGTCCCATCCGATATAATTATGGAAGCTTAATAGAGTGACACCATCAATGCTGTCATTCTTACTATGGTGACATAGACTAGACATCGAATGACGCCCAAATATGAATTACGCATCAGACAAAGATGCTGACGTCAAAGTCCAGACAGGTCTGCAGTTACTATTTACTACGCTGCGAAGCGATTTTGTTTCTAGTGTTGACGCCTGAGAGCAACATGGCTGGTAGACAGTAATGTCTAATCATATTACATGCTACTATCAGATCTAGAGCCAATCCAGCGCGCAGTTGATTGCAATACGGTATATGTGAGGTTCGATTTCGTTTGCTGGCAGAAAAGGTCACCGAGAAACAGAACAGGTTCAAATCATGCACGATCAGTCAGAAACCATGATCAGCAAAACTAGGTAGACAACAGGTCGGGATCATGGACGCAACTAAATTTAACTATTGACATGGGCACACGAACGTTTCAAGGGTGTGCAAGGGGTCTTTCTACTTTTTTAGTTTGTCACGCACTACTACAGGGTAATGTTTTAGCCCCACGATCAGTACGGAGGGCCAGTGCCCGCGGTTCGCCATGCCAACGCCTACGATGACTTTTAATGTACGTGGCGGGCGACAAAACTGCATGACCTCAACTTCCTTCTGTCCTAGTGAACTGTCATTATTCTGATGGTTTCTTCACGGGTACCGCGGTTTGTGCTTGATGATATTAAATCATCGTCAAAACCATGTTTCATTTTAATTGACACGGCAGCGAGGCAATACAAAGACCCAACCAAGTTCCCGTGCATCTATCTTGTACCATTTACATGCAACACAAAAACACATGCACAATTTCTCGTTGGCAAGGCTGGCAGGCTAAGTAAAGTTGGGTCTATGATGTCGAAGTCCCCAACGGTCGCAAGCATTCGTCATTCGCCGTAAAGAACAAACCGAGGACATTTCATTACGCGTTAGGGAAACTTGAATTGCTCAGCACATCTAAGTTTGATGGCGTATTACGACATCCATCAAGCAAAGTTTGTGGTTTGTGGTGGTGTTTTGGCGTGGTGTTGGTTTTCCAGCTCCTATCGTGTTCTGCCAGCTTCCAACTTCGAGATTTTGTTGTAAATAGGGTGACACTTTAGTCAGCAATGACACGTTCAAACGTTATTACAGAGTTGCCACTTCGGTGCTCACACACGTAACACCTACGAGCCTAAATGCCGATCAGCCATTAATTAATTACTTCATTCATTGGTACTGATTACTGACCTACTTTAAACCAAACATTTACTGGATGTACGTCCCATCAACATCTCCGGGACATTTCGACCCACCTTGCGCTTCAAACGGCAAACGGCAAGGGCACGCCCCGAAAGGTCGAGTTTTGAAGACACTTATAACCAACGTTTCACCAACGAGACGTTGTTTAACCAGTACCTCCTGGTATATTGAAATTCAATTATTATAGGACAGCCACGAACTGTAAACCAAACCTGGAACAACCCTGGAAAAGCAATCTTTGCCCTCGGCCAATAACGCAGTCACGTTGAGCTGGCGTAGGAACAAACCTCCCATTTGACGCTGTCTGTCCCAAAACATTTGTTGAGCCACAGCGACGATAGGGACCATCCGCGCCATATGTTTTCCAGAGCTGTTGTCCCAAAACAAGACGCACCCTACGTATCAAATTCGTCACATCAATGTAATTTATTTTAAGTAAGTAATTAACAATGCTTGAATCAGTGAGCATTGACTATGTTGCGTATGATAGTATAGCCCAGCATAGCCCTTTATGTAAAAGATGTGGTAGACACTTAAAGTGGCTTTGCAACACAATGATATCTCTGCCGAACGATGTGTCGAACTGGTCCCACAACCGGGGTCAAAAAACGCAAAATGGATTACAAATGTGGGATTGCGACTGAAATAATAAATGTAAAATAATCGTGGTCGCGGCGTTTGGAATCCGAAAAGTCTCGTGAAACATCGCATTTAACATTACATTTTGACGACCCATCCCTACGAACAAACACCCGCGATTTTCCGAAACATTTCGAAGGCCGGCGGGGCCCGAAGGCCAGTAACTCCGGCGATGCGAAAGTCTTCGCACAAGTGATGCAGACCTCTCAAATGTGGAGGGACGCTACTGCGCGTGCGTCGCGTGCCCCGACATGCCTGTATCCATCCAACTTTGAGAGACCGGCACATCCCAGCGTGGGAGACCAGCGCCGGAGCCTGTGCACAGCCCGACTTCTGCTCACCCCAGCCTAAATATATCAAACCGCCTCGCAGTGTAAGCCTTTGTGAAACGGCTGCGGCCCCAACCACTTACAGGCAAGTGGTCATCACCATGGATCGCCGGCGAAGCGTTATCAACAGAGCAGCGCGGCGCAGCCGAGGTACTGCACTGCGACTAAACATTTTAACACCGACCGCCGCGACCGATGGTCTGGGGCGAGCGGCCTATTTTCGCGACCTTACGACTGTCATCAGCCACCTCAACTCCGCCGAGCGAGTCGGACGCTCAACGTTGATGGATATGAGCCCACGTTGGCAGCACCAGGTGGCTGATGACTGGTCTGAAACCGGCCCGTCTACAGATGCACTTGACATCAGCTAGAACGGCATCGAGCTCCCGGTTTTTCGGAATTATGAGTATGGAGTTCTTGTGCTGACAATAAGCGACCCTCAATATACGAGGTGCTGGTTACACGACGTTACCAAGCTGACATCGGCCTTGGCGTGAAAACTCCGAGTGTTATATTTACAACTTGTACATTGTAACCAAATGTTTAATTTAATTCCACTTGGTATGCTGAAGGTCCTGGCATCAACACTCGGCGCTTCTAAGCGCCTGTTCGTTTTGTTCCAAGGCAGGTATGCAGACGGCAGGCGTCCACTGTCGTTGGCCGCCGTCAAATTAATCACAGCTCCAATTTCTGGAAAAGCATGGCAAACACGTATCCGGGTGAACTTTTATTAGCCTCTACCAATTTAAATAGCGTGCTCCATTACAAGTACTTCGAAACACCAACGCAGTATTTCATCGCGAGCCTTCGGCACGATCCTTTCCGTTCGCAATGCATGCCGCAGTGAGACCAGTGTGCGCATGCTTCTCTGAAATACACCTGCGATGCTGCTGTGGTGACCATGACGTCCGGTACATACACGAGGAGTGCCATGTGACCCGGGCTTGTCCGTGACAACACTTAAAATAAGTCTCATGAAGTGGTCGTGTTTATAACGCAATGTCCCCTGCGTCGAGGATACATTCGTGGAAAAACTTCGGGTTATGTAAAAGGTGTAACACAATACATCTCTGGGGAAAATAATTTGATGTTAACACCAAATACACTACACACGGAAAGCACAATGCAAAATAAAAAGACCCCTGCGTCAACAAAACTGCGGGCACCGCAAACCAAAATGTGGAATACCCAAGCTCCATGTGCTAAATGCTGCGCTACCTACGTCCATCGTGCATCGTGAAGTGTGACGAGGGCATTATCTGACGACAAACAACACACTGCTCCAATTCAGAGATACGCATGTGAAGAACCCCCATCGCCGAGAATGCGGCGCGCCACACGATGCGTGTTTCAGCACTCCGGCAATTGTACCGCACCACGCCAGGGGCGCCGATCAATCTGGAGTGACACCAGCTCCCATTGCTCACACAGCAGCGCTGACACTCCGCTACACTCGTTTCCAGCTGTCCAGAAAGCACAGCCTTCTCGATCCTGCGCAAGTGGAAAGCCTGCCCCCTCTCATAACCGCCTGCTGAACCTGCTCTGGCGTTTTTGAGCCAGAGGCCGCGCTGGCAAATCGTGATACTCAGCAATTTGTGATATCAAAAGGTTGTAATGGGATAATTTTAAGCAAGGCATTTATCTCCGGGGTTTGGTAACCGGTGGTGAAAATCTCAACAAGGTATGCTGCAAATATTGCAGCGAGGAACGTGATGTTTTTAGGTGGTAAATATTGCAGCGAGGAACGTGATGTTTTTAGGCGGTAATTATTGCAGCGAGGAACGTGATGTGTTTCGATATCCCGCTGTCTTGCGATGGCAGATCCACATTCATTCGGGATCGGAATCGGCATTCACGACATGCCACAATAATATACGGGAAGTACGCATCACCAATACATTATAAGGGCTGTACGAGGGGGAATACCGACGCCATGTGAAAAAGAAAAGGGAGTTCAGTCGAACGAAGCAAACTCATTAGCAAGCCTTCGTTTCCCGTCGCAAGCATTTATTTCGTTTTTGTTATCCTCACCTTACCAAGGATGACCTTGTAAAGCGCGGTGGCTTAAATGATAGAGCGCGCTTCACACTGCTGAATCATTTCTCCTATCCCCAATTCCTTGTCCTATCATGATGATCCTACATCCCAGTCCTATTCCCCTTCTTTACTGGTATCCAATGTTGGCCCTAACTGGTCATAATCGCAGCGACCGGACCGGAGAAGTCACGATGTGTTGTGGATGTGCCAAATGTCACACAAATACAACACTGCCAAAAACAATCATGAACTTGAGACGACCTCCCCTCACCCCTCCGACAGCTCCGCTGGCGGTTCAACTGCCCCAAATGACAAGCTGCAGGGCCGCTGCGACGTGGCCGGGTGGCATCACCACCTGATTTTGCAGACGTATGGTTTTCGATCCCCTTCCTTCTTCGCAGCCCATTCGCCACTGCTGCCGTGTTTCATGTGGGTATACAGTCGAGAATCCTCATCCTTCGGCTCCCCGTTGGCGTAGTTCCGGTAAGTCGACGTCTCTCCGTCCACCCAGTGCCACTCGTCGTCGCAGGATAGGCGCACCAGGCCGATGACGATGTCTTGATCGATGTCGAGACCGCTCAGCAGAAAGTTAAGCTCCTCTGGGCTGGTGACCGAGGTCAGTCGTGCCCGCGGGTCGTGACCTTGGCACAGGCCATCCGCGACCTTGGGACTCACGTCATCGTCGAAGAACTGGTAGCAGCCGTGCTGCCACATGACCCATTCGTGCGGGCAGCTCGCGCGGCCCCACATCTGCAGCCCGGTCAGGGTCCGGCCGCCGCTGTCGTTGGCCGCCCGGTACAGGGCGCAGCCGGCGGCCAGCCGCCACACGGCCGCTGTGCACGCCTCCTGCTGCAGACAGAGCGCGCCGCACTGCACGCGGCTGAGCGCCGGCCGCACGGCGCCCAGCGGCTGCCGCCAGTGCAGCGAGCCCGACAGGAGGCGGCCAGACCTCACTTCCGGCAGGACCGGACGCGCTCCCAGCAGCAGCAGCAATATCGTCAGACGCAGTTGCCACGGTCGCATCGCCGCCGCACCACGGCTACCGCAGCGAAGGCGCGAAATCGACCAGCTGTGCCCGACGGTCGGGTAGGACAGCTGGCTGCGTCGATGGGCGCTTAAGGCAGCCGGGACGCAGCGGTGCACAGGATGGAGCAGCTGGATACACCGGATGGCAAGGCGGGATAACAGGCAAAACCAACGGGTGCCGCGATCTCAGATCGCCCAGCGACCGGCCGCACGGCCGACAAGCGCAGCGCGGCGAATGACACCGACTGAAGGCGTCCGTCTACAGCCACTGCGAGACGCCGCGCCGCTCGACGCTCCGCTACCGGTCTGCCGCAGTCCCTGACGTCTGTTCCCAACAAGCGGGCAGGGCGCTGTCGCTGCAGGCTCCGGAGTCGCGCCTCACCGCCTCACCTCGGAGAGACGCCCGTCCGGACTGCGGCCGCTGCCGGACGCTTCCGTGGACGGCCCACGGCCGCGACGGACGCCGCCCACTGTCCGGCGCGATAATTGGTGGTCCGACCGCGGCCGGCGTCGCAGGCGGTCATTACGGCCGGCAGCGCCACGCTTTGCTGCAGACCGTCGGCACCGGCAATTGCCATACACCGCCCACGACGCCATTCGATCTCTAATCAATGGCATTCGGGATACGAGGCAGTTCGTCTTCGTACGCAGCTAATGGATTAAAGGACCGATACTCTGACGTCCAGCCAGTTTACGGAGGATACCACCAACATCCTAGCATTACCTAATGTAGCTCATTAGACAAAATGCACGCCATGCCCAGCATGGATTTATACACCCACGTCCGACACGCCTTGGAACGCCAAAAATAATGCTTCGGCAGCACTATACTGATGACTGGACTCCGCAAATTACAGCACGACACCTTGACGCCAAGCACGGCTTATTGTGCGTTGGTGCAAGATGGCACGGACGCAAACCACGCCGAACACTTAAGTTCACGACGAATCGAGTAGACTGTACCGCACTTTCGTTCAGAACGACCGTTTTTCGGCAAGCGTTCAAGTCCAGTCTCACATCTCAGTCACTGTGAGTTCAGAGCTCTGACGCTCCGTTATCGACCTGAAATATAGGGTTTGACGACGTCGTAAAGCCCAAACACTCGTGATTGTTTGAGCCCACGCTGCGCTGTCGAGCACTGTCAATTTAGCTAATGCTAGCTCTGCAACGTCGTTCAAAGGGAGTATGCCACCTTCTGTACTTTTCACTTATTGTTAGATCAAACGCGTGTTGAAAGGGAAAAAAGATATACAAACATGACGCTATCACCCACGAGTTCAACAAAACACAGTACTATGGTTTCCATTTCTCCCCTATAGCGTTTAGCACAGTGGCTCTTTTCGAAGCACACTTGGGCTTTGGGAAACGGGGTACCACAAAGTCTATAGCTACGCACCGGTTCAAACTTCAACCAATGCGGTTCTCGGTAACTGGCCCTGGGCGTCCGCTGTGCCAATCACAAGCGTTCATTTGAAAGGTGGGAAAATCTTCAACCAGTACGTCCTGACATACCGAAAATCGATAACTCAGCATAAGAATCCTGTAAAAGGAGCTGCAGGCCTCACTTCTTTATACTAGCACGCGCTCGGGTGGGGGCAAATTGACCCCCCCCCCCCAAGGCTTTTCCAGAATGGTTTCCGAACAGCGCGGCGCAGTAGCGTCAAACTTTGCATAGCAGTAGACAATTGAATAGCGGATCTTTTAGTGAAAAAATGTAGATGTAATGTGCAAGGTCGCTGACCTATGGCAGGTCAAAGTCAGGCCATGGTTTTAGCGAAGTCAATTTCTAGGGAATCGTTCAATCTGATGCAACAACGGAGTGTCAGACGAAGCCATGCATCTCGGAGATGTTTTCCTAGGCAACACAGGTATTAAATGAGCAAATTACATTGACCTTAGCTCACCCAGAGAGGTCAGACCAAGGTCAATATCAGCCTGTTCTATAACTATAGGGCTTATTGCATAGGATAGTTTCTGGTGCTCATTTCCAATTTACTGATAGCAGGACCCGTATTCTAATCTTACATGGACTTCCTAGAGGTCAGAATACGTCACCGACCCAAAATGACCCATGTCAGCATATTGTTCTCAGAAACATACTGCCTAGCATGATCTTCGTCGCTTATCCAAATGCGAAACTCAGAGCAGTCTTGCATGATTTTTGTCATCATGACCTTCAAAAGGTTAAACGGGATCACTGACTTTAGCTGAGCATGTCACCTCGTGCTTAGAAACAGTTATCTAGGTTCTGGGGGCACTTTGGAGACCAACCTGGCCATTGACATTTTTTACCTTATTTGAACCGAAGGTCATGACCTGGGAACCTCAAGCTTTGACCTAAGTGAGTTCACGTGCAGGTCAATACACCCGGTAAATTTGGTGTATCTAGCTCTCTCAGTTCCCGAGATCTCAGGGGGTCAAATTGACCACCACCCGAGCGAAGGGTATTTAGCCGGCCACCCGGGCGCCGGGTGTTAAGTCACATCAAACCGTCTGTGCGGTAATCTTAATAAATCTTGAGAGGATCGACCAAGACTGGAAAAATTCGGACTGCCACGTAATATTGCATGCTAACTTATTCGTTACTTAAGTCTGAGTCGTAATCCGCTGAAATATTTCAGATGGCTTATATCTGCACCACGTATAATGGCGATCTGATCTGGCGTGACGCCATCTTTGACCTGCGTCTGCTTAAGGGGCTGAAGGCAACCCCTCCGAGGTTTGAGAGTAACTTTTGGACTATCCGAACTTCTCCCGATCTTCCGAACTAAGTACATTCGCCAAATATTTTGCGGCATCGGACAGGTGGTCAATGTGCCATATGCTGGAGGATTTGTAAATCATGTTTTGGTCCGGTCTAGCTGAGTTACGACGTCAATGGCGACAGTAGCCACGATTGTAGCCTCTTAACACGGTACCACTCCCCTTCCTTGTTTTGCTTGTTTGCTTGCTTAATGTCATTAATCGACTGGTTCGACCGTGTTCCAGTCAGCGTCCGTGACAGTGCGCCAAGTCCAACTGGTTCACCACCAGAGGTCACGGGTCAACTCGAACGTAAAGAGAGTCGAATCAAAAGACGTCACGCCGACTTGTCATAACTGATCATCGTTTGAGTTTCTCTGATCCAACGGCTGGCCCCCGAGACGTCACGGAGATGTTGCTTTACCCCTCCCCCTCCCGCCATCCAATCACCCATCCCAAGCTTTCATGCTCGTTTACCTCCACTGCTAGATACCGTGGCATGCACACCCGGTACTAGCAGGTAGGGTGAGATAATTTTGCAATGTCCCTGAGTCGCACATCGCCAAATTTACGCAACAGTACACCTCCGGCATCTCTGGCTTACAGAGCCAGCGTTTCAATTTACAGCTGATCAAGCCTTTAGACCGTGAGCAGCCGGGGGTTGACATCCTGAGGATGAAAACGACTAAAGCGAATGAACTCTGTCATGCATAAATGACGGGTGAAGGCTATGAACGCAAGTTTTTTGGAGTATATGATATCGATATATATATATATATATATATCGATACATGATGACATATAGCGATATATGTAGCTGTAATATATACATATATAAGGTCACTTAAAGACATGTATATATATATATATATATATATATATATATATATATATATAAAGACGATATATAGCGATATATGATATACATCGAGTTACATCGAACCAGATTCGCGGAAGCACGTAACTAATAAGCGGTTCCGCGCCTCCAGTGCCCGTCCCCCCCCCCTTCCTTCCACGGTAGCTCAGCCTGCCCGCGTACTCACTGAGCAGGGCCTCGTCGGGCTCGGCCGCGTGCACGGCCAGCAGCTTGGTGAGCAGCTTGAAGAGCACGGCGATCACGTCGGCTTGCTCGCCGTGCCGCTGGAAGACAGGCAGGCAGGCGGCGCGCACCGAGCCCCAGCGCCGGATCACCACCAGCAGCTCGCGTAGCAGCAGCAAGCTCTGGCGCTCGCGCAGCGCGCCCACCTGGCGCGGCAGCGGAGGCGGCGTCAGACCACGCCTACCCGGCACGGCCGGCGGTGGGGGCGGTTCAGCTGGTCACGGCCTGACCCGGCGCCCCTGAGCCGGCTCGTCGCACACTGGGTGCAGCTCTGGAGACACGGTTACGATGCGGATGTCGTTACACACCGAAATCGAGTTACGCAGCACCGATATCGAAATGTCTCTCGCACCAACTTCACTCCCACTCGGCTTCAAGCTACACGCCGCCGCGTAGGCTACTGCACAGCATGCAGCAGCCCGCGCCGGCGACCTACCTGCTTTTGCCGCCCGTCCGTCAGCGAGCCGAGCAGCTGGAGGCAGATGTCGGCCACCCACTGCACCAGGTGCTGCAGCTGCGCCAGCGAGCCCAGGTCCACCGAGCCCGGATCGCGCTCCTTCAGGTGCGCCAGCACCTTGTCGATCTCCAGCACGCTCTCCACCGGCTTGCTGGTCATGAGCGCGTTGAGCGTCTCGCTGGGGTCGGCATCGGCGGCGGGCGAGGGCTCGCCCGGCCGCAGCAGCGCTCGGAACGACGAGGCCACGCAGCGCAGCATCAGCAGCGCGTTGTTGTCAGCCAGGCGCCGGCAGCCGGCCGGGAACAGCCTGCCGAAAGCCGGACACACCGCTGAGACGTGCTGTGACTTGTGGCACAGGCACGCAACTGACCGATATTCACATGGTACTTCGGCGGTCGGGCCATCAGTGGTCGAGCCATTGGCGGTCGGGCCATCGGTGACCGGGCCATTGGTGGTCGGGCCATCGGCGGTCGGGCCATTGGCGGCCAGGCCATTGGCAGTACGGCCGTCGGTGGTCGGGCCATCGGTGGTCGGGTCATACCGTGTCATTACGATAAATTTGAAAACCACGTCCGCAAGACATGAAGGCAGTTGTGTTATGTCGTGTTATTATGACGGATTCCAAAACTACAATTGCAAGACACGGTGGCATTCGTTTTGTTGCATGATTACGACGTATAACACTTCCTCAGCTCGACATTGAGTGACTGGCATTGTGGACGGAATACAAACATCACGATCCATCTCAATCTTACAGCCGAGCAATGATCAAGGGCTCGGCTACCCTATAATCACTATCATAAACTGCATGACCTTGCATGCTGGATGACATAGTCCGCGTAGCTTTCAAACGCTATGGCGTCGACCCCTGACCGGACAAGCCTATCCCGCACCGGCACAAGAGGTAGCGGTCCGGACGATTTCGCAACATGACCGCATGCGTGGGGAGGGGAGGGAGGCGCACGGTCCATCACGCACATAGCCAGCGTATATGGCTGATACGGAGCGTGCGGACGCACCTGCCAGCCGCGGTCCGACAAGCACACGCCGAGATGGAAACGATGAGACGCGTCCAGGGAACTGCACAGGGACGCGATAATGCGTCTGCAGTCTCTGCAGTCTGGGAGAACGCGCCTGCAATGCTCCGCAGCAGAAGGCCGCCGCCGGTTGGCTCACCTGTACAGAGACGTCTTGATGGCCATGTGCCGGACGTAATAAAACTGCTGCACGGGCCCCGGCTGGCGGTGGAATGTGTCGGCGAGCGTCTCGCAGACGGCCTCGAGGGAGCCCAGGTGGGCGCGCAGGCCGAGCAGCAGGTCCCACACGTCCCGGCCCGTCACCATGTAGTACTCCAGCTGCAGCACCAGCGAGGAGGGCACCGACAGCCCGCCTGCCACGGCACCAGAGACGGGTTACATGATAACGGTCTGAGAGATCCACAACGGAACGGTCTGGAGCGCCATCAACATCGACGTCAACATGCACCATCAGCACTCAAGTTGCACTTAAAATGCCGCTTGACAATTCAGTGCGCAAAGATACAAACCTCTCTCGGAAATCGCGATAGCACAGCAGTATAGGGCCGCATTTAATGCCAAAACCTCATGGAACTATGAGCGGTGGCAATAACCACGTCGGGATGTCACCCGCCAGTGGTGGTCCGGGCGCCCGCCCTCCCCACACCGCGCCGGACTAACCGGGGTCGGCGGCGCCGGCGGCGCGGTACAGGAACAGCTGGCCGTGGTCGTCGACGGCGGCCGCCAGGTGTCCGGCGGCGCTGAGGGCCACGTCCGTCAGCCTGACGGCGGCGTCGGCCGCCGCCGCGCGCGCCAGCTTGGGCGGCGGCTCGCCGGCCCAGCGCGGCGCCGACTCGGCCGTGGCGGAGCCCATCTGGCGGCGGCGGCAGCGCCCACCGGTCAGGTCACGTGCGCACGCTGCCGGCGCCAGTGCTCCGTGCGCGCCCTTCAGAACGAGCAGTGTTGGGCATGCGGTGTTGGGAGTCAGCTTTGATTGTGTACGAGTACCAAGCCCGTCGAGAGGTGTGAGAGAGCCGGCGATGATGGGATCATTTGTCCCAGCACTCGGCGACAGCAGTCAGTTTACGTCACGGAGTCGCGCCTCGGCTAGGCACAACAGTCCTGTCAGTCATGGATCCGCGGTCCCAGCCGTGTACAGCACCCCACCTGCGTCACGGAGTCACCGTCGCGCTCTCAATGTACAGTACCCCACCTGCGTCATGGAGTCGCCGTCGCACTTTCACTGTACGGCACCCCACCTGCGTCATGGAGTCGCCGTCGCACTTTCACTGTACAGCACCCCACCTGCGTCATGGAGTCACCGTCGCACTCTCACTGTACAGCACCCCACCTGCGTCACGGAGTCACCGTCGCACTCTCACTGTACAGCACCCCACCTGCGCCACGGAGTCACCGTCGCGCTCTCACTGTACAGCTCCCCATCTGCGTCATGGAGTCACCGTCGCACTCCCACTGTACAACACCCCGCCTGCGTCACGGAGTCACCGTCGCACTCTCAATGTACAACACCCCGCCTGCGTCACGGAGTCACCGTCGCACTCTCACTGTACAGCACCCCACCTGCGTCATGGAGTCGCGGTGGAGGCTGCTGATGCCGCCGTCGGCCGTCACCACGACGATGGGCGGCGCCGGCAGGCCGCCGTCCTGCAGGCAGACGCGAGCCGTAGCCACGGCTGCCAGCGGCCGCGGCGTCATGTGCGAGCCAGACTTGATCCACGTCTGCCGGAGACGGGCACAGCGTGAGCGCGCGCTGAGGTTTGGCTGCTGTCGGGTGGACTGAAACGAGACGCTCGCGACACCTTCAGCTCATGTCATTGTCACTATTCCCCTGTCTCATCATTATCAAGCTGAGCAGCACCAGTCGGCACGATGTCGATCGCACAAGGGCAGGATTACATGAATTGCTATCGAAAGCAAATGTTTCAGATCGTGCCCCCATGAATCGACTATGCGTGAATGGCGCATGCTTGTTACATCAGCTGGCACTCGCTGTCGTAAGTCCGCCGCACCATGCGTGATAAACCTCGTCATCCAAGCCCACCTCTGAAAGTGTTACACTTGGCGCAAAATAACTGTTAAACGTACACCTTCTCGCAAGCTGTACAAGAATAGAAAGCATGACAAACAATTGTTTCAAAGGATACATTGAGTGTTTCAAGAGATGAACAAATTTCCACCTGACCATCACCTGATTCATCCCACAATGATAAAATTTTCATCTGACAATTATTTCACTGATTCACGACAGCCCAAACCACCCTGGCATTCTCCGCCCTCCGCCTGATCCCCACACTACGTCTCCCGTCCCGCGTGCCCTCCCCCCCCCCCCCCGCTCCCCGGTCTGACCTGCACGCGCGGCTCGACGCTGGCCCCACGCTGGAACACCTGGCCAAAGTTGACGGGCATTTCACCCAGCTGCCACAGCTCCAGCACGCCACCGGCGTCGCCCGAGGCGCCCACCAGCAGCTGGCCGCCGTCCTCCTTGTGCAGGTGGCGCAGGCATGTGACGGCCAGCACTGGCGGCACGAGGAAGCAGGTCAGCATGTCGTACGGACGGAGGAAGAGCATCGCCAAGGGGACGTGCCATCACAGACTTGCCGCCGCATGAGCGACAGACCAACGCTAGGTGCAGAACTGGCACGGGGACACTGGGAAGGATACATAAGCTCAGCAGTCAAACCCTCAAAATGAAAAACGAAGGATATTATTCCCTCAAGTCGATATTTTGGTGCATTTATTCATTAAACAGATTATAATGACATGTTTGTTAAGAATACCATATTATTACTCACAGCACTATTAGGTAAAAATAATATGATATATTGTAAAATATCATATACATTCAACAAAATAATTTATTTTTTTACACCGGTGTTTTGGCCGTAACTGGTGCCTTTCTGCGGGGCACCCACACGGCGTCGCTGTCTGCGAGGACCATCGTCCGTCCTTCAGCCGCTCCCAGCGGCGCGGGGGAGCACTCACTGGCTGAGTCGGACTGCGCGCCGCAGTCCATGTACACGCTGGGCAGCTGCTGCACGTCGACCATGAGCTCTGCGAGGCTCTGCTGCAGGCTGATCTGGTGGCAGGTGACGGGCGCGTCCGGCAGGCCCGACGAGCAGGCCACCACCACGCCGCCGTCTGCGGCAGGCCGGAGCCGGCCCATGACCGGGAGGCCGGAGCTGGCCGGTGACGGGGCGCCGACGGAAGGGGGGGGGGGGGCGGGGAGGGCCGGCTGGTGACCGGGCGCCGACGGCGGGGGGGGGGGGGGCGGACTGGCCGGGCGCACGGCTGCTCACACACACTCGAGACAGGATCAGCTTACAAGAGTGATAATGCGCGGGTCACGCGTAAGTCAGACAGCCAACTCATTATGCCAATTTTGGTGCAGAGCAGGACGTAAATGCACTCATCACTTAAAATAAGAATGAATATATGCACCAGTCCAGTAGCATTTTTAACCACACAGCTCGTAAACAACACATCTCTGACAAAAATAGGTGATATCAGATGAAATGTCACTTACTTTTTGAATAGGCCATACTGGCCAGGTGGATAAAATTGCGCCGCTGAGAAAGCTCGCACTTCTTGTATGACGCTTCAACGCCGTTTCCATTGAGCGAGCACACAGCCAACAGACCTGCGCATACAGTACACCCATCGTCATTTCATGTCGGCGGAAACAGCAGCCATATACCGCAGTGCCACAATTGTATCGTATGCAGAACATAAAACGTTTCAAGAACATAACGAAGGGCTGTTTGTAATTAGCCTGCAGAACAACAAAAACGTTGTTTGTGGACAGCTATCACTAAAATCAGTCCATCTTAACACTGTTTGTGGACAGTTATCACTAAAATCAGTCAGCTTTCCACTCATCCCCATGTCCTGCGTCGGCATTCAAACAGTGCCATCGCCACCTCTCGATACCCCTGTTGCCAGCGAACTCGACGAACCTGTTGACGTCAGACCAATGAACCCATCGGCGGGGCGCCCTCCGAAGCGACGCAGCGTTGGACTGAACAGCGTGTTCTGGAACTTGTCGTTGTACAGAAAGCTGTCCTTCTTTTCCGCCGAAATGGATATCTGAAATGTTGTGGCAAGCTAATTGAACGGCGCCTATTATTTAAATGAGCGAGAAAAAAGCATCGACCTTCATTCAAGCCCAGCAAATGCGGCAAGCTTTTACGATGGGTAGTACCACGTATGCTGACCTATCATGGCATCAACACCTGGCGACCAGTGTATTTCAGAAAAGGAAACCAATGCAACGGTCTTTCGCACGTACTGGCTTGCACTTGCACTGATCTAAAAAAAACTGATCACTCTGATCTAGGAGCAATAATCAACAGCACGACGCCGAAATTACCTTTTTGCCGTTGTGGAAGAAGATGGCCTGGATGATCTCTTCGTTCTCCACGCGGACTGAATGCAGGCAGCGCCAGCTGTTGATGACGTGCCCGCAGCTCTCGAGCAGCTGGAGCAGGCCGTCCGAGTGGCCCAGCAGCAGCCGCGTGCCGGCCGCGTCCCACTCCAGACAGCTGACCGGCGAGCCGCCGCTCCACACCCTGGCGGCGCGGCAGGTGACGGGTCACGGCGCACGCCCTTCCCCCCACACGGCAATAGCGGTCAGGCCACGGTAGCAGGGGTCAGGTCATGGCAGGGGTCAGGCCACAACATCAGAGATCAGGTCACAGTGGCAAGGGTCAGGTCACATGACAGGGGCCAGGTCACACAGCAAGGGTCAGACCACAGTGGCACGGGTCAGGCCATGGTGGCAGGGATAATGTGCAAATGGGTGTTGATGGGAAGGCAAGCACGTGAGATCTGTTACTTGACTATCGTAATGGAACAGCTCCTATGGCTCACAAAGCACAGTTCTCACCTGTGTATATCCCATGGGGTGTTCAGATCCGCCACGAACACGTGGTATCCTCGCGACGCTACGTCCAGTCCATCCTCCGGTCCTCCGCACGCACTAAAGGCTATCACGTTGCCAGATGAGATCTGACACAAGTTCTCAGCACCCAGCGCCCTAAAGGAAAACAAAATGAAACATCAAAGTCAGCCTTGTTAGGCCCTCTTAACACTTGATCTGAACTGTCTGGCAGAAAAGTCACCGAACAGGCCGTCAACCACAACAAGCAGTACAGGGTTTGGTGGGGGTGGCTGTCAAAGGAGGTGATCAAAGAACATAAAAAATGTAGCAAGGAGGCCTCTACCTTCTTATACTATAGCTATTTTGGCTATGCCCTATCAGAATCCCCTCAGTACATGGTCTAATACATAGACAAACCCTCAAATGCTCTTGACTTCTAGGAAGAACTCTGATTAAAAAATAGGTGAAAATGCCCTCTAAAAAGGGGACACCATTTGGAATATCTTAATACATAATATGGAATAACATGGAATAACAGTGAATTCACATCACAATAAACATACTTCATCCAAATATGTGCAAATTAAAGTCAATTTGAACTCAGTTTAATGGAAGAGAAAACCTTCAGTCATTACATACACAATGCTGCCAGAATCAGCTGATTTCAATACATGATGGCAATTTGGGCTTCATCTCAGCTTACTTAATCTGAATATTCTTTGGGACTTACTTAATCTGAATGTGGGTGAATCAAATAAAACCCCCAAAAAACTTACTTTAATGGAGAGCAACAGTTTGCAGTCATCGCATATACAATGCTACCTGACTCAAATAATTGCAATGCTTGATGATGATCATTTGGGCTTTGGGGGTGCACAGACTACCCTGGGCATATGGAGCCAACTGACCAAGAGATGTAGTGTACAGGCATGGGTAGGTAGTTGGCACTAGTCCAGTCTATGAATTCTGTGTGGCAGGCATGGATTGGATAGCTGTGTCATGTTATGGTCACTGGATGTTAACACAACCATCATAGCCACTGACAATCCATGGATAGTTGACCCATAACATTTACTACTCAACCTGTGGACATCTATATGGTACATCTTACCTTTCCACCTTTGATGCATTCTTATTTCTCCTTGAGCTTGCAGAGATTGTGCCCACAGAATATATCAGGTCCATTCCAGTTTTCTGTGAACAAGTCACCATAATGAAAACATAGTTGGATGTGGTGGATGGGCAGCTGGATGTGTGTTCCTTTGTACTTTGCTTATTTCCATACCAGACACATGACTATTTCACAATAATATGACATCCAGGTAATGTTCACAATGACCAGAAATATGCAAAGATGTCACAACCCTCAAATCAGATGTGACTACAGCCTGCCTGTCAATAAGACATCTGTGATAAGGAAATGATTGCCAAACTTCCAGTACATTACAAACAACATACTGTTCACAGGCAATGCTGACAGTATTTGTCATGTGCTTTCCCTGATATCATACTTTGAAGATTTTTAAGATGCAGGGATAATATCAACAGTAGGTGATAAAAGCATGAATTGACCATCCAGGAAAGTATGAGGGATCAACCTTGCCCTACCCACAGGTTATATACAAAGCTTAGCTTTGTTCTTTTCTGAATGAAGACCACTTTAATCCTTTACTTCCCAAATCATTGTCATCATCATACAACCTTACATATGGTACCTAGCAATGTAACCCTGGATGTGCAGTGTGCTATGTACTATCTCAGGCCATCTTGAAACTAGAAATACATGAGATATTTACAACAACAAAAAATGACTACACCAGGGTAACTTGGATAACAAACAAAAATAAGCAAGCACTGAATAAGTAGCATATTTTGCCTGATGCTGACCATTATATAAAAATATTGACACCAGCATGTAAATAATATGAATGGAGCTGGTTAAGCCCTGGTTACTTAAAGGAAATGTTTTCTGAGCGTAGCTGAAGCTTGACTTAGTGATGTTTCTCTTAAATGCTTAGATGCTTTATCCTAAATCCTAAGTAAATGTTTGAGATGGAAAGTATTCAAAAATTTGCAGCCATAAAATAGGAGAAAGCAACAGGTAGCCTGAATGATCTCATGAGGTTGACTGCCATGCTCTCTTGGTGGGAAAACTGATAAATGCATGTTATGCCAAGCAAGCCTGACTTAGCAGTGATATCTCTGCAACAATTTCAGACCATATATTGTAAATTCAGGCACACAAGCACTTGATGCATGCTTCACACTGATTTTAACATATGAGTCAACATTTCAGGAACTTTGATGCTGCAACTTGCAAATATACCATAAAAGAACACTTTAAAAACATTTGTTTACAGCAATTTTACATGTCAATTTTGTGGGACCTGCCTTGACCTGGATAAAGCACATGCAATCACCAGATGTATTCAGTGCAACAATGCTGAACAAACATCTTGTGCATTGGAAACACAAATATTAGGAAAGTGGAGCATCAACCTTATCCACCTTCAAACAAGTGAAGGTCTATTAACAGACATGAGGCATGATCACATGGGCCATGTCATTAGGGCCACATTCCTCTTGCCTCAGGAATCAGACCAGTCATGTTTTAAGATTGTTATATTAATACTTAACGGGCGGCAACTGTTACTAAAAGACAGTGTGCAGGGACACAGCCTAACAAAACAGGATTAAGATACTACCGTCAGTAATGCACTTAGCGGATAACATATCTACGTACTGCGGTTGCTATCGCCTTGTCATTAGTGGCCACAGATATATCTAAGCATGTATGTAGAAGAAACGTGGAAGATACATCAGATCTAACCGATGAGTACTTCTACATGGAACAACACAAAAAACCTACGCGCTATTTACATGTCAATGACGCATATGTGCGTCAGAATGACAACGGTATACTAGAGCGTCAGCTTATCAAATTGAATGACGTCAATGCAGCGTCCGGAATGGGCAGCATGGCCTTGGAAAAGCGACGTGGCTAGAAACCAGGTCCTATTTTTGCAATAGCACAACATCAACAACAGGAGTCCCATGAAAAATATATGCGTTACATAGGAAGTTAAGCCATCTATTTCCCGCGAAAGTCTCACTCACGTTTATGCAGGGCCAGGGACTAGTGAGAATAACAAATAACGCTGCATTTCTCTGGCAAACCGACTTTTTAATAGCTTGTTTCCAGCCTGTCCTATATTATTGGATGTTTCTGCCATTCACATGTGAAAGACTTAATGTATAACAGACATGCTAAGGTTATTTTTTGTATTTTGAGACTCTTGACAAGGCAGTGCCTACACACCCTCCAAATTGGAGGGTGGTTCTCCAAAATGTATACGCACAGGGCGTATACAGTGATAGCCTTCTCCCCCCCCCCCCAAAGAAATCTCCAGTTGAACAATTTACTCATTGAAATCATAAAAAGCTTGAGTTGTGAGTCAAAGAAAACAAATAATATTAATTGGCTATCAACATGAGACGGTCATCAAATTATCTACGCCTAATCGAAGCCAATTTTCCGTAAGCCTGAATTGTAGAAATTTGATCTCGAGGGCGCAGTGGCTGGGCGATTACCGAATTTGGCTGTCACGCAGTGAACCCGGATTCTAATCCCGATGACGCTGGGGTCCCTGAACGGCAATATGATTAATTTAACGGGCGCTTTCACCCCGTGACTTTTAAATGGTGACATAAGTAATGGTCATATCACACCTGTCTAAAGCGAAAAAACTTACTCCCTTAGTATTGGACAGTGGCGCAGTTTTCTGTGTTCTTAAGAAAATCCCTCCCTCCCTTATTTAGGCTACTCAAAAGAGAAAGATGACCGAAATCGGGAAACTTGCTTGTTATTGTACGGTTTTGGAGGATATTTTTGGAACTTCCCACTTTTTTGCCCCTCCCCGGACTCAGTTTGCACTTGATACCTGATTGTCATCGGGCTAAGCCTTAAGTCTCATTCAGGCGACCACGAAGAAACCTCAAATGGGAGCGCCGTAAATCCAGTATGGGACCCGAAGGGCTGGCTAAAGGTCATTACCGGGGGTGCGGGTCGGACCCTCAGATATCAGCCAGAGGCCCTTTTGCACCGATTGAGTCCCGGCCTGGGCCTGGGAGCCCATTTCCCAGGTAGGGACAAGGTCAGGACCTACGATTTACACGGGTCGGTGCACCCCGAACCCATGCGGGGCCCCTGGTCCGCCAGGGGCACACAGCACCTAACTGGAGGTCCGGTGTTGACAAGAGACCCCGAGTTGGTCAGGGAGTGTCCGAGTGTGCCCGAAAAGGGACTGATGTGCCGTCCAAGACTGACGATCAACGGCCTGATGGGAGGACCGCATGACCTACAGGGTCGAGAGACTGTAGGTCATCCTGGCCCGTATGGCTGTGACCACAGATGTCAGCCAATATGCCTCTTTCACCGATTGTGGACCCCTGGGACAATACGGGCACCTATTTCGGCTGGAGACCACTGCATCGAATAATAGACTCCGTGTTGTTCTGAGCCCTAGGGACCCCATTTCTCTAGCAGGAACGAGACCGAGGCCTGCGATTTACATTGGGCAAGCCCCTACAACAATGAGTGGTTTTGGACGGTCAGCCCCCTAGAGTCTCCACCAGGGGGTACTGTGACGGAAGGAGTTCCGAGTCGGTCAGGAGTGACCCGGGGCCCCTGCGGAGCCCTTCGCCCCGGTTTAGCCAACGACCCGTTGGCCAAACATGGGTTTCTGTGCCAGTTGTTCGACCACCTGTGGTTATCAGGGATCTTGTTGCACCAATGAGGGCTCTTGCGCCTATCCCGGGCCAAATGCCCAGGTCAGAAGCCACCAGATGGCTTTCCACGCCAGGGAGGGCACCAACGTAGGATGTATATCTGTGATGGCCTCCGGGCGAACTCACCAGGCGAACCCGCCTCCATGTCGCCAGAATGACAACCGATAGACACGCCGGGCTTGGACGGAATGGTCTTTAAACAATTTCCCGGAAGGGTAGTGTGCACCTAACTTTTCACTAATAAGTTCTGACTTGTAGAGCGTGGAGTCCTATTCCTAGGCATTAGAAACTACGCCTCCGTCCCATATGTAGAGCTCAAGTTAGAATTTGTTCCCCTTAGAAGTGAAGCAAGCTGGCATCATCGTGCCATGCCCATAAACCATGAATCCACGCACAATTAACGGCGCCGTCGTTGAAATTCGAACCCGGGCCTACCGCGTGCGAGATCAGACGCTAACCATCTATCCACCGTGGATGCAGGCCGGTGGTTAGTAAGATGAAATCAGAAAAGAACTGGCTCAGGGTGGGTTTATGGATCTCGTGGTCGTCTCATACCTGTAACTGAACCGACTTTTCGCGCGGGATTGTGCATGTCTGCACTTGCCTCCCTCCAAGACTGGCAGTCCGCGTACGCCTGGCGCTTACAACCACCTGAATTTTTTTGGAGCGTGCATAAGCCCAGTGCGTAGCCACCCTCCATTTTGGACGGTGTATAAGCCCGGTGCGTAGCCACCCTCCATTTTGGAGGGTGCGTTTTGGAGCCTGGTGCGTAAGTGCGCTCCGTTTTGGAGGGTGTATACGCCCAGCCTTTTGAAAAAATATTTTAAAATTATGTCGGCATCTGATGTTATGTTATGCTTGGTGTGATTTTATTTTGCTAACGTTTGTCAATACTTTCGTTTTGTCGTAAGTAGCTCAAAGTTTATATTTTTGGTTTCCGCCAGTCTTTTAAATTTTTTGATCATTACTATTTGTCCTAGTCACCAGATTTGCCGCACTCCATCTGCTCCGTCATCGCAAGTTCCGCGTCGTCATTGTTCCGGAGCCGAAGTTGGGTTCGTGTGGTCGCCGGTTAGAAGCGCTCTGACTCGGGTTGTAAGAGAACGTGTCTTTTACTGCCAGAACGGAGATTTTGAAAAGCTCAGATAATCCCTTTCGATCCTGATTTACAGTGTCGAAGTTGTTCTTCGAGTGGATATCTACCCGAACTGAACATGGCGGAGGGCAAAAAGTAAGTTGGTCTTTGTTAAGCTTACAGTTATTGCAGTGATGGGTTTACAGATATAAGATTAATTCTATGATTTATTTAAGGGTTTCTGTGAAGAAGTGTTCGAGAGAATTTGAATTTTGACTCCTCCATGTTTGCCAAAATCACTCAATATGCAGCAACATACCCAGACATTCTTGACCCAAATGTTCAGTTCTGTCTAATAACTAACTTTGTGCCAACACCATTGTGCAGGGATATGCTGGATGTAGATATTTGTTTAACACCATCTTTCAGGGAAGCTCAAACAGGCTAGGCAGCAATTGCTGTTGAAGTTTCTTAATCAAGTTGTTTTCTTCATATTGAGCCCAAAATATTTGCATTGAATGACTTTGTTGATTAGAGCCCACTTCAAAGTGTGTGTTGCTTTACCCCTGACTTCACCATCCAATTCATGAAATTCCAGTTCAACTGCTCAAATCTGTGGCCTAAGTTAAATGTTCCATAACAGACTGCATTGTTTGTTCTTCTGTCTCACCTTGTTCGACATGTAGCTCGGCCACTGCCAACTTGCTCAGGGCATCCCATCTGACAGGGAGTGAAAGGGGTAAATCTGTGACAGGCACAGCAATGAGCTAAGTGCTTTAGGACAGATAAACAGGAATATTTTTACACTATAAGATAACAAGGCTAAAGAAGGGAAGTTTGTACCTATAGTGTAGAGAAAAGACATTGTATTCTTAATAAAGCAGCACTGTGCACAAGGGAAGATCCAGGGCACTAAATGGATCAGTCAGATGTTTGGAGCAGGTCCTATCCTGTCACAAATAGGATGAGCAACTTGTATGATTGGGTGGGAGGGGGGGGGGGAGGGTGGTTGATGGGTGGCTGCCAAAGTTTTCCTGATGATCTTATTTGCATTTCCTGACTATGAATTACTTCCACAGCTATTTTGAGATGTTTCAGAATCAGGCTCATTATGCCATCCAACATTTAGTGTTTATTTGTACCACAACTTGCAGCATCTCAAACTGCATCAAACATTTTGCAATGAGCTTGTAGTGCAACAACATAAGCTCATGGTTTAAAGCAGTCACCTTGACCACTGGTCTATGTGGTGTGCGGCTGTTAGTGGCTAGTTAATCTGCTTATAGTGTATGGCAGAAGCTGATTTGAACAAATAGCCTTGTGCTGGTGCTCTCTTTTTGTCTGACAGCTTCAATTGAGTTACTTGATTTCTGGTCATAAGGGCAGTGTGGGCAGCTGCACACAGGACAGGGCAAAATAGTGTGACAGAGATCAAGATGACTATGATTCAAATGTGTAGCATATGACCTTTGGGCCACCATTGACATTGTGAGTTGTTGTTTCTTTTGTCACACTGTATTGCATTTTCTTTTTCTTCTGACCCCTGTCATGGTTTAATCACCACCCCGAGGTACTCTGATGATGATACAACATTATATCAGCTACCCAATGTAGGAATTCCTAAAAAAAACAAAAGCCTCCCAAGTATTGATGTTGGTCTAAACCCTGTGTTATCAAGCAATAAGATCTTGTTAAAATCTTCCATGTTTCAGGCTTTGCCATGGCCCTTTCCAAAGGAAGCGTAAGTCAGGCAAACAATGACACATTTCTCGACTTTGAAACATGTTAACACAATGTTTCTGATGGTTGCTTGTTTTTGTGAATGGTCTTTGATGCAAAGGAAGCAACATTTTACGTTTTTTATAAAAATTGGCCATATTTTGGACCTTGGTCCATGAACTGGCATTTTGCCCTTCCCATGGCAGTATTCTGGATCCACCTTTGACTGTGGCTGAGCCAGTTGGCCCATGACTCCTGTATCATATCATGATGTGATATAAAAACCTGTGCTCCTTTGCCATAAGAAATTCTGAGGTCAAACCATCAGAGAAGCAGATTGGGCTGTCATGACTGGCAGGCTCAGGTCAAGCACAAGTGCTATGAAACAAAGGCTTGGGACCCAAACTTACTCAGCACAAGCATTTTGATTTTTTTAAAGAAGGTATATGACATCAGACCTTTTTACCCATACATTTCACCAGGTAGGTTCATCATGATCATAAGAATGCTTGTTTTAAAAACAAGATGAAATGGAATGGAACACAGATGAGGAAGGTGCAAAAGGAAATGCTTAAATCAAAGAACCTTGTCTGAAATGTTAAACTAGAAATGTCAAGATGCCACTTCCACCTCAGTATAGCTCACTGAAGGGCATAGCTTAACTGGATGGTCAGCCACCACATGCCCCGCTGGGGATGCCATGACCAGGTTTATCCCATAGTGAACAGGATATTTAGTTGTGATTGAAGCTCAATGATATCTAGGCTAAGCACATTATTTTGGAACTATTATGCCACCTTTTAATGGTCAGTGCCCTGTGCTTTACAGGTTTTATGTGTTGTCTTGTGCCATGTTTTTGATAGCATCAATACCTGTCTTTTCTGTGTTCTAATCTCAGAATGTGAGATATCTCATTTGCTTGAGATCATGCTCTATCTGCCATGTGGGTGGTTGTCTGGATAAAGCAGCCACATGGGATAAATGCAAAGCTCTTAATTTGGTTTTGCTTTGTTCATAAAAGCTCATGACTGGTGACATACAATGATGTGAAAATGGATTTCATCAAATTTGATACCTTGAAATAGGCAAGAAGTGTTTTGAATGAAAGAAAATAAATAATTAAATGATTATAATGATAGTTATAATCATTGACTTGTAAAGTAAGCAAGCATCCTATATTGACCTAGAATAGGAGCATTCTAATTGTGATGGCTTCAAAAATAAATGAAGAACTGTCCACTTACATTGAGCCATATACAAGTTAATGGCTTGGTCTGTCAGATTGCACTACATGTATCATCATAGCTCATGTTTTGATGTGTTGTTATGTGAAATAGTGTCGCAAAAGACTCACAATTAATGGGCTATCAGCTGTGTCAAATTCCACAGGTCTCCCATTTTGTTGTGTGTGGTCTTAATAATGCCAGTTGGGTTTAGCATCCATTCCTGTGTGCTTGTAAAGGCTGAGCATCAGGTATTCAAACCATGGTGACGAAAGATACCTAACTTGATAGGGATAACATATATATTGTACTGATAAGTCACATTGTGGTCTGATGCATGTCAGCTGCTTCTTTGCCTTCTTGACTCATGGTGCAAAACATTCTGTCACCTTCCTGCACACCAGCTCAGCACATGACAGCCATATTTTTAGTTATCTTGAAGACATACGATTTCATGCCATATATCGAACAAAACCTTATCTCTCCGCTTTTTCAGACAACTGTTAGATAAAAAGTAGGTTATGGATGCCATGTAACCAATGTAGTCAGTGCACCCCAAAGCCCAAATCATCATCATCATCATCATCACCTTCCTGCACAGTGGCTGCATTATATCTGGCATTAAACTGAATGAGCAGTTGACAGTAGAAATCATATTTATGAATTATCTTGAAAATGGGGCTCTGATTGCACAAAGGGAAAGGCATCCATGTGATCATAAGCTGAACTAATGGCATGAAGCACCCTACAATTGTATAACAGGGCACCAGCACTACAAATTTCACCCAGGTGGGTGTGAGTGATGTAGACCCAACTTAATGTCACAGGCTTCTGGCTCCGCAGCAGCCTCCACATGCACACCATTTTGTTGACTGATAATTAATTGTCCTTTAACTTTGAACCCTAGCATTCTGGCCTACCCAGCCATTTTGCCAAGAGCCTTAATGGACATCTGGCTGGAGGCATGAACCACCAGCCAGGAGTGCAATAGCGGGGAAAAAATGTTGACATCCTGCTGATCAAGTGGCTGGATATGGCCACATTATGTGCCCTTGAACAATACACCAACTTATAAACTAGAAGATATTGTCTTAAGGCTGATCAGACGTCTTTTTTATGATGCGTTGCTGTGGTAGTAAGCTTGCTGAATGGAATGACTACCAATTTTGTGAAATGGTGCCTTTGGGACAGACCTAGTCAAAATTTGACACTCTTGGGAGGGGGGGGGGGGGGCAAGTATCACTTTGCGATATTGGAAATGTGGATTGACAGCATTTAAGCGTGCTCATATAAGAGCGCACCTGATGTATCTAGCAGCAGTCACGACAAAACAGGCGCCCGGTTCATGACGGGTTGCCATGTCATTGTCAACAAAGCCTAGGTGGAAGTAGCTCCCTTTTCATAGAGGACTATGCCTGTAATATTCGGTGACGCTTGTCACGGAAAATAGGCACCCTCTTTGCGAAAGGGCTCTTGTGTGGGGTTGGGCTGAACTGAGAATGGCTGATAGATGCTTTTGTAATGCCCTGTAAAGGGTCCCCCTGTGAGAGTGATCGGATCTACGGACTTGCCCTGCGCTCGGCCGTGCTGGGCGCGGTTTTGTAGGCCTGCACACACGACTGGTGTGTGTCGTATTCCTTCAGACAGTTTCTTGTAAGACTGATGTCAATGACAATTGCATTTACAACCTGTCATTAATTAATTGAAAGATTGCTGGTATCCCAGCACGGGTAAATATCGTGTCTCGCGCCTCACGTCTTGTGTGCTGGTATGTAAAGGAATCTTTAAAATACAGAACACTACATTTTATCTTTATCATAAGCCAGATCTGCAGTTCCATCCTTCATCTTTGCCTCGATGCGGGCCAAATTTGGAGCATTGCGCAAAGTGCCGAGTGGTCCTCGTAGACGGCCACCCACACGAGGCCTCACGGATTGTGAGGATACGTGGCATGAATACAAAAATATGAAATATTGCACGAGACTGGCATGCGCCTGGCGCAAGTACACACGCGCGCCGCCTGCCTCCTTGCTGCACCTGAGCAGACGGTGCCCATACCCGCTGCAGCGCTGACACCTACCTGGCGCCGTCCGCAGCGCCGACGACCTGGCCACGGCCATCCTGAAGAAGAAGGAGCGCCCCAACCGGCTGCTGGTGGACGAGGCTGCCAGTGACGACAACTCGGTGGTGGCGCTGTCGCAGACCAAGATGGACGAGCTGCAGCTGTTCCGCGGCGACACTGTCCTGCTCAAGGGCAAGAAGCGCAAGGAGACGGTCTGCATCGTGCTCGCCGACGACACGGTCGCCAACGATAAGGTCAGCACGGGGTCCGCGGCACGCGGTGGGAACCGAGCGAGGGCACACGGTCTTAACGAGGGACCTGCTGTCTTCGGTCCTCTTCAGCGTGCAGACCGTATATGCATACTTTACACATGCAGCATGGCGTGGGTGCCATACATTGAGCATGGATGGCGCAGAGTGCCGGTTGAGATCTTTTGCTAGTCGTTCAAGGGCATTGTTTTGGCAAAAGGAGGTGACGATGAACATCCATCACGCCACCCTGTGTCATTGCAGCGGGCCGACTGTGGCGCCGCCATGCGAGCGTGATATCCAAAATGCTTGCCGTTCTCGCGTTACGCAGAGGAACGGTTCTGTCAGACACGATTTCCTTCAAAGTGCACTAAATACATCACGGTATTTAGATAAAGATAAACACTAATGATTTGTTATCGTCGGGTATACCACTAGCAGAATCCTCCTTTTATTCCGCCGCTGCCTTGAGGCTGATGAAAAATTCTGCAGTTGTTATTCAGCGATACTGGGCCCAGGAGCCGGGCATTGTTTGACGCAGCCAGTCGAAAGGGTCACGTGACGGGCAGTCAGGGTGGATCCACGTGGCAAGGCTAACCTGTTGCAGTGTGGTGGGACTCGAAGAGAGGCTGTCCTGGGCGCCGTCTGACGAACAGCGCCAGAGACAGACTTTCCGGTGGTTGAAGCCGCATTGGGATGGTAGATGGGTTACATTGGTGCAGGGAGGCTTGGGATACGTGTAACAAGCATTAAGCAAATGATGTGTAGTCTGATGTCAAAACCCTATGGTGGAATCCACTTGTGGTCAATTATAAACATCCAGAGACGCAGAGAATGCATTGATATCGGTGGCGCGTACGGCAGTTGGCGCAGTCGGACGTGCCTGGCTTGTCATGCCTTTATTTCTAAGCCAAGATAACGGGTCAATCGAGGATTGAACGCTGTTGGCATATGACAACTTGGAGGACGTCCACTTTCCTATGCCCTTTTGTACATATCGCAAGTGCTTTTGGTCTGAAAGCGAATATTAGCGAATTCCGTTAACATGTTATTTGTCGTCTTGCCAGGTGCGCATGAACCGGGTGGTGCGCAACAACCTTCGAGTTCGACTGGGCGATGTCGTCTCCATTCAGCCCTGTCCGGACGTCAAATATGGGAAACGAGTCCATATTCTGCCCATAGATGACACTGTTGAAGGACTGACTGGGTAAGCACGGCAATCTGTAGCCGTTTTTTGTTATTATCCATGTGGACAACGTGCTCGCGCCAGGTCTCAGATCAGGTGGCCGTTTTGTGGTCAGTGAAACGCCTTGACGTGCACGTAATGAAGTATGCGTTGTCATTTGTCATGTCATTATAGTTTGTGTGGTGTGTCGACCACATGTACATTGTCATGACATGAACAACGAGACTTGTCGTCGCGGAGGGCGTGCCCTGTCCCCCCGACGTGTCACTGTTGATTTCATCTCCGCCCCGTTCCCCGTTCCCCGTCCAACACGCGACATCTGGGCTGACTGCCGCCTCGCCGCCGCCAGGAACCTGTTCGACGTGTATCTGAAACAGTACTTCCTGGAGGCGTACCGCCCGATCCACAAGGGCGACCTGTTCCTGGTGCGCGGCGGACTGCGCGCAGTCGAATTCAAGGTGGTCGACACGGACCCGCAGCCGTACTGCATCGTGGCGCCCGACACGGTCATCCACTGCGAGGGCGAGCCTATTCGCCGCGAGGTGAGCCGCCCAGCCGCCGAACACCGCCGGGGTCGGATGTAGTCGCTGGCATCGGGGTGCAGTCGATGAGGGGACGGTGGCGCTGGGGTGAGGGTGCAGTCTCCCACACGTTGGCATTGGTGACGAGGGGTAGTCTTTGGAGGGGCGCTGGGGTCGGGGAGTGCAGGTGTTGTCCTTCATGTGCTGCTGGTAGTGTGTGTGTGTGGGGGGGGGGGGGGGGGGGGGGTGACTGCGCTTGGAGCTGAGGTCGGCGAGAAAAGTAGGCATGGTGTAGTTAGGGTTGGGGATAATAACCACGTCTGAGGGCCGCTGGTGGCAGGTAGTGCAGTGTCTAGTGGCGCTGGCGTCGAGAGGTGCAGCCGCGGAGCGGCCTGGGGTCCGGGAGTGCAGTCAGCCCATTGGTTCTAGGTCCGGGAGTGGTCCGCCTAGCGGGTTGGGGTTTGGGGACGTGGGGTCCGGGAAACACACCTTGCAAAATGACGTTGCAATCCGGTAGTTAGTCCACTTGTTATAAACAATAATTTCCCTGGTCTCCTGCTTTTCAAGGCATTGTTGCTTGGAGTAAGCTGGAGGGGGATTGAATATGCTCACGCCGACCAAATTCAATCTTTATTTTACCAGGAGATACTGGTGGGCTGGGTTATCAAGCAAACATTGATCATTTAGGCAAAACAAAACGTTTAAAGTTGTGCTCATGGCCACGAGTGTCAGCATAAGAAATCCAAAATCAAATTGTTCGTATATGTCTGGCAGTGACGCTGTGTGGTCGGGGAGAGTAGGCCGAAGAGTGGCGATGTAATCGGGAAGGTCGTCCACCAAGTGGCGCTGGCGTTCGGGAGTGTGGTCCACCGAGTGGCTCCAGGGTTCGGGAGTGTAGTCCACCGAGTGGCTCTGGGGTTCGGAAGTGTAGTTCACTGAGTGGCGCTGGGGTTCGGGGAATGTAGTTCTCCCAAACCCTCGCATCCATGCGCGGGTTTGGGAGGAGTGGCTGCAGGTTGGCGCTGCCAGATATGGGATAAGTCGCACAGCTTATAGCAAGATAATGAAGCCGGAGCTACCAGAAATGATAAGAACAGATCTGCCGCTGATGTATTTTTAGAACGTCTCGTGGCAGGATCTGTAACGGTAGAACAACTATCTTTTTTATTGACATGGGAGAAGCGAGGGGGTAATAAATGGGTATTATCTGAGGAAGTGAAACCTAATAGGGCTCTGGTTGTGCGGTTGTTAATATGCAGATCGTTGTTTATATAACATGCGCGGGACGTGGTTTGTTTGCGTACGGTGCCCGCTCTTCCCGCCAGGATGCCAGGCGGGCGAGGCCATGCAGTTCTGGCGGCTGTATGCGTCGTAGAGCCTCTGTAGCGGCGACGAATGGACCATGATGTCCCTTAGGCTCACACGAATGGGCCTCGTATTTGGTCATGTTGGTCTTTCGTCAGACTTATCAATAGATGATATTGATAATTCATAAGGAAGCTCAAGATCAGTGTTATACACACATACACACACACACACACACACACACACACGCCCGCACGCCCGCACGCCCGCCCTCACGCACGCACGCACGCACGCACGCACGCACGCACGCACGCACGCACGCACGCACGCGCGCACGCACGCGCGCACTCACGCGCGCACGCACGCGCGCACGCACGCGCGCACGCACGCGCGCACGCACGCGCGCACGCTACGCGCGCACGCACGCGCGCACGCACACGCGCACGCACAGAGAGAGGGAGAGAGAGAGAGAGAGAGAGAGAGAGAGAGAGATGAGAGAGGAGAGAGGAGAGAGAGAGAGAGAGAGAGAGAGGAGAGAGAGAGAGAGAGAGAGAGAGAGAGAGAGAGAGAGAGAGAGAGAGAGAGAGAGAGAGAGAGAGAGAGAGAGAGAGGGAGAGAGAGAGAGAGAGAGAGAGAGAGAGAGCCAGTGAAATGAAAAATGAAATGAGAAAATGAAAAATGAGAAAATGAAATGAAAATGAGAATGAGAGGAACCAAATGAAAATGAGAGTACACGAGCAAGATTACGAATCACAGAACATATTTGAAACTTTACGAGGAGCGTACCTGGCCATCACTGCATTGGTCTACGTTTGCGCTGTGAGCTACTTAGGTTCGGCTATGAACATACGGTTCAGTTGATTGCGTAAACGTCTATGATTTTCACCGCCCCATCTCTCCGGTTTGGATGCTAGCAGTAAGAACCTGTGTTGTGGCCGTTTCTTAAGAGTACGGGTGGATCGTCCGTCTTCTGGTGCATTTGTATTGGTACATTCGGGTGCACATATATTGTACATATATATTGTCACTCGTCAGACAGTGGGGTTAGACGGTACATGCGCCCGAGCTGTGGAGGTGGTTTGTATTTGACTGCTCCGGTTGTTTGGACCTGACGCACGTCCGAAAAATGCACGAACTCGACGGATCCATTAATTTCTCTGGAGCGTACATGGATTACTGTATGGATTACGCTCTTTTTCGCAAGGCGTTTTCCTTTTTGGCAGAATAATTTAATGACTCCGAGTAATTACATCCACGAGCTGTCAGATCTGGACCAGGTGTTGACTCGTGCTTGGCTTTTGAAAACATGAGAAAACTTTTGCAAGTTTTCTCATGTTTACTCTCTACTTAAACCGAACGTGGCAGGGTCCACTTTTGCCATATTGCAATTCTCGAGGATCACTTGCAACGCAGGGTGCCGCTTGTGGAAAATTACACAGAGCAACTGTCAGTGGTTGCAAAGATCTCGGATATAAAGTGGGCGACGGTCAAATAGGTCCGCTCACGCAAATTTTTTCTTGACTGCACGACCCTCTCTTACGGTCTCTGTCGTAATGAGAACTCTGCATAATGTGCACACTGTCGTAATGAGAACTCTGCATAATGTGCACACGGCACTTGTCATACTGTTATTACTGCGGAGTGTACCCATGTGTGGAGGCTGAGTCCTCATGAGTATCTGTCTTCCCTCTTTTGGCTCACGAAAAGAGTTGGCAAAATCATGGACCATGTACTTAACTTGGCTGCTTGACTTGGGTGCGCTGCGAAATGATCACGTCGATGTCTAACTCAACCTTGGATGCTGTGTGGCCCAGGAGGAGGAGGAGGCGCTGAACGAAGTCGGCTATGACGACATCGGAGGATGTAGGAAGCAGCTGGCCCAGATTAAGGAGATGGTCGAGCTCCCGCTCAGACACCCCAGCCTGTTCAAGGTACGTCCGTCGTGGCGGCGTTGACGGAGCAGCGTCCCGGCCGGTGGTCTGATACTCTGTGTGCGGTGTATGACGTTCTCCTCAGTCCTGGCCGTTGCATAACTGCGCGTTTAGATTCACTGAGCTTCGCTGTGTTTGCAGCGCGTTGCGTTTTCTTTTTGGAATGTGCACAGATGGGCGCTGCGTGACCTACAGCAGTCGATGCGCCCTAGAACCCCAAATCATCATCAACCTGGAATGTGCACAGTTTGGTGAAATAACAACGATATATGATAGTTATAGTGGTATAAAAGTTCGTGTCATTAGTTTCGTTTGTTGTTTATGTTGATTTTGATATTCTCGGCGGTAAAGTCAATTATATGTGAATTGTCTGTCGTGTGGGGTACTTCTGGTTCGCCGTATGTTGCGGGACAAGTGGAGTATTTCTGGGCAAATGTGCTGTACCCGTTATCCAGTGGTGCGAAATGCGGTTCGATGGCTGTCGCATTGTTTGGCCCGACAGATAGAAAAGGTCAACTGGCAAATGGATAGCGAGGGCCAGGCCCGTGGCGACTGTGCCACAGCAAGGGGGCGGGGGCAGAGGACGCTTAACTCTTCGCAGCTCCGTCTGACAAAAGAGCGTACACCAATTTTGCCGTGGAATGATAACGGCACAATTTAATATTTGGGTGCAGTACAAACCCAAGGGTTGGTAACAAGTACCAAGCAGTTTGCACCCAGCGCTACCCGTGCAAGGTATTCAGAATTACCACGATTACTTAGTGTATTGCATTTCTAAAAAGATTACAAGTTACATAGCTAAGAGATGTGCTTTACGTGAGGAACGTTTCTGTTGGCATGGTCACTTCCATTGGATGAGGCAACGGAACGATGCGGGATCATTTTTGGTAATGCGTGAAGATTACCAGTGGCCTTTTCCTCACGGGAATTGGACTTCAGAACTAACGATGAATGGTATGTTTTGTCAGGGAAAAAGCTACTGCTGGAGCGCTAAATGGATGTTGCCTGACTTTGTTCCGAGAACTTGGAAAATCTCACAAACTCAAAAATAACGAAAACGATCTGCCGCATTTGGCATCAGTGTCTTACTCTGGTAGCAGCGTGGGGCAAAACGTCGCACCAGGACGTTCGCTCTGAATTTCAACCGTCTGCGTTCATTGCAAATGTAGCGGTAAAGAGGTGAGCTATGAATAAATAGCAGGCCAAACTACGCATGTACAAAGTCACCCCATCCAGTGGCAGCACAAACTCGTCTACTTCAGTAGATGTGCCTGTTTAAAAGGGGCAATATTTAGTCATAGCTCTTGACTAAATCAGCATGCTGCATTCATTCGCTTGATGGTCCCGGATTGCCCGGATGCGGTTGAGATTGCCAGTGATGAAAAATGTATCTCGAAAGTGACGTAGATGTGTCAGCCAGACGAAGGTTTCAGCGTCGCCGAACATCACCGGTATTCTCAACTCAGCCACCGTTTTCTTTGGTGCAAAGACGCGGACTATGTAGCCATGCTTGTCATGTGAAACTTGCTTGTACCAAACTCGCAGAAAACCCCATACTTTCCAGGGCTGTATACGGTATCTTAACCCGTCACCATGCGAAAACCAACAACAGTAACAATGCCCAGCTGACCTAAGGCTCTCCGTCGGGAACCGAACCCGAAATCTCCCATGTGAAAGTCAGTGGCTTCCGCCTGTGTTTTAATCTGCGGGAACATAAATGTTGGTCCTAAGGTGCATGCCGTCATTGGGGCTTTACGACGCACTCATCCGCTCAGGCTATATGGCGCCGCCTGCCTCTCACCCTGACAGGAAGGGCGAGCACTGCGGGGAATCGAACCCATTGCCTCTTGTCTCCTAAAGCGCATGAATGCCAATGACTTGTGGTCGGCAAGCAGGAACTATAATTTTTCTCGGCGACTCCTACTAATAGAGTGAGCTGTCGTCGGTAAGTACCTGTCGTTTGTCCGTTCCCGAGGCTCGCGATGGCTGGGACATATGCGCCGCCACATTCACTCTGGTTGTCGCGCCAGATTCGGTGTTGTGGGGATCATTGCTTAGCGCAGAATCTTTAATGTAATTGTAAGTGAAAATTGGGTGCTGATGGAAAATGTGCCACGAGGTAGGATTCGTGTTCGTTCGGCTCCTGTATGGTACTGTGCACATGACGCTCGTAGTTTCTACTTCTAACGCGGCAGTGACAAAGGCACACTACGGTGTTTTGTTCTGGGCGGATGCACACACCACTGTGTATCCGTTCCATCAAAGTGGCAGTGCTTCCTTCATGAGTTGAAAGAGTGTGATGCAAGTGTCCTGTAACCTGCAACAACTCATGACGTGGATTTTTGTGAGTGTGTGTGTGCGTGTACCAGGTAGGATGATTTGCCCGCTGAAAATATAACTATCGAATGAAATGTACAAGGTACGCCGCCTGAATCGTACTTGGGAGGATATAATAACCTGCCGTAACGATTATTCTTTGTGGAAAACATGCGACATGAGATTTTCTCCGGGGAGAGAGATCATTATCAGCCTCCCAGTAGACGGCGACGGCCCTCCCGCAGACGTCACAGACGCTCCCGGACGTCGTCCGTCGATACGGCATGGACGCAGCAAGCTATTGATACCAGCAAGCATTCATGGGACCGTAGCCCGAGCAAAGCTGAGCTGCGAGGGCCGCTACCGAGCGCGGTCCGGCGCGGACGCCGCTGGCGGGGTGTCAACGAGCAGCGGGCGCGGCGCCGATGGTGGGGCCGCCCTGCCGCGCCACCTTTGACGTCCCGCTCCGTCCCTCAGGCGATCGGTGTGAAGCCGCCGCGAGGCATCCTGCTGTACGGGCCGCCCGGTACCGGCAAGACTCTGATCGCGCGCGCCGTGGCCAACGAGACGGGCGCGTTCTTCTTCCTCATCAACGGTAGGTGTCGGACGCCGCTTCGCGCTCGTGCAAGGGTGATGGAAGGTAGCACTCGGCATTATGAGTTGGAGGTTACTGAAAATAATGGACCTTAGGTGTCCCAGGAGGTACTGAATAAATGGCGCGACTGAGCAAGCGCTGGTTATATTCACAAAGGTGTTTGTTTTTAGTCGTGTCAATATAAGCAACACTTGCTCAATAACGTTTAACCAGTACCTACCTCCCAACATACTTCGGCTCAGATGCTGTCAGCATAAAGAGCCTTCGTCTCATAATGGAGTACGGCGAGCTCAGTGCCTCTCCTTCTTGTATGGGAAATGCTCGGACGGGACAAAGCTCTGGCATGGTTCAAAAGACCAGCCTCAACCACTGGCATCTGACTCAAACTGGCTGTGATTGACAATGTACAACACTTACGCCGCTGCCAAAGTGCTGTCATTGCTTTACCACAAGCCGTTTGAGGCTTGTTCCATCCTGTTGGTATTGTTCACTGTATCATACCATTCTTCGTCACATTCTGCAATGGTGAGTTCAGGGTTGCCAACTGGACCGTATTTATTTCTAATGTCTACCCAGTTTGGCCTTAATCGTTCATGGCGGTGAGCTCCCTACAGGCGTGCCAGTCATTTTGGTCCTTTTGGTTTCAGGGGTAAAGTTGGCTTCGATCTATGGTTGTATGTTATTTCACTGACCTGTAATTGTTGCATGGTATCGAACCTTGTAATGCTGATCATACGTTCGACCACATTTTCACATTCACACATTTGGGGCATCGGATCGCATTTGTGCCGTCGAAGCCTTTGGGGGTGGCATAGTAGCTGGGCTGTCTAATACTGTATGCATTTTAAACAGAAAAGGCCGAGAAGGTAATTGCTTGAGACTTAGTTACACAAGAGCGCGTTTCATATGCGGAACAGTTCCGATCATTCGGGCTGGTACGAGAAACATAGGTAGAAACATAAAACGTAAGTCGACCATTTTCTTTTACTTTGGCGACGGCTGAAGAAGCGCATTCTAAAGAAACTGGCGGCTGGCTTTGATTCGAAGGTAGCCGTGAACGTACAATGATTGATCAAGACGCAATTTTCGACCAAGTACCCGGATGTCATCGCACGCACTACCTGCAGCGAGGAAATATATTTATGGCTCGGGCTGGACATATAGGCACCCAATTAGTGCAAGGACAGTCGTCTGAGCCCTCGGTGGTTCGTGACATCACTAGCGTCTTGGGTAGAGAGACCCATGGTGTTGCCAACGAACTAATAATAAGCTCCGCCGCGATCCTCGGCGGGTGGCGCTGTGCGGTGAAAAGATGGAGGAAGCACATTTTACCACGTGTCATAACGTTTGGACGGGGCCGCCAGCGTCATGATCACCCGCTGGCCTGGTGAAGGCGGCCTAGTATAGAGAGCTTGTGACTGGCGACGCCTAGCTAGGGACACACAGACCCATGAGAGTTTGAGGGGCGCGGTGCACTGCGGACGTATAAGCATTCCATGCGGCTGCCAGCGTCCACGGCGGTCGCACCGGCGGGAGTGCCCGTCGGGCTCAGCGTCAGCTGGGATTCGAACCTTGGTTTTCACGTGAAAGGTCGGAGCAGCGCCATTGCAGCCGTTTCGTTTCCCATGCTCCTAGGAGGTCATAACCTTTGCTGCATTCGTTTTTCGCCAAACCAAAATGTGAAAATTGCCGCTAACCGATCGGAGCCTGATAAATCGAATAGTACTACGGTATATTTGTGTGTAGGACATATACTACTGAAAGGTAATGAAGCATTCGCAGCATGGTCCAACAACATCGAAAAGATCCTTTGCACAAGCCTAACATACCCTTCGCCGGACAAAGTTGCCGCAGTCCTCCTCTCCCGGGTCTTCTCACATCCTGTTTGAATCACAAAACGTGCGATGCTTAAGTTTGCGGCATCGAGTTTTCAAGCGAATGAGAAATGACGCCCATGAAAATCTACAGCCGCCAACAGCAAACGTTCATTCGAATATGATTAATTATTGCCAAGTTTAACTTTTTATCCTCCCAGAACCAGCTGCTTTGTAGCGCCAGAATAGCACAGTGCAGTAACCGGCGGCTAATCAGCTAGAGTCGCGTGGTCAAAATGGTCATTCGAACTCAGCTGCAGCTATGGTCATAAGATCCTCTTGCAAGTAACTTTGTCATTGGCAAAGTGGCGCAGCGCTGTGACGTTAGCTAACTAGCATAGAGGTTAGTTGGGTGCGAGGTTAGCAGCTAGGCTTGAGGTTGTCGGCCACTGCACTACATCGTTGGGTGGCAGATGCGTCATAAACGTTGTTATGGACAGTGATTTCTGAGCCTTGGTCTCATTGTTAACACTCTATGTGCGAAGATCCCGTCATGAAAACGGCCGTGATTGTGTGACGTATGGTAAGCTGAGGTCTGGGTATAATGAAATAATGAGCGGTGTGACATGCTGCCTGAGTGTCCGTTACATTTATTTATGTGTATTATTTATTAATGTCCGTTACATTTACATTATATTATCTAACACAAGGAACGTGCCATGGCTGCGGCTAAACCTGGGCTGGTAGGTCAGGTGTTCCTACGCCAGCCTTGTAGCGTGATCTGAGGTGAATATACGGTGCAGTTCCCCCTTACAGGTTGTAAGGTTCTTCACCTCTCGCTGGTATTGTCGCACTAGGCGCAAAATGACCTTGGCCTTTGGCGCGTTGTTAAGCTCAATCATCGTCAAGGTAACTATTGGCAATGTGGATGTATGAAGGTCACTTGTTCATTCAATCTGTCGTGATGTTATACTCAAGTTATGTCTGGATTTCGCTTGTAGATGCTTAAGTGACTGACTGCTATACGTTGAGGACTGCGCGTGACCATTTGCTACACCGCTCTCACTTCCAGAACAAAGCCCCATGTAGACCATGAGCCATGCAGGCCAGCGCGGATTCTCAGGGAATCGCACGGAGCCTGTAGATATAACACGGCTCAGTGTCCTACAGGCACCGTAACGATCTTGCGCGCCCGCCGCAGGGCCCGAGATCATGAGCAAGCTGGCCGGCGAGTCGGAGAGCAACCTGCGCAAGGCGTTCGAGGAGGCCGAGAAGAATTCACCGGCCATCATCTTCATCGACGAGCTGGACGCCATCGCGCCAAAGCGCGAGAAGACGCACGGCGAGGTGGAGCGGCGCATCGTCTCGCAGCTGCTGACGCTGATGGACGGGCTCAAGCAGCGCGCGCACGTCATCGTCATGGCGGCCACCAACCGGCCCAACTCGATCGACCCGGCGCTGCGCCGCTTCGGCCGCTTCGACCGCGAGGTGGACATCGGCATCCCGGACGCCACCGGCCGGCTGGAGGTGCTGCGCATCCACACCAAGAACATGAAGCTGGGCGAGGACGTGGACCTGGAGCAGGTGGCCGCCGAGAGCCACGGCCACGTGGGCGCCGATCTGGCGGCGCTCTGCTCGGAGGCGGCGCTGCAGCAGATCCGCGAGAAGATGGACCTTATCGACCTGGAGGACGACCAGATTGACGCCGAGGTGCTCGGCTCGCTGGCCGTCACCATGGAGAACTTCAGGGTGAGTGGGCGTCGCGCAGCGCGGGCGCGGCTGGGGACAGAGCGGAAGTGGACGCCTACGGTCGCGGTTACCGTCGTTATTTTCGGTTTTACTTTCGTGGTTCATTGCGCCCGCTTGCCGCTGTGTCGGTCTCGATGAGATGGCGTCAGCTGTTGGCAACAAAACACGCTATCTGAAAAGGCACCTGTGGTTGGTTGTTATTTATTAGATGCATTGTTTTTGTCTCGAGAAGGACTGGATGATGTTTGGGTTTCCTCGCGCATGCGTTACAGCCGGAATTGTCCACTTCGGAATTTGTGTGATTCGAACCGCGGTTTTCTAATCGCGAGTCCAGTGTTTTACCAACTTGGTTACCCGGCGGGGACACGTCAGGACAGGTCAGTTGGTAGAGCAGTGTATTCGGTAATCAGAAGACCTCGGTTCCAATCCCAGAACTGAGAGGCGAAAATGGCGGATGTGGTGTATGCATGGCTGAAAGCCAAACATCATCCAGCCCTTCTCAGGACCCATTTACGCCTGCCACGGCTTGAGAGTTGGATGGCCTGAACGTTTTGTACATAGTAACACCAGACGAGGACGATGGTCCAAACAGTTGTCCCATCCGTGGTGCTTATGCCTCGTCTCAATCCTCCCATAAGATTCAATGCTGTTCTTTTGTCAATATGTGACCTGCTGACTGGTTTTCCCCGTGACTGCATGCGTACTCCTTTTGCCACTGCTCCTGCTACGCTGCGGTGCGTGTGCCACGGTTTTCGATTCACGTCGGTCTCCGTTTCAGTTCGCCATGGGCAAGAGCACACCGAGCGCTCTGCGCGAGACGGTGGTGGAGGTGCCCAACGTGTCCTGGGACGACATTGGCGGCCTGCAGAACGTGAAGAAGGAGCTACAGGAGCTGGTGCAGTACCCGGTGGAGCACCCGGAGAAGTTCCTCAAGTTTGGCATGACGCCGTCGCGTGGTGTGCTGTTCTACGGGCCGCCCGGCTGCGGCAAAACGCTGCTGGCCAAGGCCATCGCCAACGAGTGCCAGGCCAACTTCATCTCGATCAAGGGGCCCGAGCTGCTGACCATGTGGTTCGGCGAGTCGGAGGCGAACGTGCGCGACGTGTTCGACAAGGCCCGTGCCGCCGCGCCCTGCGTGCTCTTCTTCGACGAGCTGGACTCGATCGCCAAGGCGCGCGGCGGCAACCTGGGCGATGCCGGCGGCGCCGCCGACCGCGTCATCAACCAGGTGCTCACTGAAATGGACGGCATGGGCTCCAAGAAGAACGTGTTCATCATCGGCGCCACCAACCGGCCAGGTGAGTGCGCTCTCGCGGGCCGGGAGGGCGAGCCGGGCGCGCTGCTGACGGGACGTGTCGACAGGGGCGCCGGCGAGCCCGCCGCCGCCCGCCCGCCGGCGCCGGTGTTGTCCCGGCGGCGCTGGCGGGCCTGTCTGTGAGCGAATGGGCGCCTGTGCGTCGTGGACGGCGGTGCGACAGGCCGGCCGGTCGGTGGCGTGTGTGTGTGTAACCTACGGCATGTTTCACTCCTCCAGACATCATCGACCCGGCCATCCTGCGTCCGGGCCGGCTGGACCAGCTTATCTACATTCCGCTGCCCGACGACAAGTCGCGCATCTCCATCCTGAAGGCCAACCTGCGCAAGTCGCCCATCGCCAAGGTCAGCGCCGTTCACCGACGCGCTGTTCGCCGGGCGGGCGGACGGTCAGCGCTGTGGGCCCGACCGTGGGTGCCGAACACCTCCGATATTGTGCTTGACGTTGACCGTGGCGTGATCCCGCATGGGTGGCCACAGCCTGTCAGTTACCGCACCGTGTGCGGCCCACTGGCCCCTCAATAGTTGTGTAATGCCCCGCTTACAGCTCACTGGGCTGACATCGATGACATATGACAAGGACTATTGACACCTTCATGCAAGTATTGTGTATCGTGTTGATCTGTTTTTGTTGGGGTGAATACGTGCAGTGACATTCAGGAGTTCGACCACGGGGTGGGAGTAAGCCCCTACTATTTTCCGGTGTAAATGACCGATTCACCAGGTTCAAGCGGGCATTTCGCCGACTGTTTTACCCTTTGATCCAGTTGATCCAGATCCAGTTGGTTCGTTTAGCGGTGTGATCCAGGATATACGCGACTGGGACTTGCTACTCATCTTCCATTTCTGTCCGAAATCCACCTCGCACACCTCCTGGCGCTGCGTCTGAAATGGGGGTAACGCGTCAGTGAAACGAACCCATCGGTTGCTTGGTGTTTTGTGTAATGTGTTTCGTAGAGCCACTGCACGAGCGGGGTTTACATTACGGTTGATGTAGCATATCACCCCACGTCCCTGAGGACAAAATTACGGCAGGTTGATGCTAGATGGGCCAGTTCAGAAGCAGGTCCAAAATAATGATGCATTTCAGGGACTCCGTTACGCTTGAAGCCCCGCTACTAAGCCTGATGCCTATGAAACGGGGCAAAGAAACCCGTTGGGGACTATTTCATGTGTTGGATTAATCCATTCATCTATTTATTTTCATAATATTATATGATGCTTATGATATTTTCATGAGATTTGTTGGAAAATGGCCTGAATTCCGTGACTTCGTTGCAATGCATGTTGGGAAAATTGTGTTTTATGAGCCGACTAAACCGTTCAGACGGGTTTTGGAAGTGCTGGGTCAGCTTTTTGAACTCATTGACTTCGCAGTTGGTTTGTAAGCGGACGAAGGAAGTGCGGAAGTCGGGATCTTGTTCGTGCATGGTTACCCAAGGCGCCACTGTCCTTAAATCTGACGCGCGTGGACTGCACTGCTGATGAACGATGCTGGCTTGAAGAAATCGTACCGTTTGACGTGTCAGCCGCCCCTTGACTCAGGCATGACTTGTGGAAGCAGCATTGTCGCATTTAGCAGTGACTGTGGGCGAAGGGCAGTTGGCGACACTTTTGATTTAAGTAATACAAGCATTTGGTTGTGAATTTCATGTCCTAATTCAGAAGCCATGGTCAGTCGATTTTGGGCGGCTGCCGTGTTACGGATTTGGGTTCAGAGGAAGTGATTTTGACTTAATTGTGCCAGCAGTTATTCGGCTTGCTCTGCAATAAATTACTGTTTTCATGAAATATATTTATATTTATTTATATCATAAATAAATATATGAATAAATATAGTAAATATGAATAGATGTATTGTATTTGTAGTATATTATATTATGTTATATTATATATGTATATATCGTATCTATCTATGTATGTATCTATGTATCTATCTATCTATCTATCTATCTATCTATCTATCTATCTATCTATCTATCTCTCTATCTCTCTATCTCTCTATCTATCTATCTATCTGTCTATCTGTCTATCTATCTATCTCTATCTCTATCTGTATCTCTATCTCTATCTCTATCCCTATCCCTATCTCTATCTCTATCTCTGTCTCTGTCTCTGTCTCTATCTCTATCTCTATCTCTGTCTCTGTCTCTGTCTCTGTCTCTATCTCTATCTCTATCTCTATCTCTATCTCTATCTCTATCTCTATCTCTATCTCTATCTCTATCTCTATCTCTATCTCTATCTCTATCTCTATCTCTATCTCTATCTCTATCTCTATCTCTATCTATATCTCTATCTCTACTCTATCTCTATCTCCTATCTCTATCTCTATCTCTATCTCATCTCTATCTCATCTCTATCTCTATCTCTATCTCTATCTCTATCTCTATCTCTATCTCTATCTCTATCTCTATCTCTATCTCTATCTCTTCTCTATCTCTATCTCTATCTCTATCTCTATCTCTATCTCTATCTCTCTCTATCTCTATCTCTATCTCTATCTCTATCTCTATCTCTATCTCTATCTCTATCTCTATCTCTATCTCTATCTCATCTCTATCTCTCTCTATCTCTATCTCTATCTCTCTCTCTATCTATCTCTCTCTATCTCTATCTCTATCTCTCTCTCTATCTCTATCTCTATCTCTATCTTATCTCTATCTCTATCTCTATCTCTATCTCTTCTCATCTCTATCTCTATCTCTATCCTATCTCTATCTATCTATCTCTATCTCTATCTATCTCTATCTCTATCTCTTCTCTATCTCTATCTCTATCTCTATCTCTATCTCTATCTCTATCTCTATCTCTATCTCTTCTCTATCTCTATCTCTATCTCTATCTCTATCTCTATCTCTCTTCTCTCTCTCTCTATCTCTCTCTCTCTCTCTCTCTCTCTCTCTCTCTCTCTCTCTCTCTCTCTCTCTCTCTCTCTCCTCTCTCTCTCTCCTCTCTCTCTCTCTCTCTCTCTCTCTCTCTCTCTCTCTCTCGCTCTCGCTCTCTCATTAATTTCATTTTGTTCCACTGTTCCTTTGGTTTGCAGCCCCTTTAACGCAACTCGTAAAGGTCTTCCATCATGCCAAGACACGTGTGTCCATCAGCGTACCTTTGCATACCTTCGCGACATCCCGCTGTAGTGAAAGGGCAGAAGGATAACCATTTTGGCACCATGAGTCCCCGAGTTCCCCATACGTTTTCCATTTCTCGCCGGGGCAAATCACTCCAGTGTTCGGGCCGGGGGCTGGAATACTTGCGGAGTTTGCGCTCGTAGGCCCACCGAGCACAAACCCCGGGGCAGTTTCCCATCGCTGTCTGCGTAGTTAATCGCAGTTCGCTGCGCGGACACGCTTATCTCAGGCTTGGCACGCGTCTTGAATACGCTGGTCGTGGGCGTCGCTCGCTTATGAAATAGTGGGCGCGCGGCCCTGCCTTCCGGGTGGTGCGCGGGTGTGACGGGCGCCGGCGGCTGACGTGCGCCGCCCGGCCGCAGGATGTGGACCTCGACTACATGGCCAAGATGACGCACGGCTTCTCGGGCGCCGACTTGACCGAGATCTGCCAGCGCGCCTGCAAGCTGGCCATCCGGCAGGCCATCGAACAGGACATCGCGCGCGAGCGCCAGCGCCTGCAGAACCCCGACATGGATATGGAGGTGCGCACCCGCCGGCGGCCAGCCGAGCTCGGGCGCGGGCCTCCGCCGCCGGCCGGCTCTGTTGGGTGGTGTGGGACGATCGGCGTTCGGTGTTGGGTCGAGGCGCCAGTGGACGATGAGGTGACATGTCATGAATGTTGTTTATGAACTTTGTAGGTCGGGAAGGCCTGAGGTTTTTGTTGTTATTTTTTGTTTAGTAACCTTGGATGATGAAACTGCCAACATGTATACGTTCCAACGGTTGCGTGATGCTCCGTCTGCCGAGTACGTTGTGACATGTTACAGGTGGTTGTTTTCACCATAGCAATTCCCGACATGATAAATATCCATGACGTAAGAGAATCGTTTGTAGTGTTGTATGCTTATGCGCTAGCCCATGGGGTGTGATACGAACGACCCAGATTGTCCTGGTACTGACCTGACTTGCCTTCAGATGGATGAGGAGGACCCGGTGCCGGAGATCACGCGGGCGCACTTCGAGGAGGCCATGAAGTTCGCGCGCCGCTCAGTCTCCGACAATGACATCCGGAAGTACGAGATGTTCTCACAGACGCTGCAGCAGTCGCGGGGCTTCGGCCAGAACTTCAGGTGGGTGACCGACATTCCTGCAGCCTGCTCCGGGGGGGGGGGGGGGGGAGGGGGCAGCTCGGTCCTGTGAGGAAAGATGCTCTGGCAATGCCCCTTCCATGGTAGGCCTGGCGTGGATGTGTTCTTATGTTTGTTGGAATTGTTCGCTATCTGCTTCCGTGTTTTCAGTATTTGGTGGTCATTTGTTCTTGTTGGCATTAACGCATGTGCTCGATGTTGTATGAGATAGGCCTCAGGTGAGGGTACGGTAATAACACGCGAGTCTAAAACGCCACCCCAAATTTATGCGCTTTGTGGAATACCCTGTCGTCTCAATGTCCCTCGCCCCATCGATCTCTACTTTTCGCGGTGGTAGAGGTTGTGCCGGCCAGTGCCGCCGCGGCGGCCGACTCGCCCGGTCGGCGGGCGGGCCGATGTGTGGTGCACCGCTGACGCTGTCGTGCTCCGACAGGTTCCCGAGCAGCCAGGGCGGCAGCTCGCAGCCGCAGGGGGGCGGCGCCGGCCAGGGCTCGGGCGCCAACTTCCAGGACGAGGGCGAGGACGACTTGTACGGCTAGGCGGGGGACGCGCCCTGCTTGCCGCGGCAGCGCGGCCGACAGCATCCTTCGATAATCGAGCGCTGCGTCCTGGAGCGAGTACACAGTTCAGTTGGCCTACCCGCGCTGAGAGAACTGACAGGCGTAACTTATTTGCGGTCAGTACAAGCAAGTTGGTTTGTTGTGCACCTCGAATAAACCGTTGCACAAAATCGGATTTTCTGCAGCTGGAAGACCACCTGTGTACTGGACTGCTGTGATGACCTGTGGCCGCCCGCCGTCCGGCTGTTTAGGGCGGCGTGGCGGAAAATAAAAACGATACAGAACGAGGTGTGGACCAGAACAGCGTTTTGCGACTTAGATGGGTCTTCAATAAATCGACAATACTGAGCGGCTTCGTCTCCGGTTCATGGCCACTTGTGTCGCATGTGGAACATGAAATGTGACCTGTGTACTTGTGTTCTTGTTTACCTATTAAGTGTGATTAAGAGTTACTGGGCAGTCACGTAGCCAGATCAAACTACCAGACAGGCCGCCAGCGTCCCAACAAAAAAGTGGATGTAGGTGCAACGCGATCCGTTCAGAGCTGAAACAACTTGGTCCAATACAGCGCTTAGCCAGTGCTGATTTTGAGTGAGTTTTTCGAGGCTTAAGCAAGCTAAAGCGTTTGACGGGGAAAGAGAAGGTACGATGATACCATTAGATGCTACTGGGTGGTGGGTGCGCGCCCGGACACATGAGATGCGACATGAAGGCAAAGGAGCCAAAGGATGACTTGAAAAATTAGCCAAATATCTTAGCGGGACTAGTTTCGGAGCTACTTCGTTTGCATAAAGAAGAAGGTACCTCCGTGTCGGACTGCGTGTTCGTTTCGAGTCGATTCATGCAATCATTTTGGAGGATAATCGTAAAAGTGTAGTCAAACAGTGCACGGGCGTGTTTACCGTTGAGTCCGAGACCGAGTTTTCTTCAGCTATTTAACATCCAATAAGCCCGCTTCCTATGAATTAAAAGGGTTTTGAGTTGGTAGTTCTGTTCTGACAATAATTTGCTTCCAGGATACCGGGGCTGCTGGTACTGCTACGCCACCGAGGAGGCATTCACTGGCCATATTATCAAAACTTTCACTTTAGTCAGCATTTTTAGTATGTTCGTGTTCAGAGTTATTACCCTGACAGTCATCGACCTTCATTGTACCAGAAGGCACTGCTTAAGCAATGATATCAAGCAAACGTGGGTTCTGCTGAGTGGTCCCGGAAAGTGGACGGATTTAAACCACGCATATTTCAGACGCTTATTTGCATTGCAACACGAATGACGCGCCAGTGTAAACAGCATTCAGTACAATGTCCTAGCTGACCGCTGGCCTCCCCATGCCGCTTTTCACTCTGGCAGTGCATCATATGGTCCATGTTTCCCCCACCGCGCTTCAGGCACCATGCCGTTCAATTCTTGTCGCTAAAATAACGACACGTTTCTCGAGCTTTTGTATCTTTTAACTTTCATTCTTATTAGTTTTGAGGCTCAGGATGGTTATCAGGCTTCATAAATACATCTGTGACTTTCAATATCCGTACCGAAAGAAATTCGAGGGATTCAAATCGAGGGGAATGTGCAGGCTAGTTGTGCGTCCCTTGCAATGAAGCTGACATTGGTCCGAACCGCTCCCTGCAACACTGTCTCGTCTCTTTCACCGTTTGGGACGTCACATCACTTTGCTGAAGGCATTGAGCTGGCATGTCTTCACCGCAGACTTTTTTCAAAGCTGCCCGGAACTTGTTTAGGACTGCCAAGTGCCGTCTGGCTCTCAGGGAGCGATGTTTTGAATCTCTGAACATTCTAAAATGTGTCACGCGAACATCATATGCGGCTGACCGAAAAATGTTTGTTTGTACCGCTCTCTGATGCGCACCGAGCTAGATGATGCCTGTTCTGTACACGACGGTGCTTTAGGTTATGTTAAAAAATACTTTGAATACGGTGCATCAGGCTGCTCTGCGAGTCACCACGCATGCCTTTCGGACATCTCCAGCAGCTAGCTTGCTCGTTGAAGCCAATGAACCGCCGCCAGCGATCCGCAAGATATTGGGGTTACGGTACGCTAGCAAACTGGCGCGATTCCCGGATCGTCCAGCACAGTGTTGGGTTTTCACGCCAAACCTTAGATGTTTTCTGCGGCGAGCGAACGCGAAACGCCGCGCCTTTTTGCCAGCGTGTTCACGATGTCCTCAGAGAGAGTGGATTGGGTCTTGGGGGTGTGATGGGCCCATCCAGACTGCCGGCCCCTCCGTGGGTGCTGGTGTCGCCAAACGTCGACGCGTCTCTGGCGCAGATTCGAAAACAGTGCATGATTTCGTGTGTTGCTAGAGCAACAGCCTTGCAACATATCAGAACATATGGGGATACAAACAAAAAATGTATATGAGCAGCTCTGAAACGGATACTGGCGTTGGTTGCGCCTCTGTGTGCTGCCAAAACACGATCATCCACACTGCCGCCGTATCCGTCTATATATATATATATATATATATATAT